CGGAGAACATCCTACCAAATACTACGGATGTACTATACATATTATTGGCAACAATTATTGATAACAAGGATACCAATTCATCCCAAACCCGCGCCAACACGGGCCGGGAACCCGCTCTCACGAACCATCCACCGCACTGCTGGGAACCGAATCCGTGGATTCGCCCTCACAAACTCTCAGGAACCGGAACAGTCTCCATTTCTCCATCCAACCCATCCAATCAAACGGAGACTGTCCGTCCCGTCCCATACGTGAACCATGAATCCTTGTCTGTTCCTGCGTGAGACCATCGGCAACGAGGGACCCAGCGACGCTCGTCTCACTTTCTGTTCCTCCGCTCCTCCACAGCTGAGACTCTGAGACGGACCTCCGTCTGCTACGCCTGCCGCGATCTCTGGGACCAACTGGATCCCCCCCTCCTTGGCACGAATCTCTCCAGCCAAAATGATACGATTCCCGCACAACTCAACCGAAACCCTATCTAGCCCAGGCCGCACTCTGGCTCCTCTGGGTCGTGATGTTCTGCCGTCTCCCCCAATGATCTGCCCATGTCGCAATCTGCTGTAGCGATCGAGCATCAAGTGCTCCGCAGGCCCTGTTTCATGTGAACCTGAGGCGGAGAATCCCCGAGTCCACCCTCGATGGAGAGAGCCAAGACGAAGACCATTGCGACCCAAGTATTACTATCGCCATATAATAAGGCACTACTTTGTAGTCGATCTCTGTTTCTCTTCGAGAGCAGATCTTTACTTGATCGCCGTTCTCCGAATTCAAACTCCATTATTTTGTGAATCTCCCGCTGTAGTGGGAATTGCAGCCTATACCGTGCACACTACACTGCCCATATCGCGTTCGAATATATTCAATTCACAGTCTCTGGGTCTGGGTTGTATGGAGAAAAGCATCCACTCGGACAGAACAAGAAAAAATACTACCCAACACTCTGTACGGAGGTCCATCCAAAAAGTATTGCGCAGCGCACGTACCACCATTAAATTACATTAACGTACTACATAGTATAATTTACCGGCCTTCCTTATATTCGTTCCCCCCTTCTAATTCAATGATCTTCTTGATATGCGTGGGTATACGCTCAATCCAAGCCTGAATCTTTTCCTGCGGTAGCTCTTGCCAGGTTTTATTCCATATAGCAATAGCTTCCTGTCTAGACTTAGGCGCTCCCTTTCTAGTAGTCTTTCGTTTCATCCAAGGCCACGCAGGCTCAATAGCATTGAGATCAGGCGAATTTGGGCACCACACTAATCGCTGCACCTGAGCTGCATCAAATACTCGCTGTTGAATATAATGATTATGCGCTGGAGCTTTATCTTCCTGTACGATCGTTTTTGGCCGCGTTGTAGCGCATTCCTTAGCAAAAGGAATAAGCTTTGGTAGAAGAATCATCTTTTGATAGCGATACCAATCAATTCCACCCTTAGATCCTCGTGAAAGCTTTCCATTCTGCTTATTGAATCTCCAGGTAGGCTTTTTACCAGCAGGCTGTCGACGAAGATTGATACGCCGTACGCCAGTCTCTAGCTCCCACTGTTCGCGTAGAATTGGTTCGATCTCTTGATTAAGAGCTTCAATCTCTTGCTCTGCTTCACGTTTTTGTATAGCAGTTTCAGGGCACCAACAGTGACAAGGGCCTTTTTTATCGTAGGTAAAACAGCCCCAAAACATAAACTCAGAAGAGCCTTTCCAACGCTCACGAATACACGAGCGTAGAAATGCTTCATCCTTAGAACGCCAAACACGATAACCACCACGGCGATGTAGAAGAATAACCGAGGTTTCATCAGAGAAGATCACATTCTTCCAATCGTCAAGAGTCCAGTGCTCGTGAGCTAAGCACCAAGCTAATCGTTCAGCGCGCATCTTCTTCGTCAGTCCAGGCTTCCTCGTCGGTTTCGTCTTGCGTAAACCGGCCTTCCTGAGGATAGTCCAGACAGTAGAGGATGAAATTTCGATCCCTTCCTGGCTAAGTTCTCCAGCAAGATCAGCGCATGTTTTCTCTCGACCAAATCGATCAAGGCGCACCTTCGACAGAATAGTGTTAACCGTCTGAGGATCTTGCTTAGTTGGCCGACCAGAGCGAGCACCGTCTTGAACGTATTCGTCGGTGATCTTTGTATGGATTGGGTCAAAACCGCGCTCTATCGCGCGCGCGTAGATACGATTAACAGTAGCAATTGATAGATCTACTATCTTCGCGATCTCAGCAGACGTTTTCGTCGTATACGCCCTTAATGCGACGACAGTCACACGATCAGCAAGGGTTGATTGTTTTGGCATAATGGTAGATGTAGGCAGCAGTAGTAGTAGATAGGTAGTAGACAGAAGATGAAGGCTATTCTATTCAGGGGGATTGTGTGTATTCGCTTGGTATAACGCTAGTGGTAATATAATGGTGGTACGTGCGCTGCGCAATACTTTTTGGATGGACCTCCGTACAATACAGTAAGTACACCCGGAAACAAAAAGCTCGGAGCACGCAACGCAACACAGTCGTGCACTTATCTCAGCCGTGCCGTGGGTAGCCCTTGTTCCCGCGATCGAGATCGACGGCCCGTCTCCATCTCTAATCAGATAGTGCTGGCCAGGCACGGCACAGCCAAGGAAGTGGCCCTATCATAAAGGCACGGGTTGCATCGCTAAACCATTCGGAATGCCAGATTCCTCTCTCCGAGTCTCCATGCCTAGCTGGTCGGGCGAACTAAGGATCCCCACAAAGATCATAGGCCCTCGCCTGTGGTCCAGAAAATGTACGTAATGATAAGGAAAATTATGGTTGCTTTTTTTTCAGCGATGTTGCAAGCGAAGATCGTGCAGCCACTGTTCTCCGCGGATCTGATCCGCTATTTTGGTTTGGAGATTGGGTCGAAATCGCAATCTCAACCTGGAACGATGAGCCGATAGGGAATGAAAAGCATGTCATTCTGGATATCTCCGAATGAAGCCGTGAAGCTTTTCTTTTGCAGAAGCAAGTGCAGGCTACAGTATTAATTTTGGTGATCTGGCTTGCTATCTGGGTCACCTGAATTTGCCCTGCGCCAAAAGCCTATGTATGGAAGACCCTGTGTTTTCGATCGCGGCTCGCGAGTCAGCTCCTGACCAATTCCTCGAGCACGTTGTGCTAACCACGACTAACGTGAAATGAACCAGAAGGCCACGGAGATTCTTCTGGAAGGTAAAAGCCACACTGGGCGCATTTGCTAAGGGTCTAGTGAATTGCTTCTTCCATTCTAACTTCAATGCACATTTCTTCAGGTCATTGCGTCCCGTCCTGCCAGATAACTGACATTTCTACACGTGCAGCACCCAGTGGATACAGAGATAACCAGCGTGCGCCCATTGCGGCTGCGTACTGGCTACCATATCCGTATCGAGCTCGGCCATGAGCGGGTCTACAAAAAAATTGAGCAGCAAAAAGAGAACATCAGCTATCTGCAAGGGGAAAAAAAAAGCAAAACTCCATAACTACACTATTTAGCATTTCTCTTTGCTAACGCGAACAATCTTCTCAATGTCGACACCTCCATTTCTCGACAGCGCCAACCGCGCTACTACTAATTAACCCATATCGCGCGGCCAGCGGGTGAATCTCGAGAATCTAGGAGCCGACGACAGTTTTTTTACGTCATAGGGCAGCCGAGCAAATACTGTTTCGGATGCGAGATGCAACTGCTTCATTCCTGTTCCCACTGAATGGATCGGACGACAAGCGCTCTCTCCGCCGAACCTCCAGTGGAGCAAGAATTCAAATGTCCATTGTCTACGAAGGGAAAGTCGAAAACAAGGAAAAATCTCTCCTCGCAAGCTCGCACCACCGAACCAGCAGCTCCAGGCCTCCAGACCCACGAGGCTCTTACTGTATAAGGTGAATGGCACGATCGAGCGGGCCGTTCGGCAGGGTCGGTGGTCTTGGGGACCCGTACGGGATGCTAGGCTGCTATAGAGGAGGACTCCGTCGACTCCATAGGGAGTACAAAATCGTCGCATCCAAGCGATGCCGGCCGCATCAAGCCGGTGTGCTCGTTTATTTCTCGGCCAAAGGGAGTGTTACTTCGGAATCTGTGCCGAAATTCTCTCTGGGTCCTTTGAATATTTCGGTTTCCGGCCCGCGAGTGCAGAAGAATCTATCACGGGTCTGGTAATATGCTGACCCAGAGAATCCGAGATGTTCATCAATGGATTCAGTTGTATGATTGCGTCAGATGAGCCTGTTGCATGGTACGCTACGAAGCTCTGTCTGTACTCCAGCGCGGGCTCAAGTTGCTTCAACATGAAGGACCTTGCAAATGCCAAATATGGAGCTTGAGCCGATCCCAAGCTTGCAATGGCCATGGTTGTGTGGTTGCACGTGGGTTGAGGATTGCTCCATCCACAGGCCATTCACGACACGCAATGATCAGATCAACGATTGCGGTGTGTCCAGTTTATCTACGCTGAATGCTATTTAGCAGATGCGGCATGGAATATGCGCACATGGCTGTACTGACAGGGGCCTGAGCTTTAGAAGAAAACTCTGATATCTGATTCGACCCAGCTGGACAGCTTGTAGCTCCGATTGACCAACTTTGCCAGCACTGTTGCCAGCACGATGCTCTTAACACGACAGCAAGGAAAATAATATGAAATGGCCTCAGTGGATGGTTTATTGTAAGATCACGCTCCCAGTGGGAGTCAGTCTCTTCCTATCATATATTCCATTATCCTCATCATCAGCCAAAAATAATATATGAGAAAGGAAAAAAAAGAAGAGAAGAGGCTTGTTCCTTGCAGAAAAAAATTGTTCCACCTCAACTTGCTTACCTAATACGCGAGGTTCCTGCATCAATACCTCAGGCACTAAATTAAGGCAGTCAGGCTACCGCGCTAGCCAACAACCGAGACTTCCCGGAACAAGTTATTTTCCGGCCAGCATCCACCGACGGCCATAAATTCTTCGCTCGCAAGACAACTTTCCTCTTTCCTTTTCTTTTCTTCTTCGTGCGGCGGCGCAGCTTCAAATTTAATACCTACCCGTGTTGCTTGGACAGTCCACGGCCTTTGTCAAAGAGGCCTTCAGTGATGTTACCAGGTGTCGGTTGCGCCACAGACGAACGGAATTGCACACCGGTTCTTACTTTATAGGTCTTTCTGATTTTTCAAGGATGAGACCTTTTGGTTTGGGATCGGACATTTCATTTTTATATGCCCTCAAATGTGGTGGGCCATATAGAAATCTTCAGATAGTTTCAGTCAAAATTATAAATATGAAAAGAGATTTCTCAGAGCTTCCGATCTTGTTCATTGTAGCTTTTTCTTGACGGTCGTAACGTGTGGCTTTGCGGCTCGAGGAACATTCACGTCCCCTTCGCCTTGGTATATCTGGTCTTGTCGTTCATTGATCGCTCTCCTAAAAGGTCTACCATGCCAAAGTGTCTCAAAAAATAAAATGTAATCTTCCTGTCCAACCAGTGTCTATCACTTTTTACTCGCCAGGCTCGTCGCCAATCTTCTCCAGCTTGCCCATGGCCCGCTTCTCGCCGGCATCACCAATGAGGCGAATGCGATCCACGCGCAGCTTCTCGCTCTCGCCTTCGCCGTCCACGAAGAAAATAACCAGCGAGGTCACGTTCTGGAACTTGACGAACCGCAAGTCAACCGTCGCAGTCCCCGTCTTCGCATCCCACTGCTCTGGCTTGATCTCAATCGTCTGCTCCGGGTTCGTGTCCTCAGCCTGCTCGAATCCAAGAACATGTGAAGTGTTGGTGTACAGTTTGATGGTGCGCGGTCGCATGGGCAGCTCGTCGTCATCAACGTCGCTCTCGCCGGCAGCAGGAGGGAAGGATGTCACATGGAGGGAGTGAATCTTAAGCTTCGACTGGAAGGGCAGGTACAGCATCAACTGCTCGTCCGTGTCGCTCTCGACCCAGTCGGCACCACTGCTGCTGCCCTCGGACTTGCCCTTGCCCTTGCCAGCCAGAGCTGAGGGCTTGGAGGTGTCGAACAACACGCGCGGCTCCCCAAACTGGTTGTCCCGGTTGAGCAGGTCCAATCCCTTGGTATCAACCTGGTCCGTCACGTCGGTGTATCGCGCGGCCACCTCGGCCCCCAGCCAGGTCGCACCGCTTCCCTCGCCGGATCCGCCATCGGAATTGGTTGCTTCCGATGCAAGTCTCCGAATCACTTCGCTCAGTTTCTGGGGGTCGGCACCGGCGACGGTCTTGATGCTGCGGCCATGCTCGAAGACGATGAAGGTAGGGTATCTGTAGCGCATCGGGGAACAGTCAGCAAGTCTCATTCGTAGTGCATGTCTCGTATTTCACATAGGTAGTCTAGGGCAGCTGTATCATTCCACGTACGCTCGGACACTGTATGCCTGCGCAAGCTCTGTCTGTTGATCACCGTTGACCTTGGTAAATGTGATGTGGTTCGGGCGGGACAGCTGCGACGCCAGCTTCTCGTAGACGGGGGCAATAGCTTTGCAGGGACCACACCAGTCGGCATAGACTATATTCCAGACAGCGGGTCTCAGTCAGTGTTTTCTTTCTCTGGATTCTCTGCGCGGTGGTGATTCCAACAAGGAAGCGGGGTGCTGGGAGAATCGCGAACTCGGCCACGGGAGTATCACCACTTACAGTCGGCCACGACAAAGCGTGAGGAGCTCAGAAGTGCGCTGAACTGATTGGTTGAGGATATGTTGATGACGGACATGGTGAAGGTTGGGTGTGTAGGAAAGAAGAGATGGCGGGGAGTCGGAGGAGGTTGTTTTGCCCGTTTTCCCAAATATGTCATCCCCGCCCCTCCATCAACAGGGCGCTTGAGACAATATCACCAATCCCATGAACTATGCTCTTGGCATATGCTACGGATGAATTTTCTGATGCAAAATTCTAGAGCACTCACTCGATATCCAGTATAACTCAAGAAATTTGACTCGTGTATCTTTCGTTATTGATTTTATGCGGGATATATATCCGCTAAATGAGCCTAGACGGGAAATGCACATGAAACTACCACTGAACCCCGTACTATATCTACCTACTACGCTCCGAACATACGTCCACCACCTACCTGGTAGAGACGCTAGCCTAACGACCCGACGAGAGTCACTAAAATGATCGGATATGTTTAGTGGAGTAAGAAGATAACGTATATTGAGTGGATCAAAAGACCTCATGCTATGTATCTGTGCCTCACAACCTATGCTACCTATATCTAGTCTAATCGACCAGTAATTGATATACCAGACATTAAAAGACTCTGTCCACACCAATGCCCGTCCATGACCTGGTCGGAGAGATACATCGGGCTGTTCAGGCCTTGTCCTGGAATCCTGTTAGAATCCGATCGGCTCTGCGAGCGACCAGCACTGCGACATCATTTCCAGGAGCCGGAAAAGCCAGGAGCTGGCAGCATATCCGTGGTCGAGAGATATGTCCATGGCCATGACTGCTCGCTAAGCCACCGGCCCGACTGTTGGGATGGGAAGCGAGAGAGCCTGGAATTCTATCAGGCCCTTCCAATCTGGCTTCCTCATCCCTCATCGCGACGTGATGGGGATGGGCTCGAACTAACTCGTTCGATGCCAAAGGGAGTGGCGGCTCATACATCAAGATGTTTGACGTTTGAAAAACGGTGCAGGACAAGTATCTCTCTCAGCCATCGTCCTCAACAGCAAAGAGCACCTTCAGCCAAAGACTGCACCCACGGCATCCAACAACAATCTCGCCATGATCCACCTCCCTCTCCAGATCATCCTCCGTCACCAGAAACCCTCTCTCATCGCCACACCGACAGCCACGGTACCAGCAGGCCCCGGACTCGCCATCCTCCTCGCACGCAAGATCCTCCAGGTCCACAATCTCTAGCCCAGTATGAAACACGTCACCCGTCTTTTCTCGCTCCGCAACCTTCAGACGGTCCAGTCTCAGGGTACGGTCATATTCTGCGCGCAGCGAGGGGTCAAATAGCGTTTTGTATGCGGTCGTGATCTCGTCAATGGTATATGCCTGCGGGTTCACGGCTTTATCGTCCGACCGAGAGAAGACCCGATCGCGGGAAACTTGTCCGTTTATTCCGGCATCCTGTGCGATGGCACCTGCCTTGTCGGGGTGGTGCTTGAGAAGGGCCTTGTGGTATGCGAGTTTGATCTGCTGCTTCGACAGGGCGGCCGACGAGGTTTTGAAGGGGATACCGAGGATCTGGTAGTAGTCCACATGGGTGGGTGTCGTCCTCGTCATTATCAAGGGAATTCCTTGGGTACTCTCGTGTCTCGTCAGGTTCGAGTCGCGACTCGTCGTGCGTAGTGCAGGGCTGGCTACCAGTCGAGACGTTCTCCAGGTTTCGCGCACGTCGCAAAGCCGAGTGAAACGGGCGGACCACGTGCAGAAAGCAAAAATGATCGCTTGTGCTGCTAGTGTAAGGGAGAAGAGTCAAGGGCACGGTGGTGTTCTTTGCGCAACGTGCATGAAGAGAGCAAAATGGCGGGTCGACGAACGGCGGGGAACAAAAAAGATCGGCCCAAAAAGTTGCCGCTGGGATGAATTTGTACATAGCCAGCCATCTTTCCACGAGGACACTAGAAGTTGCGAATCAGATTTGAATGAATCTCAACATCGATCCAGGTAAAGACAACACGCATCATGTTGAAATTTATTTATTTTCTAGTTTTTTATGACAGCACCCGAAAGTTGTGGTGAATTTTGTACCTGTATCTACTCCTCTCCATAGCCCACTGCCTAAGTCTTACATTCCTCGGTAAAACTTCACATTATCTTCGACTTTGTGGGACCCTTTGATGAGGTTGGCATTGCCTAGTGATTCAGGCGATGCCATGAGCCTCACACCAAAGAAAGCTGGTCGGATTCAACCTTGTCAGATTCAATCGCCCAGAATTTCGCTACCTGACGTGCACCGAGATCTCTAGGCACCGGTGCGCTAACAAATGCTTCATTTGGGCGGTGGGCAGGCTGTTGCTATAGTGGGGATCCTATCTTGAAGGTATCGGTGTACTCTATAAGCCAAACTGCCTGCATATTCATGGTCTTTCCTCAACGTACCATTTGCCTAGCCTTCTACCTCGACCGCGACTAAACGACATGACCGATGCGGATCTTGTCTGTGACTTGAAGCCCATAGAAAGTCAAATAGGACAGTGGTCTCAAGAACAGGATGAACCGCAGATCAGCAGCGCAATCTCATCCATGATGGACACTCTACTAGAGGTCTTGCGCCGTCTGGAAGCAGAAGGCGCATGCGTGTGAAGATGCGCAGTCATACCGTGAAATTTGATCACGCAAAACGAGGCCACACGAAGAAAACGATGGTTTGAAATCAGATGCTAAGGAGAGCAGAGATGTGGCATATTCGACTACTGGATATGTGAAGGATTGCGAGAAATGGAATTAGATCTGATACGCGAATGCACTCGATCTTGTTCCTAGGAACATGATCTCACGACAAAAGGAATGCCGGCAGGAATTGTGTGACTGATCGGGCCTGGGTTACTGCGTTCGCGTGGACGATTAGTGGCAGGGGCCAAAAAAGGTGCTTCGAAGCCTCCTTGTACTGAACAGTGTGAATTGACCCAGAATCTGCGCGAAAAGACCTTTTCGTGCGTGTGGAGTTAGAGCAACTTGTGTTCTGCGGGGATATCGGGGAAAGGTAGGAAGCTGGGGATGTGGGGACTATGTATTGAAGGTTTTTTCGTCAGCCCGCTCGCAGTACACAAACAACATGATAGCCGAGTCTTACAGTCGGCTTTGGATCGAATAAACCTTGTCAAATGCAAAATATCCAATGTTCGTAAATGGTAAGAGCATAGCAAAACGGCCGGAATATGGAGGAGGCATAAAGCCGGTGTAGAGTGGCAATAGCTGATTCCGTTAATGCCACTATCCTTCCTGACCTCTTGTATCGATTGCTAGTCCCAATATCCACTTACGCCAATGACGATTGTAGCCGGAAAGTTCAAACGGTACCCTGGCAGCACTCTGAATTTCAAAATTTTTGGAATCTCCATCATCCCAAGAGTCTCGCTATGCCAGATGAACACAATGCTATAGATGCACCCATCAAAGCCAGCAGGCCTCTGGGCCGCAAGAGGAAGCGAGTTTCGGTGGCTTGTCGGCCATGTCGGTCACGGAAATCCCGGGTATGTGGAATCCAAGCAGTATATCTCTCTAAATTATTCGATGTGATATATGAGGACTTACTCTCGAGATAGTGCAATGGTGCAAATCCGTGCTCCACATGCGAGGAGATGGAAGTTGATTGCCAATATGATTTGCCTTGCACTGATCGTTCAGCTCCCGAGGCCAGGGAAGCTCCAGTTGATACTAGGTATTTCGAATTAACTTTTGCCTAACGTGAACAATCAGATTGGTTTATATTTGCTAACTCGTTAGAAATGACCGAGCTACCGCTCTAGAGCAGCGCCTCCAAGCCATTGAGCGCAGACTAGCATCGCTAGAAGACACTCAATCACCTTCCAGTAATCCCATATCAGAAACGCTTAAAGATGAACCACGCGGATTGAGGCCACAATCAAAGGCAAGATGCAGAGATTCCTGGAGTGGTGAGCAAGAGACGCCGCAAACTGCTCCTGTGCTCAGTATGTCGAGGGTTTCTGATCAATCCGATGGGGTCGATGGGATGGGCTCAGTTGCGCTTCGAGATGGTGCCGAGGAAGATGAATATTTCGGTATGTTCTTGCATATTCAAACGATCCGGGGGTTTGGAATTTTGAATATGGACTGATCGGCCACAGGCAACTCATCTAATGTGGCTTTCTTACGTTCAATCGTTCAAGCAACCGTCCAGTCAGCGGGACACGGGCCTAGAACATTACCAGAGCCGGGAAATACCAGCTCGGAAAGTGTTGGTAATAATGATTCAAATTCATTCCTCATGTGGCCGTTTCGCACGGATCAATCAGACAACTCCCGGAGTACCACGATTGACCCGTTCGCACTTCCTCCCAGGGATGCAGCAGAGGAGATGCTTCATTTATACTTTAACACCGTTAATCTGATGATCCCCTGTGTTCATGAGGATTCATTTCGACAAACATTATCCCGAATGAAAACCGAGGGACCTCAGGAAATCAGAAGATCATGGCTCGGTGTTTTGAACATGATCTTTGCCATCACCACGAATGTGATGACTCCGACTTCGCCTACACAGGATCGAGCACAACAGTCAAATACATTTTATGAGAGGGCCATGGAACTGGTGAGTCCCGGGATCCTGGGACGACCTTCAGTCGAAATGGGTATGTAGTGTGCATTGCGCTCTGAAAGCTTACATCATGCATTTGGCCAACTGATGAAAATAGTACAATTATTCCTCCTGATGGAGATTTACCTCGAAGGCACCCCTGCCTCTTCACTAGCCTGGACGTTTCACAGCCTCGCTGTCAAGGGGTCCTATCAATTAGGCCTTCATCTGTCGGGATCCTCACGACTTTCAGAGGTCGAACGGGAATACAGACGAAGATTGTGGTATTGGTGTATAACGAATGATCGGTAAGCTCTCCTCGAGAATTTGTGACTGCTTTCCAGAAATTGACACCATAATAGGTTATTGAGCGTCGGTTATGGCCGTCCTCCCTTAATTCCATTGTCCCACGTGAAAATAGAACCCTGCGCTCGTCTCGCTTTTAGTAACGTAGCCGATGAAGTCGTTGCTTCGGCCTCTACGTACTTTGACTCTATGATGTATGTGTACCATTCGATTGATTTCACAACATCAACTTGGCTGACATACTGTAGCTCCTTAACGCACATTATGGGTGACACGATTGATCGACTTTACGGGCAAAATCTGGGGTCTATTGCGCCGGCCTACACGAGCGAAACTCTCAGTCAGGTTTCTGACTTGCTATCGCAACTAGACCATTGGCAGGAACGGCTTCCACAGCATCTAAAAGCAATAAATCCCTCCGAGGACTTGCTGGAAAACGCATCAGCTAGTCTAGAAACTACACGACTGAGAGTACTACTCTCGCTTCGCTATTTCGGGGCTAGAATTCTTGCTCTACGAACAATTTTGATTCACTTCTTCCCTCCATCTGGTAGGAAGAGCTCCAATGAGCACCTATCCGAATGGCTACTCGACTCTAGCTTCCCACTCATTGCGGATCTTGTGCGAACATGTCTTCATATCTTCCAACTAAGCAGCGATCTTCTCGCAGCATCAACAAATAATCAGAACCTGCTTGGTGCATGGTGGTTTTCTTGTCACTATAGTATGTTCTCAAGACACACTTACCTGACTGGGATCCAAACTAACCATATCTAGTTTTCAATGCCTCTCTTGTCATATTGGGTGTTCTATTCATCAAGCAGAACCCTCTATACTCTACCAGGCTTCCTTACTCCGATGATCTGCGCCCGTCTCTCGATAATGCCATGTCAATTCTCCGAGGCCTGGATAGCGGCAACAGAACCATCATGCGGTGTCGAGACATCCTCGCGAAATTGATCGCTAACATCGATGCTAGAGGTCTGTTTGCATGGCAAATCTCAAGGAAGAACGTTAGCTAATAGGATGAAACAGCGCATGCCACCGATCTAGCCTCTCCTGCAAATTCAGGCTCGCCATCTAGTGAATGGGCATGGCAACTCATGGACGCAGACCTCTTTAATTCCGATGCTTCTTTGAACTTTGCCCCGGCCATTCCCAATGATTCGGCTTTTTTCTTCCTCCCAACTGACTTCTAACAAAGGTGTCAATACCATTAATGCTCAGTCAAACTGAATTACCATATCAATGATAGCCTACGAACACACTGTATGCTACAAATGATGTCTGATAATTTTGATCTGAATTGAACTATATGTGCACTCTCTTGTCAAAAATCACGACTCGACATACTTTGCCTACATCCGAGGCTTCGAATGCAAGCCCGACTTATTGGACGGCCAAATCCCAGACTTTCCGGGCGACAGAATCCCCTTGGGATCCAGGATATCCTTGAGCTTAGTAGTGAACCGTCTCAAAGCACCACCATTGAAATTAAAATGCGAAGCAACTTCATCCATATAATCAAGATGGGTCCGATACGCTGTATACCCCATCTCAGCCGCATCATGAATAACATGACGCATAAGCTGATCAACCCTCTCCGCTTCCTCAGCAGTGTAAATGATCAGTTCGATGCCAATCACATATCTGGGAAACACGTGGAAATCCGCAAAGAAATCAAACTTGGCATCGACCGTTCGTTGCTTGGCTTTGAGATACCACTCGTAGAGCTCCCGACCAGAAGGCGGGAAGAGAGGCGAGTAGTCGACATGACTACCTGGCCCCTGGCGACTGTTGAGAATGGCCAGTGGCGCAAGCGTAGGGATGCCGCTGTGGGGAATTTCTTCTTCCTTGATGAGAGCAGTGGTAATTGATTCTCCTGGTCTTCCGGAGAACTCTCGCCAGTTCATAGTAGCTCCGGGGAGGGCGTCGAATGCTCGACGGGTTGCTTGGAGTAATCCGGGAAGCATCTCAACTTGCGAGTACAGGGAGAAATATGCCCTCCAGAAACCCCACTTTTGCTCTACACGAATCTCTTCGAGGACATCGTAGGGTACGTAGCTGTTTGGTTTCATGCATTCTTGTAGCCTTGCCTGTACCCCAGCGACGCCTGATGTGAGCGCAATGCGAAAGATGTTGGCAATTGATGGAGAATTGAGAATGACGGAACGACGCATCAAGTCTGATAATATGCCCACAAGGGCCACAAGATCGGACTCTTGGGGTACTTCGACTTCGACGGTAGCGTAGGCTTCCGGAGCGGGAATCATCTGGATGCCTACTTTTGTGACGATTCCTTAAGAATAGTTAGATTGAGAACAGAATGCTGGACCAATCGATTTTCAATCCCAGCTCTTCTGGAGAAGGGGAACTTTACCTAGATTAGACTGGAAGAAGAGTCCATCTACGCTGGGACCAAAACCACTACGCCATTTAGCCAAAGCACAATCCAACATTAGGCTGAGGTAACATACCCTTTATAGAGTGCAAAAAGCTCGCTACCCTCCATGGCGCCCATGCCAGTCCGCAGCAATTCGCCATTTGGTAGAACGACTTCCATACCGCATTGTGCCTCAGCATGGTTCCCCAAAGGTGTGTAGCCGAACCCACGATCTGTGGTGTTTCCAAGGACGGAGCCCCAGCCAATGGCTGGTACAGAGGGCCAGAGGTTGAGACCCCGTCTTTGGATTTCCTCGTACAGATCGAAGAAAGATACACCTGGCTCCACGACAGCATAGCCGTATTCTTCATTTATTTCGACAATGGTGTTCATTCGATGGAGGTCCAGTACAACAGTTCCCTTGACGACTGGTGCGGAGCCTCCATAACTGGATAAGTGAGTTCGTACGTTCAGATAGAAGACGGGAAGCATCGACATCTTGCATTATCTTCACATACCCAAGATTTTTCCCACGAGAAACTGTCCACAATGCAATGTCAAACCGATTTGCCAGACGAACAATCTCACGAACTTCTTCGACATTCTTTGGACGCACGGCTCCACTGGGGTCACGGTTTGTGGCGGATGCAAAGGGGTCACCATAGGCTGTTGAGCCCGAAGGCCCTTCCAGTCCACCTGAAGAGGCGTGAAGAGATACATTGTCTTCCCCAATGACTTGGGAGACTCTATCAAAGAACTGCTGTAATTTTTGCGAATCCATACTGAAGCTCGGGATGATAAGTTAACAAAAGTCAACTCTGAACACCCGACTGAGATTCTTTCGAAACAATGCCTGAATCCGAATATTTCTTGAAGATTTAATGGAAAAGCCCTTTTAACCCAGATATCAATTTATCTAGAAAGCCGAGGCATCATTGATCCTGTTCTATTCTGTCCTGTACACTTCCCCAATTTGCGGGGGAATAGTCCGGGGATACCGGGTGTGCGGGTGTACGGGTAACCGGGGAGTCGGGGGTAATTCGAAATTGTAGTACCCCGGCATATCGAACGACAACAAGTTCCGCGAATCTCCAAGGCCACACGCAAGCCAATTATCTTTATAACTTGTTCAACTTTTCCTTAAAATTGGAACCAGTTCATCATTCCCCCAAGTATCATATTTACTACAGGAAGTCTCACCGCAAGTCCTCGAAAGGGACCACTCAAACCAACATGGAAGCCAAAGTAGAGCATGCTTTCCCTGATCGACCTCAATTCCAAGGGTTCATGAAGCCCTGCCGAATGGAAGGCGAGGTTCAGGCACTGGAAGTCCTCGGTGACATTCCCAAGGAGATCGATGGTACATTCTATCGAGTGATGCCCGATCCCCAGCTTCCTCCGTTTGTTCAAGATGATCCGGTAATACCTTTCCTGATATACTAAATTGAGGTTGGCTCGGTTGCTAATTGAGAAATGACAGTGGTTCAATGGCGATGGCAACATCGCCGCCTTTACAATCAAAGACGGGACAGTAACATTCCGTCAGCGATATGTACGGACCGAGAAATTCATTCGTGAGCGAGAGGCCAAGCGAGCTCTTCTTGGTAAAACTCCATTCTTTTACTTCCCACGAATATCCAAAGATAGTACATGTCTAATCACCTTGAAACTAAACAGGTAAATACCGCAACAAATACACCGACGCCGTCGAATTCAAAATCCGCACAACAGCCAACACCAACGTAGTCTACTTCAACGGGCAGCTCCTCGCTCTGAAAGAAGACGCTCCCCCATATGCTCTTGACCCCATTACACTGGAAACCAAAGGGCTGTATGATTTCGAGGGACAACTCCCCAGTTTGACCTTTACTGCCCATCCAAAGTTCGACCCGAAGACGGGAGAGATGATTTGCTTCGGATATGAGGCGAAGGGCGATGGTACCCCGGATGTATGCTATTATAGTGTCAGTCCGGATGGAAAGTTTACTGAGGTAGTTTGGTTGGTTGCGCCTGTGGCTGCTATGATTCATGATTTTGCTGTGACGGAGAATTGGGTGAGTTCTATCTCTCTGGTTTACCTGGGCCATTCTTGTAAGTGATTCATTTTTGCGGTATTTGCTAACCTCAATCCGCTGAAGGTGCTTTTTCCTATCATTCCTCAGGTCTGCGATATTGAGAGAATGAAACAAGGTGGTGAGCATTGGCAATGGAGTCCGGAGACGCCAGTCTATCTTGGTGTTTTGCCCCGTCGTGGAGCGAAGCCAACGGACGTTAAGGTGAGTTGAGCCCTATACTACCATCTACATCTTCCAAGCTGGGTGTTTGTTTCCATGCACGAAGCTAACACACTGATATACAGTGGTTCGAATACAAAAACTCCTTCCCAGGCCACACAGTCAACGCCTACGAAGACACCAACGGCCACATAACTCTAGACCTGGGTCTAAGCTCCAAAAACGTCTTCTTCTGGTGGCCTGACGCCGCCGGAAACGCCCCCGAGCCCAGCAGCATCCTATCCCAAATAGTCCGCTTCACTCTTGACCCCAACTCCAAGGGCGAAGCTCTCCACCTCCCAAGCCCCAAAATCCTCCAAAAAGACAACACCGAATTCTACCGCATCGACGACCGCTTCGCCACCCAGCCCCACCGACACTGTTTCATGGACCTAATGGATCCAACCCTGGGAACCGATTTCCAAACAATCGCACCCAGACTGGGCGGCGGGTATCCTTTGTACAATAGTCTTGCGCATCTTGATATTGAAACAGGGGAGACGGAGATTTATTTCCCGGGTAGGACGCATATGGTGCAAGAGCCGGTTTTTATTCCGAGGAAGGGATCGAGGGTCGAGGGGGATGGGTTTTTGTTGGCTCTGGTTAATAATTATGAGAGTATGGGGAGTGAGTTGCATTTGGTGGATACGAGGGATTTTACGAAGGTGAAGGCTGTGATACTGTTGCCGATTCGGTTGAGGCAGGGGTTGCATGGGAATTGGGTTGATGCGGTGGATTTGAAGGTGTCTATTTGAGCTCTTTATGATGAAGTATGTGTATGGGAATTCAAGTTTGGTGATGTTTTGGAATCAAGACGTGAAGAAGTGTGAATCGTATGTGATCAGTGCCTAGGAGCAATGGTAGTGTCAGCCTGGACACAAAGCACGCAAAGTGTAGTTTCTCATCTCTTAATTTGCAAGGATAATAAAATCGAGCGCATCTCCTAAATCAGCTTCTCTAAGTCCAATTGACGGGAGCGAAGTGAAAGGGAATCTAAAAATCATATTCAGGCCGATCTAAGATCTCTATCTCTAGGATCTCTAATATCTAAGATCGAGCAGTATTTCGGATATCAAACAGGTGAAAAGAAATTGAACGCAGTATATGCGGACAAGTGAAAGCCCCAGAACCATCGGGCAAGCGTACATTCCAAATCAAGCTCAGCAACTCTCTTACTCAGAGGTCTTGAAGACGAAGCGGTCCTCAGGCTTGACGGTGAAGGGGACACCGTTCTCGAGAAGCTTGACGTAAACCTCAGCGAACTCCTTGAAGAAGACATCGCTGTCCTTGGCATAGCGCTCGACGTGCTGCTTGAAGCCCTTGTCCTTGATAAGGGCAATGTCAGAGGGCAGCATCATCAAAGTGGAGGTGGTCTTGTCAGTGAACTGAGTAGGACCGTTCCACTTGCGCTGGTTCCACTTCTCGTCCACGAGCAGACGGAAGAAGTCGTTGGTGAAGACAGTCGGGCTGAAGTTCCAGGGACCCTCGAAGCCGGAACGGTCAGTGTGCGCACGGCCCAGAGCGTGAGCGCCGATCAGAGCGACCATCTCACGGTCATCGAAGCCCATGCGGCCGAAGATATCACGAATGTGGCGGTGGTCCTTGGAGGCATCGGGCAGACGGCCGTCGGGAGTGCAGGCGGCAACGTCCCTGTCCTCACGGCCGGGTCTCCAGGGGATGACGGGGCCACCCAGCTCCTGGATGGCGGCGGAACCGGCCAGAGTCCAGAGATCGGAGTAGGTGATCCAGGGGAACTTGGCCTTGACGGGCTCGAGGAAGTCGCGGGCGTGCTTCAGACCGGCGTTGGCGCCGTGGTCAGACTCGGGGGCGAAACGCATGGTAGCACCGTTGCTACCACCAGTGCCGGTCTCCTTGTCGTAGGTACCGCTGGCGTGCCAGGCAAGACGAACGAGGACCTATTGAAGAAACAATCGCGTGTGTTAGTTGTTTGTTTATTTGGTTGTCTTCCATTCAACCCAATGGGAAGAATGTCAATTGGTAACTTACGGGACCGTAGCTGCCATCATCGTAGTCGGTCTCGTTGGCCAGACGGTAGGCAATCTCATCGTAAACCTTTTGGTAGTCCTCCTTGGTCGGGACGAAGGGGCCCTTGGTGGACTCGCCGTTCAGGTAGAAGTAGGCACCAGCACCACCGGCAATGGCAAAGGCCAGAGCGAAGATACCGCCAGAGCCACCCTTCTTCTCACCGGCCTCAGAGGCATAGCCGCGACGAGCAGAGGCACGGAAGCCCTGAGCGGGGAGGGCAAAGCGAGCAGAGCGAGCAGCCGGGCGGAACGAAGAGGTCGCCGGGGTGGAGCGCAGGAACGCGCGAGTAGCGGAGCGAGCAGCCGAGGCCATTGTGATTAGGGATGGAGGGATAAATGAAAGAAAGAGGAGGTATTCACACAGTAAAATGGAAAAGAAAGAGAAAAGAATGGGAAGGGAGGATAAGTTTTAGGTCAGACTCGGGGAAGAAGAAAGGAAGAAGCCGGGGGGAGGAGGACCCCTACAATAGATAAATTATCCCCCCTTCCATTCTCCAAAAGCCCAAGTAACATAACAACCCAAGGTTCCGAGTGATACTTCCGTATCAATAGGGAAGTACAGAAGCAGCTGGAATCTCGGCCAATCACTTGGGCCACATTTCACGATTGCCTCGGCGTTTGGCTCTCCGCATTTTCTCACGCCGCTCCCCGCGGCGCAAACTATCTTGTATCCATGGCTCTTTCGTTATCATCTCCCAAGAATCGGGCAGTTGGTCGCGGTAACTGATTGACACTCGAGTCATTACCCTAATAATTACACACCTTCTATCTTCGACTTTCCTCTATCCTAACCAAGATGCTTGTGAATTCCATTCCGTACGTCGGCTCCACATCTGTCGCAGTGGGACTGTAATTACCAACGGAAAGACTCTGCTTGGTTGGATGATCCTATGGGTTCCACTCGAGTACTGCACGGCCTCCTCCGAGTCTCCGACCGAACTGCTTACCTCACCGAACGGTCTGGCTGAGTGAGCTTGCTAATAAACGCCTTCCAGATCGTCATCTTGAGGGTATCAGTGTCTGCGATGGTCTTATTTAATAAGCCTTTTGAATTTGGATACATGGCTATATTTGAATTGCAAAGATATTGTGGTTAGTGGTAGCTCATTCGAATCTCGAAGCGCCTCTGTCCTCTTGGACTCCGGAGGTTCTTTTGAAGAAAGAGACGTATTATATGTGAGATGCTGTAAGATAACCATCTCTTGCTGGACTATTGGAGCTTGCAGGGACTGACTCGGTGTCAGCGACCAATAGATCCTGTGCGTATCCCTGCCTCTGCAAATAATACGGTAGAAATGGACTGTGCTTGCAAATAAAACGAGAAAAGAAACTCCTGGTAGCACATTCATTTCCTATGATATTTCTACAATTACCATGTCGTGGATTGTGTATCAAGTCCTAATGGCTGCTAAATCTAATATGGTACGTCTTGGACAGCTCGGATGACGCCAGCATTGCCAGGACCACGCATGGTCAGCAAGCTTTGATTTGACCAAATCTCATCTGATAAGGGGTGTCCTCATGAATGGAAGTTGGTAGTACATGAAGTTGTGCAAGTGTCCTTCCAGGTACGTAAAAAAGTATCTGGCTTGGACGGACTCTGCTCCATTCGCAGGGTGCTTGAAAGGGATAAATTTGAGAAACGTCTACGACGAAACAGAACGATCATGATAAATTCAAATTCAATTGCATTCTAACTACTACACTGGAATGTTCGTCGTAAAAAAGTCCTGCTGCTCGATTAAGAGGCGAGCACCAGGGTGGAGTAGACGCAGCCCTGCTAAAAGCTGTTTGGTTTTGTTCTCCCACGAACGAACGATAAAAATCACCCATGAAGCGTCAAGTACCATCAGGAGGCACCACGCGGGTTATGTGGGGTTCGAAGCATTCTGCTATGCTGTAAGGTTGTAGTGTAGTATACACCAGCTCAATAGAGAAGAGAGCCACGATCCTCACATTATAGGATCGAGGCCCTTGCTCTGATTGACTGTGTGAAGGGTTAGAGAAGAGGAAAGAAGAGAAATTGAAACTGAAGAAAATTGACAAAATAGCGCCCGCACCTCACGTGACTAACGCCCACTTCTGTCCGCTCCGAGTCACGTGACAGTCTCTATTTGGGGGAAAATTTCGGAATTCAGCACTTTCTCTTTTCTTTTTTCTCTTTACACTTTTTACCTCGAACGCATAATCAACCTCCAATTCTCCGCCATAGGATGGCAGGTCATATTGGCGTACCAGATGAACCCCTCTTGAGTGCTTGTGACTCCTCGACGGCATAAGGGAGCTCTCTTTGGAGCTTCCTGTTTGCGGTGGTGGATGCGAGTCATCTGATGCTCGAACATTTCATATCAACCACTTTTGGCTGGTTGATATAAGGCTCTGTATTTTGTAGATGTATGGCATATCTATCGCTTATGGTTATTGCTTTAGAAGAAGATACTGCTCAAGATGCAGATAGTTACCCAACGGGTGCTATTGCAAATTCCTATCTGGCTAGGGGGCTGGACCCAGTGCTGTTGATTCCTAAAGAGTCTGGACACTGGAATAATCGCATGGTTCTTCTAGAAACACCCTAGAAAAGGCACCAATGGCCCTAGCCAAGTCTTGTCAGACGGCCGTTGGTGGAGCTGGAAATTGCATCCTAGCCTCGTAAGGGGGTTGATGATAAGTGCAATGGCCACGCGTAGCATCAGAAAGGCCAGAAGATCTCTTAAGTCCAGCAGCCCAAATCGGAATTTCTGGGGGTGCAACTCTGAAGTTTGGTACACCAGTAGTACTACTGTAAACCAGTTTTGGTGTACCCCTCGCAGATTCTCCGGTCTCAGCGGTCTCGGTCTCGGTCTGGTTGGTCCCTGGTCCCTGGTCCCTGGTTCTTCTCCGCCTACCTTAGAACTTCTTCTCCTCTTCCTACCCCCTATTACGATTATTATTCCCAATCGCTCCGCAATCGTTGCATTGTGTCCATTCCTTTCACTCCCTCATCATGCCAAGTGGCATTAGCAAGCGCCAGCAGCTGCGCAATGAGAAAGCCCTCGCCGACCTGATCCGGACAGTTCCCGGTAATGACCGTTGTGCCGATTGCGATGCCCTGACCCCAGGTTTGTTACCCCCCTTCAACATTTGGTGCTCTCTGTTCATGGAATGTCCGAACTAATTCATGTCTCGGTCAATTATAGGATGGGCAAGCTGGAATGTATGCGTCTCTCTATTATTTCCGTATCCCCGACATTCGAATCTATCAAACTGATCGTGTGTCTCGAATAGATGGGTATCTTCCTGTGTATGCGGTGCGCCACAATCCACCGCAAACTGGGAACACACATTTCCAAGGTCAAGTCCTTGTCAATGGACAGTTGGTCGTCGGAACAGGTTGATGTGAGTTCAATTGCCTTGTCTCGTGAGGTGAAACTCTCGGACTGACTCGTCTGGCGCGGTGATCTAGAATATGAAATCGCACGGCAATCTGCTCATGAACAAGATCTTTAACCCCCAAAAACATCAAACCACCTGTCCCTACCGATATCGATGAGGCCGATTCTTGCATGGAACGATTCATCCGGCAGAAATACCAGTACCGATCGTTGGAAGACGGCAAGCCGAAGCCCCCGAGTCGCGAAGATGAAAGTTATACCAGAAGTCATGAACGTAGGGAAGACCGCAGGGAAGAAAGGCGGGAACGGGAACGGCAGAGGAGCTACGACGATTCTCATCGCGATGATTACTCTCCCGAAGGCTCGCCGCCACCGCTGCCTCCCAAATCGGGCAAATTCTTCGGATTCGGTCTTCGATCAGCTTCCTCGACCTCCAACCTGCGCCGATTCGGAACCAAGTCCAAGGGATCGAACTCGCCAACATATGATCAGCGATCCTGGTCCCCACCGCCTCGTCAGACTACCGGCCTCGGTGCGCCAGTCGCCGACGTGACAACTGACTCGTTCGAGGCTAAAATGGCCGCTCTGCGGGATATGGGATTCAACAACGATCGGCGAAACGAAATGGTTCTGCGCGGACTGAACGAGAACCTGGACAAGTCAATTGAGACGTTGGTGCGATTGGGAGAAGGCAATAAACCGGTTTCAAGGGCCAAGACTCCCGTTCCAGCGACCAACACTGCAACGAAGGCTGGTGCTTCGGTGGCTCCCAAGTCGGCGCCGTCACCGAATCCATTCGACATGCCTACTGCGACGCAGCAGCTGCAAAACCCGTCTTACAATCCATTTGACCGACCAGCCCAGACACAGACACCACAATCGGCGCAGAATTTGGAGGCGTCGTTCCAAAACCTCCAGGTCTCTCAACCGCTCTTCCCGCACTCGACCGGTGGATATCCAGCCCAGACAGGCTTGATGCCGCAGGCAACCTATCAGCAGCCAATTACTCCTCCAGCCACTTCGACCTTCCAGAATGGCTATGTCTCGTCACCGCAGCCCATGGACAACAACTACAATCCTTTCTTCCAACCAACAGCTCAGCCGCAGGGCGGCATGGGCGCTCAATCTTTCCCTCACCCCAGCGCGCCGCAGAACAATCCCTTCTTCAACGCTACGCCGCAAACGCAAAACCCCTACCTGCAGCCTCAGGCCCAGCAGAACACTGCATCTGTGCAATCGATGACCGTCCCTCGACAACCGCAGCATGCAAACACCATGCCAGCAATTTCCTCGACTTCGCCCTTCGGCACCTCTCCTTTTGGTACTTCTCCCTTCGGCCAGGTGCCTTCTTTCCAAACGCAGCCGCAACAGTTGCAACTACAGCAACCTCAGCAATTCCAGCCCCAGGCGCAGCCCCAGGCTACTGCCCAAGGATCCTATAACCCTTTCCAGCAGTCAATGGGACAACAGAGTGCTGGAGGTTATCCCAATCAGCTCCAGCCTCAACAACCACAGCAGCTGATGCCCCAGCACACAGCCCGCATGGACAAAACCAGCATTCTCTCATTATACAGCCTCAACCAAGCCCCCTCCACCATCCCCTCCATCCCCGAACAATCCCAATACCAGTTTCAGCCTGGCGCAGGAACCAGCCCAGCCCCCCCTCTCACAAACTCCCTCAACTCCACACCCATGACCCAACCTGGCTCGAACATCCAGACCCCGCAACCCAGCGCGAACGGTCCGGCCATGGCATCCCGCAATCCCTTCGGCGCTGCAACGGTCGGCTCAGGCCTGGCAGCGCAAGCAGGCGTCACAGCTTTCCCTCCATCCTCGGGTCTGGGCATTGGAATGGGTACCAACGGTGCCATGCCAGCAAATGGCATGAAAACCTCGCCCTTTTCCGGTCCACCACCTGTCACCGTCGCTTTTCAACCGAGAACGCACATAAGTCAGCCGAGCGTGGATATCAACGGTCTGCAAAGCGGGCGCCATAGTCCCGATGCATTCGCTAGTCTGAGTGCGCGCTACGGTTAAGCTTGTTTAAACATCTTTTCTGCCTTTAATTGACGAAAATGAGAAACCTGGATTTGGATTTGGATTCTGCTATGCTATTTCTGCAATCACCATTTACCGGTTGATTTCTTTTCTTTTTTGATTTCAAAAGTCGATATGGATGTGGATAACGGACTATTACCCTAATGACATGGATATAGATGGATCGATGAGATGTGTTGTATATGTGCATTGCAAGGTGCATCTTGAGATTTTGTCTGGTCCGACCTGCTGGTTCCTTTGTATTTGTGTCTATTGACTACTTTCCTTTCATTTTTGGGGCTACATTCTTTTTCACCTTTCTGGTTTTCTTCTGTACAAGATTGTTTCTTCTTTCTTTTGTCTCCAATTAGCGGATCAATGGTACATATTTTCTTGGTTTTGGCAACGAGTTTGATCAGATTGAACCTGATTATTTGAGATTGGGTTCTATTACTTTTCAAAATAGCGAGCTGTTCAACGCCTCTGTTCAACGAAATTCCAACCGAACCTATTATGTAGTACAGCCGAGTTAGGGACAAGCACTATATACACATTTTGTTGCTCCCAAAAGAAAGAAAGAAAGAGATTAGATAAATTCTCCAGATATCAACGAAACTCACTGGAATAGCAGGTAGATAGTCAATAGATTCTCAATTCCACAATTCACGGTCCTCAGCATCATATTTAGACGAGCCACTCAACCACTCAGGCATCGAGAAAGGAATCCAATCCCAGATACTCGGCGTCGGAGCCCAAAACCTCTCCCACAGCGACTGGGTCCGTCGATTCCACGGCCAGACACTCGCAGGCCGAGGCGCGAGGATAGATTGTATTGAGTCCCGCCATGAACGGCGAGGAGAAAAGTATGACTGCACTGAGCGGCGCCATGAGGCGAATGTCGATACTCGGGATCGCGAGGACCAAGGGAACGAGGAAGGGAATGAGAATGAGAATGGAGACCGAGATGAAATTAGAGCTTTCCAGCCTTGCTTCTGCTGCCGGCGCACGTCTTTTTGGAATACCTCGACGATTCGCTCGAATTGCCGGTCGCGGTGCTCCTGCGCGCGTTGATGTTTCTCGGCGCGCCATGCGTCTTGTTCGGAGGGGTCGAGACACCAGACGACGACGTCGCCGCGTCGGCGCCAGTCATCGTGCCATGCGGTGTTGTAGGTGCGCCAGCACTCTGCGTATGAAGAAGCGCGGAGCAGGGTGTGCAATGTGGGCTCTAGTTGCTCGAAGAAGATCAGGTAGTCGGGCCACTCGTGTGTCCAGGTATGCTTGCCTGTGTCGGAGGGAGACCGGATGCCAGCGGCGTAGCTGGGTCGGGAGGGGAGATAGCGGAGGCCGCCTTTCATGTTGTCGCGGAGGAACTGGGATGGATCATCGTAGAATTGATCTGCTTCGTCGCGGTAGACGACTTTTTCGGCCGTGGTGCGATCGATTGGTGGCTCGCAGGAGAGTGCCCATGCGTCGATGGTGGGGTATACCAGGTGCGAGCGCCACGGGGTGCTGTGACAGGGCATCAAGAATCCAGCCGTGATTCCGGGCTTGGTCTGCAAGTCTAAAGAAGATTCGGCAGATGAACCGTGGGCCTCATGTTGATGGCGTAGGTATGTAAGGACATTCACAACTCCAGATGCGTGGTAGAGTGTGGTGTATAGGCCAATGACAAGGTTGGCCAGGACAAGGAAGATGAGGGCCAGTCTTTGCGGGGTATAGGCACTTGATGACCGCGAGTATACCGCGGGATAGAAGAACTGTACAAGGGGCGGCGCAGCAAGAATGTGCAGCGATGGTAGTAGCGGGTAAATGAAGCGCACTTCTTTATGGGAGATCAGAGACAGGACGAACGGCATGAGCAGACACACGATCGCCAACTGCACTCGAATCTCTGTCTGCAATTTATCGGCAGCAGACGAGGTTCGGGTCTTCAAGGTGCGGTAGAGACCGACCAGCGCAAAAGGAAGTAAAGTGGTGAGTAGGAGCGGATATCCCTGTGATGCGTAGTAGTGCCAATCATTCCGGCCGTAGAATACCGCAAGAGACTGTGCAATGTTGAAGTATAGGAAGCGAAGAGGAGGGAATGTCCAGAATCCGTAGAATAGACGATCTGCGACGGCCGACACAGCAAGGACTGCTAGCCTATGGAACGGAATATCAGCCGATTGCACAAGGTAAGGATCACTCAAGAGTTTAACTGACCCGCAGAGAAGGACCTCCCGGACGAGCACCTTGCGCTGGCTCCAGCTGGTCCGAAGCCAAGCGACGGTGGCCAACGTCGCCCAGATCAGGATGTTGGTCGGGCGGAGAATACAAGCGAGAGCTGCTAAGGACAAGCATTGCCGAAGGCTATGCGTGATGTGCGTCAGTGGCTGTTTTCGTGGTGTTTGGTGAATTGGGCCATACCTAGACAACAGTCTTTGACCCTCGGCGGCCCCCTTCTCACTGCCAGCATTGTTTCGACGGTTGTTGTCGGGCGAGGCACCTGCTGACCACTGCCATGGCCACAGGTCCAATGCGACAATCGTCACCGAGGTTTCAACGCAATTTGACAGGGTCCTTGTTGAGCAGAACCACTGCCAAGGATTGAGGACTGTGACGATTAACTGTACCCCATCAGCCAATGTCTTCCACCACGCGCAAATGTCCAGACTAGCAGTATCACGCTGCGAAACCACATACCGTTGTCCATGCGCCACGAGAATCCTTCCCGTAAACGCGCGTAGCTAGTTTCCAGGTATAAAAGTCGCCGATCGCCGCGATCACGGCCTGCGCGGTCTTCGGTCCGGCGATCAGGAGTTCGGCGCGTGTCGCGGAAGAGAGATGTAGGGCAGTCGCAAGGAAGTTTACAACTTTGTAGACGGCGGCGAAGAATAACGGGTGCAAGGAGGATCGGAGTTGGTGGTGCCATTCCTGTTGAAATCCAGACATCAACGCGATTAGCGATTAATTCCACGATTGTCCTCTGCGAACTGCAATACCAACATACCCAGGTCACCCAGGCACCCTGGCCCTTGCCAAAGGCAATCTGCCATGCTGGCTCCAACGACTGGAAGAATTCATCGGGTTGAAAGAAGGTGCGGACGGCGAGCGCATTGAGGAGGCGAAATGCGACAAGGAAGAGGAAGATGTTAGTCGCCGGGGATGGTGGCGGTTGCGACGCGATACGACGCGGGGAAGAGGCCATGGAGGGCGACATGGTGTCGCCAGGTCGAAGCGAATAAGAATCCTAATCGCTGTGCTATCACTGGCCTGAGCTTAGATGGCCCTGAGGTGGATGCCGCGGGGCGTGGAGCATGACATCAACCTTGAACCAGGAGCAAGGGAGTGTGACACGAGGCAACGAGTTGACGACCAGCGAATAAAACGACACCTAATAGCATCCGTCGGCCGGGCCGGTGAGTGCAGAGTCGCGATTGGAGACTTGCGAGTTGTTCTGGAGACAAGGAGAGTAAAAATTAGGACAAACTCGTGTAATCCTGCGTATAGGGGACAGTGGATGTCAAGGGAATTGGAGGCTCGCGACAACCTGCACTTAGGAGAAATCACTTGCACTTAACGGCATAGCGGCGGATCTATACGCCACGCCCGCTTTCCACGGGTCTTTCACCTGACAATTAGTACATAATTCGAGAAGGAGAACGTCTTTCTTTCTTTTTTTTTCTCCTTTCATTCTTCTTTTCTCAAGAACTCTTCTAACTCTTCTAACTCTTGATCAATTCTTGAGTATCCCTCCTTTTCACCCTTATCTTTCGCCCTCTCCTCACTCTTATCTCTGTACCTTCAACTTCTCCAACTTTCAAGTTCCCCCGCACTTCCCAATTCCCACCATGGCTACCCACGGGACCAACGGTTCTGTTTCCCGCTATCACGCTGCCTCAAGTGAGGAGGCCATTCAGGCCGAGCACCACTATGCGGCTCACAACTATCACCCTTTGCCCGTGGTCTTTGCCCGCGCTCAGGGTACCTCCGTCTGGGACCCCGAGGGACGTCACTATCTCGACTTCCTCTCTGCGTACTCTGCCGTGAATCAGGGTCACTGCCACCCCAAGCTCGTGGCTGCACTGGTGGACCAGGCTTCGCGGGTGACCCTGAGCTCGCGCGCATTCTACAATGACGTCTTCCCCCGCTTTGCGGAGTTCGTGACCCGCTACTTCGGCTTCGACATGGTCCTGCCCATGAACACGGGTGCTGAGGCGGTCGAGACGGGTATCAAGATCGCTCGTAAGTGGGGATACAAGGTCAAGGGTATCCCAGAGAACAAGGCGGTTGTCCTGAGCGCTGAGAACAACTTCCACGGTCGTACTGTAAGTTAGCTCCTCACATCTGGTTTCTTGGGGTGGCTCTACATCCCTGCTCCAACCCCCTGTGAACCCGGTGGCTGACCATGACGGCCCCTTGCATTAGTTCGCCGCCATCTCGCTGTCCTCTGACCCGGAGTCCCGTGAGAACTACGGACCCTACCTCCCCGGTATCGGGTGCACCATCCCCGGCACCGAGAAGCCCATCACCTACAATGACAAGGCTGCTCTGCGTGAGGCCTTTGAGGCGGCAGGCCCTAACCTGGCCGCCTTCCTGGTTGAGCCTATTCAGGGTGAGGCTGGTATTGTCGTTCCTGACGAGGATTACCTGCAGGAGGCCCGCGCTCTGTGCGACAAGCACAATGTACTCCTGATCTGTGATGAGATCCAGACTGGTATCGCCCGCACGGGCAAGCTGTTGTGCCACGAGTGGAGCGGAATCAAGCCCGACCTGGTCCTGCTGGGCAAGGCCATCTCGGGCGGTATGTACCCCGTCTCGTGTGTGCTCGGCCGCAAGGACGTCATGCTCACGATCGAGCCCGGTACCCACGGTTCCACCTACGGCGGTAACCCATTGGGTTGTGCCGTCGCCATCCGTGCTTTGGAGGTTGTGCAGGAGGAGCAGATGGTCGAGCGTGCTGAGAAGCTCGGCCAGCTCTTCCGGAAGGGCCTGGAGGATCTGAAGAGCCCTCTGATTGAGACCGTTCGTGGCAAGGGTCTGCTTAATGCCATTGTCATTGATGAGACCAAGACCAATGGTCACAGCGCCTGGGATCTGTGCATGTTGATGAAGACAAAGGGTTTGCTGGTACGTGCTCGACCCTATCCTTATGATTTAAAAGCTTCGCTGTGGGGACAAGCTAACGAAGAATCCCTCACAGGCCAAGCCTACTCACCAGAACATCATCCGCCTGGCTCCACCCTTGGTCATCACCGAGGAGGAGATTGCAAAGGCCCTGGCCATCATCAACGAGGCCGTGAACGAGCTCCCCACTCTGAAGGGCAAGGTTGAGGACCAGGTGATCCCCCCATCGGAGAAGAACGTCAAGATTGGCATCGAGAACTAGATCCACTTGGGGGGAATCACGTACTGGACCACCGGTCCACCGAAGGGCTTCGACCCACGACTTCTCGGGAGCAACCGTTACGCATTCTAATTGCCTCCACCGGGGCAAGAGCAAGATGCGTCAGCGTATCCCATACCCGAGGCATCTCCAGTGCCGGGTGGGACTGGACTGGATGATAGATGTATTTCTGGATGGCATTGGTGTCGTCCCACGACTTGACGATGGAACGGATCAAAACCGGCATTGCTTACAGATTGAACTGTATACCATAGCTACTACTACTAGCTGCAGCTTACGCCTGCATAGACCATGAATTGATTTGCCACGTATTGGCGATAACACATTTCGGCAGTCCGTCCAGTACATGAAGCCATGCATGTCCATGCATACAAGGCTGAGACCCTCTTCAATTGTCCGAACGAATCTACTACTCTAGGCATTAGCTCCGCTCCGAGTATGGCGGAGATAGTCTTCCGCCGAGGGTCTTTTCCTCCCCGGCCACCATCTATGCCTATAAGAATTGTTTGATTCGCTAGGTATCAGGAGTAATCCTCTGTCTACCAGCGGAGTAGTATACCCCACCTCGGGATAGTGGGGGAACGGGGAATTCGGGGAAATGCCACCGGAAGATACGGTATGGAGCCTCAAGGGAACTCGGGCTATCCATTCCAATTAGGTGTATAGATTACTAATCTGCGATGGATCCACGGAATCGGCGCTTATCAAGTCCGACTGCCGACGCTCCGTTGGGGAACTAAGTAGTAAAGTACCCAACGGAGCTTATCTATTGGCTGCAGACCACATGTTTATGCTAAGCGAACGCGAGAGCGAATGCGTATTCGCTACGAGAGCGATGCTTTGTGATCTGTGCATGACGCTGGTCATCGGAGTCCGGCTGTTGGTCTGGTTTTCACCGATATTTAGCTGGAAGCTTGACTGGTAGAAAATTATGAAGATTACTGTACTCCGTACTATGGTAATGACCGCTGGTACCTCATAGGGCTAGATAGGCGATGCCGAGCTCCGTAAGAATTTGCCGATACGAGCATTAATACGGAGTAGATTAAATACATGACACATGGGGTTGGATCCGCCCAGCGGAGAAGGAGGACAGAGCAAACGGTTCATTTCCCACGGGTTCATTTCGAGTTCATGCTGTACGGAGGAAGAATTATTTGATGAAAACTCCATGACTCACTTTTGAATCTTACTGCTGTTACGTATGCTACTTTTATTTACTCTTTTCTAAGTCAATTTCTACTCATCACCTCATACCAAGCTTCAAGCATCAAAATATTCCGTTTTCATCGGCTCTTGTCCCGCTCCCGATCGCCCCACATTTCGCATGGTTCTGGTCTTGCTCGGTCATGGCTTAAGTCCATTAATTCCATTTGATTCATAATTGCATCGAGACCGGTTTCTTCTCCATTTTGCTCTCTTTCCTTTCTTTTCTGTCAACTCACTCGCTGTTCATTTTGGAGTCTCCCCCTCCAACCGTTCTGCGCTTCAGTCGGCATGTCTGTGCCGCCCGATCCTCTGCCACAGGCAGTAGTCGTGGGCGACGAAAAGCTCCAGGCGGCCGATAGTTCTAGATCGGCATCTGGGGACGAAGCCAAGGCCCCGGACATGATTCTGCAGCCCCCCACGCAAAAGAAGAAATGGCATCAGCGACTGAATCCCTTGCGGTGGCAGACACCGCCGCCTGTACCGGAGGAGCGGACGCCTTCAAGGGAACATGGGGCCTCGTTTTTGAGTGCTATTACCTTTCAATGGATGTCGCCGTTGATGAGGGTATGTATTCTATCTCGGAGATAGCCGAGGTGTACTCGGCAAATTGGGGGCGTCATCTAGATTGCTAATGAGATATACTATGCAGGTCGGATATTTGCGACCACTCGATTTGCAGGATATTTGGACCGTTAATCCCAAGCGGACTGTCGATGTGCTTTCAGATCGACTGGACGCTGCATTGGAAAATCGCATCGCGCGGGGAACAGAGCGTGCTCTTCTCTGGGCTTTGTACGACACTTTCCGCTTTGAGTTTCTTCTCGGTGCTGTCTGCCAGTTTTTCAGTTGTCTGTTGCTGGTATTTGCACCTTACTTGACCCGATACTTGATTGCTTATGCGACGGAGGCCTATGCCGCCCAGCATAGCGGTCTCCCCGAGCCACATATCGGGCGGGGTATGGGCTTCGTCGTTGGGATTACCTGCATGCAGGGCCTGCAGAGTTTATGCACGAATCAGTTCCTTTATCGCGGTCAAATGGTCGGTGGACAGATTCGTGCTGTGCTGATTTCCCATGTCTTCAATAAGGCGATGAAGTTGTCTGGTCGTGCCAAGGCAGGTGGACAGGCGACTGAGGAAGAAGTCAAGGCTCTGGAGGCTACGAAGGAAGCATTGATGAAACAGGATGGCAAGGAGAAGGGCCCGAATCCAAAGGGTGCGGCAACTTCCCCGGGTGGTATTGCCGGCGATGGTCGCGGATGGAACAATGGTCGCATCATCGCGTTGATGAGTATTGACGTGGATCGTATTAACCTTGCTATGGGCATGTTCCACATGATCTGGTCTGCTCCGATTACGATAATCGTGACCCTGGTTCTACTGATTGTCAACATTGGCTACAGTTGTCTCTCCGGATATGCTCTGCTTGTGTTTGGTATGCCGTTCTTGACCTTCGCCGTGCGATTCCTGATCAAGAGACGTCGAAACATCAACAAGATCACCGACCAGCGTGTGTCTCTCACGCAAGAGATTCTGCAAGCAGTTCGATTTGTCAAATTCTTCGGTTGGGAAAGCAGCTTCCTCGGTCGTTTGAAGGAGATTCGGAAACGCGAGATTCGTTCTATCCAGACACTACTGGCTGTTCGAAATGGTATCCTGTGCGTATCCATGTCGATCCCGATTTTCGCCTCGATGCTCGCCTTTATCACCTATGCTTTGTCGAAGCACGACTTGAACCCTGCTCCAATTTTCTCGTCGCTTGCTCTGTTCAACTCCCTGCGTATGCCGCTTAACATGATGCCCCTCGTCATTGGACAAGTCACAGATGCCTGGACTGCTCTCAATCGGATCCAGGAGTTCCTCTTGGCTGAAGAGCAGAAGGAAGATATCGAAAAGGATGAGACCATGTCGAATGCTATCGAGATTGAAAACGCCTCATTCACCTGGGAGCGTTTGCCCACTGACGAGAAGGAAGGGGAGAAAGACCAGAAGAAACAAGGGAAACACCCCGAACCTACTGGCCTTACCTCCCCCGACGAAAAGGAACACACAGAGGCAGTTCCGCTGGAGCCATTCAAGCTCAAAAATGTCACATTGGAGGTAGGACGAAACGAGCTGCTTGCAGTAATTGGAACCGTTGGCTGTGGCAAGAGTTCTCTGCTCTCTGCACTGGCTGGTGATATGCGCGTGACTGATGGAACGGTTCGCATGAGTACGACACGATCTTTCTGCCCGCAGTATGCCTGGATCCAGAACGCCACAGTGCGCAACAACATTCTCTTTGGAAAGGAATACGACGAATCCTGGTACGAACAAGTCATCGACGCCTGCGCTCTCGCTCCAGACTTGGAGATTCTTCCCAATGGCGACTCGACTGAGATTGGAGAGCGTGGTATCACCGTGTCTGGTGGTCAGAAGCAACGTCTGAATATCGCTCGTGCCATCTATTTCAACGCAGAGCTTGTGCTCATGGATGATCCGTTGTCGGCTGTAGACGCCCACGTCGGACGTCATATCATGGACAAGGCGATTTGTGGTCTTCTCAAGGACCGCTGCAGAATTCTGGCTACCCATCAGCTCCATGTGCTCAGCCGTTGCGATCGTATTGTTGTTATGGAAGAGGGCCGGATCCAGGCTGTTGATACCTTTGAGAATTTGATGCGTGATAATGAACTTTTCAAGCGACTCATGTCTACCTCTGGACAGGAAGACTCGAAAGAGGAAGAGGCTGAAGTTGCTGACGAGATTGTCGATGAGTCAAACGAGAAGGCTGCACCTAAGAAAATCACACCTGGTAAGCCTGCTGCTGCTGCTCTGATGCAGCAAGAAGAGAAGGCCACCGCATCCGTCGGATGGAGTGTGTGGAAGGCGTATATCCGTGCATCGGGTAGCTACTTCAACGCCCTTGTGGTGTTTATCCTTCTCGGTCTTGCCAACGTCGCCAACATCTGGACAAGTCTGTGGCTGTCTTACTGGACATCTAACAAGTACCCGGGTCTGTCGACCGGCCAATATATCGGTGTCTATGCCGGACTCGGTGGCAGTGTTGTCCTGCTGATGTTCGTCTTCTCGACGTACATGACGACTTGTGGAACGAACGCTAGTCGCACCATGCTTCAGCGCGCGATGACTCGTGTGCTGCGTGCACCCATGTCATTCTTCGACACGACTCCTCTGGGCCGAATCACCAATCGTTTCTCCAAGGATATTCAGGTCATGGACAATGAACTCTCGGACGCGATGCGTATCTATGCTTTGACAATGACTATGATTATCTCGGTCATGGTATTGATTATTGTCTTTTTCTACTACGTGAGTGATCCTCCTTTCCGGTTTTCTTTTTTCCAGTACTGACTATCTCCAGTTCGTCATCGCTCTTGTCCCCCTGTTCATCCTGTTCCTGCTTGCTTCCAACTACTATCGCGCCTCCGCTCGCGAGATGAAGCGCCATGAAGCAGTCCTGCGATCGATCGTCTACGCTAAATTCGGCGAAGCCATCACCGGTACAGCGTGCATTCGCGCCTACGGCGTCGAGAACCAGTTCCGAAACAGCATTCGGACTTCCATTGACACCATGAATGGCGCCTATTTCCTCACTTTCTCCAATCAACGCTGGCTTAGTGTGCGACTCGATGCCGTCTCTACAGCCCTTGTGTTCGTGACTGGTGTCTTGGTCGTTACCTCTCGATTCAACGTCTCGCCTAGTATCTCCGGTTTGGTTCTGTCTTACATTCTAGCCATCGCACAGATGCTGCAATTCACCGTTCGCCAACTCGCCGAGGTGGAAAACAACATGAACGCAACGGAGCGCGTTCATTATTACGGAACTGAGCTTGAGGAGGAAGCACCCCTGCACCGGGTCGAGGTGGATGCCAGCTGGCCTGAGAAGGGTCACATTGTGTTCGATAACACGCAGATGCGGTATCGCGATGGTCTGCCCCTCGTTCTCAAGGGTCTGACCATGGACGTCCGCGGAGGCGAGCGCATTGGTATTGTTGGACGCACTGGCGCCGGCAAATCCAGTATCATGTCTGCATTGTTCCGTCTCACCGAATTATCCGGCGGTTCCATCCACATCGATGGCATTGACATCTCCACCGTCGGTCTGCATGACCTCCGTTCTCGACTAGCCATTATCCCTCAAGACCCAGCTCTCTTCAAGGGCACCATCCGCTCCAACCTCGACCCCTTCAACGAACACACCGATTTAGAACTATGGTCCGCCCTCCGCAAAGCCTATCTCATCGGTGACGAACCCACCACCACCGACCCCGAAACCATCCCAGGAACCGGCACCACAACCCCCCTCACAGGGAGCGACTCCAAACCCCGCCCAATAAACCGCCTAACCCTCGAATCCGCCGTCGACGAAGAAGGCCTCAACTTCTCCCTCGGTCAGCGACAACTCATGGCCCTCGCGCGTGCCCTTGTCCGCGACGCCCGCATCATCGTCTGCGACGAAGCTACCTCGTCCGTTGACTTTGAGACTGATCAGAAGATTCAGCATACGATGGCGCAGGGCTTTGAGGGGAAGACGCTTTTGTGTATTGCGCATCGGTTGCGGACGATTATTCATTATGATCGCATTTGTGTCATGGATCAGGGACGGATTGCGGAGATGGATTCTCCTGTTAAGCTTTGGGATAGGGAGGATGGAATTTTCAGGGCTATGTGTGAGCGGAGTGGGATTACGAGGGAGGATATTTTGGGGTCGGATTGAGATCCTGGCTTCCAAGGATTGGTGGATGGGGATTCAATTAAAAGTATATACTTGATGCAATTAGGCTTAATCTGAACATATAATGATACAAACAATCGACTCTTACCACACTTCCCGTCTCTCCTTTGGTACTAAGTTCTTTGACTAATCATAACTGATCAATTCCGATACTATTTAGGAGACATTGGCCTCGGATAGGCCTCAGATAGGCCATAGAAGCCAGGAGAACAAACTGTATATGCTAGGCCTAGGATGGTGGAGCCAGAACTGGTGGCCAGGGGAGCAGAAAACAACCGACTAGGTATTCACACTAATCCTCATGCCCATCTTGACAAGAATCAAGATCAACATATCCTGCATAAGATTTGACACCCGGGGTCGTTTCGCAGACACCTTCCTTCCCGGGCTCCTTGTAGCGGATAGTAACATTGTTTGCTGTTTTAATGGTTTTCACTCCAGTGGGCTCGTTTGGTAACTGTCGCGGTGAGAAGCCGGAGGCAATTGGTATAGAGAAGGCTAGTATTAGCGGAGGAACCCAGATGTTGAGGCGCATTTTGGCCTCGGGATGAGTTCGGTATAAAAGCTGATCGCTGAGGGTAGAAGCCTGGTCAGCTAATGATCAGAGAAGAAAAAGGATATCAAGTGTTGACTGCCAGTTCAAATTACAGATTGGATTTTCTACAGATTTGAAACTATTCGCATGGCATTGAAAACCCCATATTTCGAGTCTTTATCGGCAAAAGCGATAGTTGATATGGGGTGAAGATCAACGGTTGGCAAATCAGACGCGAGATCGAGCAGGTGAATTTTCGGGTTGATAAGAATCCCATTACCAGTATTAATCCTCGCCATACCATTGTATCCATTATAACAGAACAATTTTGGCGTCTTGTTCTCGTACGATTGATTATATTAACAGACCTTTCTACCCGGAATAGCGCACGTAGAAGGGTAGACATGTTTTGCACAGATATAAGCCGTATATATAGCAATAAGGAAGCATTCTAATGGAACGATAAGTGTTTATTCAAGAGAAGATTAGCCAATTCTGGCGATACACATGAACGAGTACTCCATTTTAGTATGCTCGATGTAAGAGCCCAGGATAGGAACCCCATATCAAGCCTAAAGGACTATAGCTTCTCGATCTACAAAGAATTGAGATGGATAGCAATCAGTATAGATGTGTTCAGTCTTAGGGGTTCTTCGGAGGGTAGCGAGCCTGATTCCAACCTAAACATACACCTCGGGTATAGCGCTAGAAAATACATAATCATAGCATAAGTCGGTATCTCAGTTCATGATTGCGGGGTGCATTAGGCTTGGTGAAGGTGCACTAAGGGCTGGTAGTTTTTAGCGACGGCGGGCAAACGCAATCTTAGAATTTATGTGATGCGGAGGCGGATCGTTTATTGTGGCGGTATATAGGTTCTAGCTAGTAATATTTCGGTACAACGCCACCACTTGCGATGAGCTTCCAATTGCCGGGCAGGGAGCTTAACCGGACTTATCTTCTGTTGCCGAATAGGAGGGGGCACAAATTCGACGTCTATGACTCGTTCCCTTCCTCTTTCGCGAGAAATTCGGATAGGTGACCCCTACTATACGACAAGAAGACTAGATTGCAAGTCGGTCTAGTGGTAGTGCGCCACTTAGTTTTGTTAATTCATTAAAGGCCACTGATGATGCTCAATATACTACCTATTCCTTATCTAACTCACAGACCAATTCCATCCCCAAATTCCTCATCATCCCCTCTATCCCAGCCTCCCTCCATCCTTCCACATCTCTCCCATCCAACTCAACCTTGACCTCATCCTCCGACAATGCCCCAACCGGTAAACCCGTATGCCTCACAGACAAACCAGGCGCTGTTCCAACAACTCTCATTCTCAATCCGGTCAAAATACTTCGCAAGTGATCCGCCGCCTTCCCACCACCCCGCGACCCATACGATACGATCCCCGCCGGCTTGCCCTTCCACTCATGGAACAGATAGTCCAGCGCGTTCTTCAGGCTGGCGGGGATACTCCAGTTATACTGGGGCGTGACGAAGATGAAGGCGTCAAAGTCGCGGACGACGGCGGACCAGGCGCGTGTGTGGGGCTTTGTGTAGTGTGGTGTTGGGTCATCAGCGGGCAGGCTGGCAGGGATGACAGATTCGTCGTAGAGGGGGAGGGATTGTTTGGCTAGATCGAGGATTGTGAAGGTTATGTGGCGGGGATCGGTATCGATGGTTTCTGGGGAGGTTTGGGATGGTTTTTGCGTTGGAAGAGTTGGGTCGTTAGTTAGGACGTCATAGACGTATTGCGTGATGGTCGGGTTGAGACGTGGGGAGCGCGTGCTGCTGGTGACGATGGCGATGTGTTTGGGAGGCATGCTGAGGATGAATGTGGTTTGCTAAAAGGTGGAAATCCAGAAATCAATTGACTGGAGGGTCAAGGTTAGTTCAGAAGGGAGTGGAAGCTTCAAGGGAGGTTTGTAGGGTTCTAAGTTGATCTGGTCCGCGGATCCGCGTATCCGCGAAGCTGAGCTTTTGTGGGTCGGGACATTCTGAGATGGTCCATGCGTATTTTATAACTTGTGTATAGACCTCTAGGATCAAGAAAATAAAAGTAGTGCTTCCTGAAGATAGTATGGATCCCAAGTTCGTTCCTAATCGTTCGAGTAAACACTGTGCCAGTAGCCTAATAGCCACCGAGGATTTCAAAAGCAGTGCTTTTCCTCCGAGCGATATTTTTTACTTGAAATTTCGCGAAACTTGAGCTGTTCAGAGAACGTCCTCTACCTATGCGACGTGATAATTAGTGCTTGTAGTCGCCTAGAACTCCAGTTTCCCTATCAACTGCATTGGTCGACTCCCCTGGTGTTACGCTCAAGCACGAGAGTGATGCTGATCAATCAACATAAAAGCATTCGACCGAGATAACTAAGCATAAGGGAAGAAAAGAAGGGAATATCAGAATGGCGAGAGAGCCATCTAAATAGTAGATTGATGCCATAGGAACCAGGCATCAGCATCAAGCATCAAACATATTTCGTGACACCTAGCCCCTCAGGAAATTCGTCATGATTCAACTCAAAACTGCGTGTGGACGGAGTCGGTATCTCTGACTGTTCCACCAATGGCCTTCACCGCATCCAGAAGCCTTTTTTCACTTTTAAAGTCAGGCTGGTGGTCATCATGGGAGTTAGCCAGAAGAAATTGTCATTTGGAAACCATTCTGGACGATAAATGGATTCCGCTAGGGGGTCGAAGGTCAAACTGTGCATATCGTCATTATTTGGATGCAGGAAGCTCCCTCATTTGAGGCGTCCAAACAATATCACATATATTTGGACCCCATCTGTCTCTCTACTATCGCGCCAATGGCCAGGTCTCAACCCTTCCAGTGAGAAGGATCTATTAAGAACTCCAGAATTGGGTCTGAAGCTGGACATCTATAGTCAATCGGACAGTCCTAGACTGGAAAGGGCAACAATTGGTAGTAATTTGGTCCTTCATGCTTGGCCCCTGGCGGTACCCACTATCCAATGCTTGTCTGGACCTGGGAGGCCTTACAAGAATGAGGAGTAGAACGCTAAAAAGGCAGGCCTATTCTAAGTATCGCCTCAAAATCTCCAGTACGACTCCATCGATCGATAATTATAGACTCCTATCACGGTAAGTAAAGACACAAGGTCACTCTGTCTAATAGGCCCAACTTGATGCTGGCAAGTCGTTTTCCCTGAAAATCAAGTATTAGAGAGTTTTTACGCGGAATTTGACGGGTTGTGTTAATTTAAGATCTCCCTCGAAGCCAGCCTTATGAATCGTCTTGTGGTCCTTCGCCTGATGGGCAACACATTTGCCGCTACTTTGCTGGCTGTATGACAGATTCCGAATTTCCTAAGCCTAGGCGTGTAGTGAAGAAATAGACTTTCGCACAAAGCAAGAATATAAGATTTCCATAGTGAACCCACCTCGATTAAACGACTCCCGGTATATTACCTACTTATCAGCTAGCAAACGGGAACCGAGATGGTATACAGATTCTCGAAGGCAGTCTTTTGCTTGGGCTCAAGTGAAAGAACCGTATTTCACATTTCTCAGCCCGAGATACATCATCGCCGCTGCGTTGGTATCAGTTTGTATGATATGAGAGCGATATTCTATATGACCTAGAGTATTTTCTTCGATCTGAATACTAGGATGGGCCCCCGTGAGATTTTCTTGGAACATATTCTCACAAGTCATCATTTCTACGCTCTGTGATCCATGTCGAACAGATCTGGAAGAATAATGCCGTCTTGAATCATTATCAAGTTCAGTCTTGGCCGACCAGATTTTCAAGAAGGCACTCTCGGGATATTGCCTCAGTAAGGCATTCATCCAATTCCTGAATCAAACATACAAACTACAAGCGAAAGCCCGATGTCACGCGGGAACCTGGGCCACCTGTTGCCCGAGGGTGGCCTGGGGCAGTCATGAGGCCTCCCATCCAAAAGTGGCTTAGTCTAGTCCTAACAGGAATAATTATCGGTGAGTGGAAGGCTGTGCGATGATAGTGGATTTGGAAAGGCTGCCAACTAAATATCTCGCGCTAAGCTTTGTCGGAGCATGGCACGGAGATAATGATATGCAGTATTGACAAGGATATCAAAATAGAGCGGGCCGGTCTTAGTTGGTGGCTATGCCATGGCCGTGTGTCCAGTATATGTAATTATTCCTTGTCGGCCCCAGCGAGAGATTGGACTTCAACGGCAGGCTTCTCTGCCTGGTGGCCAACCATATTGTCTTCTTACCGTTGGCATTCTATGATTATTTTAGAGGGTACTTACCTGGTAGATTAATGAGTTTTATCTTTTGGGAATCATCTATTTTTGAGCATTGGATCGTGCATAAATCCTCACACAATAAGCAAAAAATAGAATTCCATAGTTAGAATGTTTTTAGAAGCCAATAGGCAAGGCTCCCTTCCCATTCTTCTAGATAGTACGTGTTAGTTGAGTTGACTTGGCAAGTAATTATTCACAAGAGAGCCGGCCAGAGTGTATTAGGGGCTGGTAGATAGGACTCAGAATGAATTTAAGAAATCACAAGCTTAGACTAGTTTGCTTAGTAGAGATAAGGTCTAGTTTACGTAATTCCTGGCCATGGTGATTTGGATTTGATACTGTGCGCCCATAGGTCGGACACGTTGTTGGCGGTTCAGAATCGCGACTCTGCAAGAACTTTCCGAGCCGCGATTCCTTTTCATACCCATACGATCTCCTTCTAGGAGTTTCAATCGTCCGACGAGGAGCGGTAAATTTCCCTAAGGATTGAAGCAGTGTTCCTGGTTTTTGACAATTAGCTATATCGAACGGCCAGAGGTAAGGAACAGGAATGTGAAGTCGGACTCTATACTGTGCGTCCATCAGTAGAGAGCCTATTCAGTTGTTTAAACCAGCGACTTCGAAGAAAGCTATTTGGAACAGCCACCTAGCGAAGCTAGGGGCATTGGCTAGTCGTTCCCGATTTTCTATCCTATTATTATGTGTCCACGTGCCCGTGCGTAGCCACCATAGATCCCCTCTCTTCAAATTCTTGGGATGTTTGATAGCCTATATGTTTAGTGGCAATATCCTTATTAGGCAAATAGTCTGCCCAGTACTGAATTAACATTTCTCAAGGCTTACAGCTTGGTTGCCGAAGCTGTTCGCGACAAGATTTGTAGCTCATGCTCCGTTCCGCTGAAGAACGCTAATTAACTACCCGAAGCTAGTCTCGGAGAACTTGCGCATTTAGGCACAAGGAAGTAAGAGGCCAAGACGCTTATTTTTGTCGGAAAGCCATGCACCGACTTTATTTCCAACACGTGGGATATGAGATCATAGCACCATTCTTAACGATCTCGTCTAATGATCTTAGGATTTTTGTTGAGTATTCCTTCCTTTCGAAGCGATATCTCGATAATATTTTCGCGAGTACCCATTGCCCAACCACGATAGACAACGGCGTCCACGTTTTACAGGGACCAGCTCGGCAAAATGCAAGGCGCAGGATGGCTTGCTAACAGTCTGCAGACTAACCACTTTGGCTCAAAATATTCATCTTCACAAGGTAGTATCCCTGCGTCTTTACCCCTCTCCTCTCGGGAATTATGAAGTCCACCAACACCATCTGAGCATGAGATATCTTATAAGAAGGCCATTAACTCCTGCAAGTTTTGAATTCGTTCTCCCAGGCAAACAAAAAACAGCTACACGATGAGATCTCTTCTCGCTCTTGGTATCTTCTTCACGGCGTCTGCTCACGCGACGACCACCAGCGGCAAATTTACCGCTTTGAGTTTCAATGTTGCAGGTCTTCCGTCCATCCTCCAGTCGAACGACGTGAATGGGTCGAAGACCGAGAATGCTGGGGAGATTGGCACCTATTTCGCTAAATATGGTTATGATATTATCCACATGCAGGAGGTGATTATGAACTTTCTTGGTCTATGCGTACATATGATTTAACATCATCTATAGGATTTCAACTACCATGCATACATTTACGCTACCGATAACCATGCCTACCGAACTGCCACTTCTGGGGGTGCCGCCATCGGCAGTGGACTGAATACAGTGTCGAATTACGATTGGGTTGACTTCACTCGTTCAAAGTGGAATACTTGCTCGGATGCATCGGGCAGCGACTGTCTCACTCCAAAGGGGTTCACCTTCATGCGCTGGAATCCATCCACCGGAGTTTACATCGACTTCTATAACATCCACGCCGATGCCGGGTAAGTCAAAACTATAATTTCTGTTACCAAGAAAAAAGGCTGACTGCTTTCAAGTACCGAGGATGGCGATGAGACTGCGCGCAATAGCAATCTGCAGCAGGTCGCGGATTATATCGACACCTGGTCCACCGGAAATGCAGTGGTCGTGATGGGTGACACCAACAGTCGGTACACCCGCAGTGCTGATACTGGTATCCGCGTCTTCCAGTCCCAGAACGGTCTCAGCGATGCGTGGGTGAATCTCGAAAGGAGCGGTGTTTATCCGACCGCAGGTGCTGATGCGATTCTTTGTGACAACCCGTCAACGGTTGAGACCTGCGAGACTGTCGACAAGGTCCTATACCGAGGATCCAAGATCGTGGCTCTCTCAGCCAGCAGCTTTGACTACAATGGCGAAAAGTTCCTGAACACCGACTCTGCATACCTGGGTGATGTTCTATCGGACCACAACCCTGTTCTCGTCAACTTTACCTGGACTATGTCGAGCTCTCTTCGACAGAGCGAATTCTCCGGTGGTCCCCACGGTACCTGGTTCAGCGATCTTCCCAATATGCCATCATCTCCCAAGGCATCTGTGCTGACCTTCAGTGGTTCCAGTCGTCTGGACGCTGTTGGGGTCAAGCTCACCGACGGAACGTCATTCAGCCATGGAGGAACCGGTGGCACTGCAAAGTCGCTCACTCTCGGCTCAGGCGAGCATTGGATCACTACTGAGCTCTGCACGGGTCAATACAACAACCAGACTCGTAACTTCTATATCAAGGCTACCACCAGTGCCGGAAACACATTGGAAGCCGGCACAGCGACTGACAGCTGCACTACATATACTGCTGATTCTGGCTATGCCGTTGTTGGATTCATGGGACAAGATGGCGATGAGATTGACCAGCTGGCTCTCATCTATGCTCCTTACTAGTGATGGACCTTACTTAGGATTGAGAAGAGCTTGACTTTACGGAGAGACAATTATTGACCGTGCATAGCCATATCTCACAGATAACCTCATGGTAAAGGCCGAGTCTCCTAATCTCTTTTTATACTAGATCCGCCTTTTGAAACCAAACAAAAATTCAGTTGTAGCATTTCTCAAAGGATAGTCAGCATGATCCAATTCTCATTCTAGGCCGGTAATGCAGATTAGATGCTTGGCGCAAGCTCAGGCGAGCTTCTGATCAATTATCAATCAAGATTGTGAGCGACGCTTGGCATGCAAGTTTTCCATCGGTGCGTCGACACCGTAATTCATGGCCTTCTTCAGATCCCCAAGGAATAGACTAGCAATGCATGCCAGAACTCCAAAGGGGACTGCAATGATAAAGACGACTCTTAGCCCATCGGCATATGCCTGCTTCAGGGAGCTGATACCAGAGTCAATTATCTCCAGAGTGACACCAGATATGCCTTTCAAAGCGGCATTGTCTTCTGACGAAACAGCTTTAACAAAAGCTTTGATAGAAGACTTTGGAAGTCCTGCCCGCACAGCTGCCTTTGAGACATACTCGGGAATATATTTCTCTAGGCGTGCGCTGAAGGCGGCAGAGAATATAGCTGTGAAAACGGCAGTAGCGATGGCACGAGAGCAAGTCGTAGCTGCTGTGGCTGTTGCAATCAAATGATGCGGCACTGAGAGTTGAACTCCAGCAATTGCCAAGATCAAGGGGGAGCCGAAACCCAGTCCAGCCAGAGCAACGAATGCCATAGCACTGAAGTCGTTATTAGGTTGAATTGTGGACAGACCAATGAAACCGCAAGTGAAGATGACGAACCCGGCAACCATTGGGGAACGGATTGTCTGGAATTTAGTACTGCAATAGCCGTAAATCACAGTGCTTATAGCTGAAGCAATCCAATATGGTAGTTGTCGAGCCGCGCCCAAGAATGGGTCCGTTTCAAACAGAGTTTCTGTCCTATACAAAGTGAAGATTAGTATCATCATGAGCATATTTAGATCTCGTTCCAAATGCAGTCCTTACAGAACAGGGTAGAAGATAATGAAGGCAAAAAGCAGGATCCCCTCAATGAATATGAGACCAATGCAGATAGCAAAGGTATGACGTGCACTGTCTCCGTTTCTTCCACCGTGGAAGAGATCGTGGTGTAGGATTCCAGTCTTTGTGAATTTCCACTCGTAGATCCCAAAGGCGAATAGAGTGATAATCCCTATGATCAAAGTAGCCAATACCGGCGCACTAGACCAGGTGTAAAGACTACCTCCAAGATTGAGCCCAGTCAAGAAAATAGCCAAGCCCGCAGTGAGCAGGGAAAAGCCTGGAAGATCGACGCGGCCAAGCTTCTGCCAAAAAGACAGATGATCAAATCGAGTGTGTCTTTTCGGGGGTCTGTAGCCAACGAAAATACCGATCGCTGCCATGCCCCAGAGGGCCATTTGAACCCACTTTACTAATAGTTAGATCTGTTTATTGTATTTTGGAATGGAAGCTTGAAAGGAACACGTGCATAAAAGTTTCTCCAACCAGTATGAGGGTTCGCTCTCGTCAATGCACCGATGATCAAGGGACCTGAACAAGCACCTAGGGCCGCAGCAATGTTGATGCAAGCTTGAACCACTGATAGGTAATCAATTAGAATGGCTCAACCAGGCTATTCATACCAGCAGAAGAAGTTGAACTCACTTGGTCTCCATTTTCGGGGCAAAATATCACTCGGGACGCAGTATGCCAGCGGGACCGTGGCAAATCCAAATCCAATTAGCACCTGAGCTGCGATAAGACGATATATATTGGTCGACCCAGGGGCGATAGCACATCCGATAAATGAAATGATGGCCGGGCCGACGAGAAATGCCTTTCTAGCCTGGAATGTATCCGAGAGGGATGCGATGACAGGAGCGAGGACAGCTTGAACAAGAGATAAGGAATTGGGAACCCAAGTGCCTGTGGCAGTGTTTTTGAGGTCTTTTTCGATATAAGAAAGCTGGAAAACAGATCAGTCAGTCAATTGATAGCCGTGTTGGTGAAAAACGCTACAGTACCACAGTTGGGGGACCGAGAAGCCCGAAAACCTGGACGAGATTCAATAGTAACATGGCAGCCAAGGCAAAATAGGTCTGCGCATGTAGCTCTGGCTCTTCATCTTCTTCATACACTAGATTCTCTTCAATTTCTTCCTTTGTATTTTCCACATGTTGGAACTGTTCCACTACATTGTCCTTGTTATGAGGCTCCGGACCCTCATACGCGGCCGGAGAAGACATTGCGGAAGAGGGTACTGTAATGAAGATAAGAATTATGAGAGGCTCTGTAGAATGCTATCGAATGTTAGGGCAGATGAATTACATTATTTATAGGTCCTTTCTCAGTCATCGAGCGGCCTAGAACTTTAATTGCCTGGGGCCCCGCGTTTCCCCCGGACCCTACGATCTTCCCCACAAACAGAATGACAGGGCCCGCAAAGCCGAAGCTGCGTATTGAATCATAGAAAATCTGTGTTGACCAGTGAATAGATGAGATCCCACTTTCGTGTATTCCTTCGACTCTAATCCAGCGGCTATGGGGTATAGATCCTGGTGTCCATACAGTATGCTGACTCACATATCTTACATATGAACGAGAGCGACGATACTACAAAGTTATTTCCACTATTAGAACCCGCTCCGTTGATGCCCTGATTTCCATACATTGGCCATCCTTGTTGGGGATATTGCGGGTGTACAACGGGCCGAGTGTATGCGTCGGGAAAGCACCGCTTTTAAACCTTCTTAAAGACCTCTCAACGCCGCTATTTCTCTGTTCCTCATTTGTTTAGATCTTCCTCTACTATTCAGAAAGATAGTGAGATGTTCATAAACATTGTAATTCAGGACACGCTTCGCGAAGTCATGACGTCAATCGCCCAAAGACATACCACATACGGTAGGCCCCACCCTACACAAATTCATGAAAACTTTACCAGGTGCGTAATGTTTAAGATAAGACTGCGATCGAATAGCTGCCCAATAGCTTTCAAGTGGGTAATGAGCTCTGAGTTGCCCGAGGTATTCAGGGTCCCAAAACGAAACAGTGGCTGGACCGTCATAAACCGAACATCACGCCAGTTTATTCTTTTTCACCCCGATGACTACTATTAAAAATTGGAAAATCGAAGTATGTGAGGAACAAGATTCCCTAAAAAGCAGTCATAGATTCTAGTTGCTTAAACGAGATGGTGCGACGAATTGATAGGTTGCGCTATATCGACATGGAAGATCATTGCAATTGATACACAGTATCCAGCATGCTTCAGCTTTTCCTTTACTACGCTCTCCGGGTGGACTCAAACTCATTTACCTCAAATTCGTCATTTGTGGGATCTTCCAACGCGCAACTTGGCAGGAAAAGGAGTGAATGTGATGAGATGACTTTTACTTGTGCGACCGATCTATCCATTTCCCACTGAATCCTTGAATCAGACAAGCTAGAATGGCGACTCTCTAAAGATAACAAATTAGCGAGAAATTTACTTGAATGTTTATTTTTGGTCAATAGGGGTGCTTGTATGTTGATTTCAGCCAACCAGGCTGATGACTCGATCCCTTTGACCTCGAGGGTTTGCAGGGTTTGTCGTCTTCTTTGGCCCTGCATGAAGCAGGCCGGGTTTTTCCTGTCAGGACCAGGCCTTGTTCCTTTCCTTTGTGCTTCAGGGCCTTATAGACTCTGCTCTGTTCCTTCTGCTTCTTCTTCCTTTTCCTAGTCGTCTTCGTCTTCATGCTCTAGATAGACCAATTGACTCAGTCTCTCTCTCTCTCTCTCTCTCTCTCTCTCCGCTTCCTGTGCCAGCAGTGCTGTGGGCGCTGTCACAGGCAATTTGAATCGGGTCAAGTATTCCGAGTCCGACATCAGAGTAGCGGTGTAGTAAGAATTGCATAGCGAGCTCTCGCCTGGCAATGAGCATTTGATCATGATCCTGCCGCAAAATTGCAGTGTGTCCTCACAATTATCCTGCGTCGATTTTCTCAGAACGTGATGTACTAAAATCGCGTAAACATCCACTATATTACTAGAAGCGGGGATCCCTTCGCAGGCCACAAACCAGCCACTCCCGCCCCCACGTGCGTTCGATCACGCTCCGCTGCCCGTGATATCTTCGGTGCGAAGTCCTACGGTACTTTTTGCACTCGTAGCATCGCTCGACAGGTAGTCAGACTGCTGTACTCGAACTAGAGGCAAGTCTCATTGTTACTGGTCAGTATGGCACAAGCTAATGAGATCGACAGTGAGCTCAGCTGGCGTGTACTTCCATCTCGGCTCCGATTCGCAGAAGCAAGCGAGATCGAGCGCATTACCCCTGCATCGTGCATCATGGAGGATGAGCCGTTGCCCTCACCACCGGCTGTGATCGCCCTACGGGAATCATTTGGTGATCGGAAGCCGCCCGATATCACTCGCAAAATTACCGCCTGTGTGGCATGCCGGAAACAGAAGGTTGCTTCTCCGATAATCGTCCATTTTCAATTGACTTATGCATAAAAAAGGTTAAGTGTCATATGCGAGACGGACAGGCTCCGTGTTCAAGGTGCAAGAAGCGAGGTCTACCCTGCACTGTCAACCGTAGCTTACAAACTCTCCTAGAAGAAGATGTTACGTGAGTATCATACCTGTTTCAAGGCTCCATGACCTGGCTGATTGAATATAGATGGAAAGGCGCAGTCGTGCAAAAGATAAAAAGACTGGAAGAAACTATTGCAAAAATTGCATCGAAGGTTGATTTATCTGACCTTGATCTTCAAGCACAGCCAGAGGAGCCAGATTATATGAGCCCGCCTGTTGTTGATATGTCCAATGCAGAGCATCAAGCCAGCCCAGAGAAACAATCAAGAGAGGAAAGAGAGCCAACACAAACCTGGGAGGTGATTATGGATCCTCGTGGTGGTCCAGCATCAATCCCAGCGTCCTGTCTGTCAGAGAACATTAGAGCGGCCTTACCAAATAGCTTTCCGACCTCTCGAAAGCCAGACCTGATATCGACCGGGATTATCACGTTGCGAGAGGCATTGGCGCTATTTGATACCTATCATTTACGATTGGATCATTTCTTATATCGCATACTGGGTGACCATATCAGTTTGAATTCAGTACGAGTCGCATCACCGTTGTTGACAGCGGCATTATGCACGATTGGAGCTCTTCATTCACCTTCCTTGGGCCACTTGTTTGATACCTGCTTTGCAGAGTACAAAGACCTTGTGACATCACAAGTATTCTCCAAGAATGCAAATGCAGACGATATTAGGGGACTGTGTATTGGTGCCTTCTGGCTGCATGAGCTTTCATGGGTACTTATCGGAAATGGTACGTCTATCAAATATTTGAAAGATTTCATCACGGCGTGAAAATAAATATTGATTGACCTAGCTGTCCGGGTCGCCTCCGATATCAATCTTCACAGTGGAATTTACAAGGCTCTCAAAGGCGACCGAGAAGGTTACGTCCAGGCTCGACTATACTACCTTGTCTATGTGTGTGATCATCACTTTTCTGTTGCATACGGTCGGCCTCCAATGTCTCGCGAAGGCTTCATCATTGAATCTGCCAGCAAGCTACTAGACACCGAGCATGCAACCGAAGATGACGCTAGACTGATCAGTCAAGTCAAGGAGTGGTCTGTTCTAGGCAAAGTCTTTGACACATTTGGCGTGGATGTAGACACAGCCATTGCCCCTGAAACAATACCACAGCTGCGTCGATATTCGATTGCCTTGGATACGTGGTTTGCTGACTGGCATGAGAGCTTCAGCGAGAACAGGAGAGTTGGAAACTATCCCCAGAAGGGTGTTGGCTTTCACTTCCACTTTGCCAAACTATACCTTTGCTCTCACGCATTCCGCGGCGTTCCTGCCGGTGAAAATGCCGCACAATGCTTCTCACCCGAGTTGGAAGAAATCGCCAATGCTGGTGTTCTATCCGCCATGTCGATTCTTCGAGTCATTGTCTCAGACGCAGAGTTCCGATCGTTTATGAACGGTCTCCCTTTGTACTTTGACACAATGCTCGCATTCGCTGTGGTTTTCCTCCTCAAGGTGGCTACTAAATATGCGACCGTGATCCGGATCGACACTTCCAAGATCCTTTCTCTTGTTACCCAGACGGTGGCTGCTCTGCGGGGAATTACTCAATCAATGCACCGACAGCATCTCCTCGTCGTTATCGCAGAGGGACTTGAAAGACTCCTCGTCAGATGCCAACTCCCAGTGCAAATGACACAAGAGGCAGCCTATCATGCATCACCAGCAATGGAGCCTCCCCCCCCCGTTTGAAATGGGCTGGATGGAAAATATGGCGAGCTTCGATTTTCAGACCAACTTTCCGGACATGGACGACTGGTGGCTTCATTATAACAGTTCAATAGGTCCGGGCCGTGCTATGGGGCATGTTGTTTAGAGAAAATATCGGAGCCCATGATGATCGGGTAAATACCGCTAGCAGCAACAACAAAGCTGAGCTTATGAATTATTATATTCTCTTGTACATACATGACTCACTCACGTTTCTTCATCATGATATGGACAAAGTAGCAACAGCTATACTCAATATTGCTATAAGGATCCAAAGGACCGAATTGCTGGGGAATATGGTCTTCGACCACTCTCCTGCTAGGCTGCTCTTCGCCATTACCGAAGGCTTCGCTGTGATGTTTTTCGCGTTGTGTGTATCCTCCTTCGAAAGTGTCTCTGTCGACTCAGCGATCTGCTTCTCGGAGTTGGAAGTCGTAAGAGAGTCGCCCAAAGATGACACGAGGTCTGGGGAGGCAGTTGAAGTTTCGATACTCTCCTGGGTTTCTGTTGGAGGCGAGTTAACTGGGGGTGTTTTCTGGCCTGTCTCTGATGATAAAGTTCCGTCTTCAGAGATGTTGATAGATTCCTGGGATGATGGCAGATCGGCCAGTTTCCCGAGTTCCAGGAGCGAATTGGCGATACCCTCATGGTTATAAAGCCGAGCCAATGCAAATGGCGTGTGTCCCAGTGAGTTCTTTCTCCAAACTTCAGCACCAGCTCCCACTAGTCTTCGAACAGCAATTTCATTGCCATATATGACAGCTAGGTCGAGCAAGATGTTCAGCTCATGACGTCCTTTGGGCAAGGCAGCCCCGTGCTCAACCAATGTAGGACAGATCTTCACTTCCTGAGTGGTGGCTGTCTCCAGGGCGGTTTCGCCCCACTCATCCTTTAAGTCGACTTCAGCACCTGCAGCCAACAGGATGTCTGCAACTTCCGGGCCGTTATAGAGGGCTGTCAGATGTAGAGGTGTTCGACCGTAGTTGTTGGGTAGGCTCACAGGTGCCCCATGCTCAATCAGTAAGCGCGCGATTTCACTGTTGTTCTTAGTGGCGCTGTAGTGGAGTGCCGAGTCACCGACATCTGGATCCTGTGCACTGATCTCTGATGCTGTAGCTGTTGGGAGTCGTTCACGCAGCTCTTCAACTGACTCGGCACTAGCCAAGGCCCATAAAGGTAACGGCTCGTTGACCGACATCTCGGTATCCGTACGTTTAGGCGATTGGATTATGGTGCCTGTTTCGGTCCGTTGAAGAGCCTGACTTGGAAGCTCGGTGTCGTTTGCCTGCATTTTCTGGGCTAGCCGTGCTCCCCGCAATAGCTTTACAATGTCAGGTTGATTTGTCTCGCGGGCGACATAGATGGGCGTCCGGCCATAGCTATCTTTTATGGTTGGATCGGCACCATGCAATAGCAAGACCCTAACTGTTGATGCAGATCCTGAGCGGGCCGCGTCATGGAGCGTTGTTTTTCCATTGACATCCTGCATATTGACGTCCAGCGTAGGATCAAATTTGAGCAAGATTGCAATAATTTCACTTTGGGCATTGATAGCGGCAGCGTGTAGCATTCCACGTTGGAAGACATCTTTATGGTGAACATTCGCACCTCGATCCAGCAGCAGTTCAACAACGGGTATCTGATTGTAATCAATCGCTCTATTGATAGCAGTTCCAAGCGATCCCTCTTGCAGGACCTCTGTATCCGCGCCACGGTCAAGAAGCTTTTCGACAATACGGCGATGGCCATCTTCTGCAGCCATGAGTAGAGCGGTTGATCCAGCTTTGTCTTGCATGTTGATCTTGATGTCAGGATGAGTCAGAAGAGCATCGACCACTTCCTCTTCGTTACCAAGGGCTGCAAGCATCAGCGCAGTCGTTCCACGGGATCTGGAGCCTTTGTTGATGTCAATCCCAGGCTTGCGTAAGAGAACCTTTACCACCCCAAGGTGCCCTTGGTATGCGGCAGTCATCAGCGATGTAAATTCCGCAACAAGGAGGTTCACATCAATATTGTCCTGATCCAAGAGAACCTTCACTGTATTTTCATGGCCATTTTGAGCAGATACGTATAGTGGACTGCTGCCGACATTGTCCACGGAGTTAACATTTGCACCAGCGGTGATCAAAGTTGAGACTACCTCATGAGAACCACGTGCAGCGGCCAAAGCTAGAGGTGTAACGCCATTCAGGTCCCGGACGTTAGGATCAATGCCACCTGCAAGAAGCTCAGTCACCAATTTGTTCAGGCCAAAATGGGTAGCAAGGTGTAAGGGAGTGCTGCCATCCCTGCCGGCCCAACTAGTAGAATCTTCATCGTCAAAGTACCACAGTGCTTGGGATATAGCTGCGAAGCGTTGAGAGTCGAGGATAAGCGCTCGCGCAATATTAAACAGGTCATCGCGCGGATTTTTCAGAAGATGCTTGCCCCAATGCTCTGCGGCATATCGAAGGAAAGGGTAAGCCTGAACTCTTGCGTCAAAATCAGTTGCTTCAGAAGGACCGGAGCAGGCTCCCTGCTGAAACTGATCAAACATGAGGTAAGTTAAGCAGTTTGAAGTCAGCTTTATAGCACCCTCAGGAAACCAGCGGTCCTGATTTTCAGTTTCGGAAAAGTAATTCTTGGCTGAGTAGTGAACTAGTCTGACGCAGTCGGATTCATCGAATTTCACCAATCCGGCACACATCGAAGCCAGGATTTGAACACGAATGATATTATCCGGATCAATGTCCCGGTCTTTGTCGGTGATAGCAATTGCGTGCTCAATTTCACGACATTGCAAAGGGCGTTCGGCAAAGACGACCCATCGAAGAAGGTCCATTGCCACGTCCTTCTGGCTTTCAGGCAAGTCTTTGATTCGAAGCATTGCATCATTGTATGTACCATTCAACTCTTTTGGAAGGACGTTCAATGCCTCGACGACTTCTCCAGGTCTCAGTTTTGATGCAAGCGTATCCATATTAAATCTTGCGAGGAGGAACATCCCGTCATTTTTCTCAACAACCGTCTCCACAATGTCTGCCATGAGACCAGTTTTGGTGTCAACACAACGCTGAAGAAAGTCTGACGAGCCGACTCGCCACTTGACATACGCTAGTAAATCTTGTTCCATAGCTGTGATGTCGATTCTGGTGCTGTTGAATTGCTTGACCAGTATATGGCCTTTTTGGCCACATCTTTCTCCTTTGTCATGGCACTCCTCGCAAAGGTCGAATCCATCAGAGACTGCCTCGTCGCAGTCACAGCAACGGAATTGATAGCGCTGATTATCTTTTGAACAGCCATCGCAACATATGTTTCTTTCAATATCGGCAAAATGTCGTGTGATATTATCAACTGGTCGAGATGTAACCATGATATTGACCTTCGCCTCCAGCGAAGTTAGGGTTTCCAAGAGCACTAACCTGCTCTTCTCATCTCGTAGCTCATCGAGTCCATCCACAACGATGAAAGTTTTTGGAAAGTGCCGAAGCTCAGAATTGAGAGCTTTCACATACTCGTCGCTGCCTGGACTCGTGCCGGCCTTGCTGTGCTTGGAAAACATCTCGGGTGTCCCTTCCCAGAAGACACCATAGCGCTGGACAATCTGCTTGACCAAGCTTGCGAGCAGACCATTGATAGATTGAGAGTGTGAGTCGTCCCATTTGCAATAAAGCATCAAGATTGCTGCATCTGTGACACCACCCTTTTCACTCAGTCGAAGTTTGTCCAGTTCATTCACCACGATGGAGGACAGCATCGTCTTTCCGGCGCCTGGGATCCCTGGACAAAATAGAATGGCGTTTTCACTTTCCTTCCATCCTCGAACTTCTTCGCATCCCAGGAACCATTTACATGTTCCTTCATGCTGTTCTTTGAAAAGGAGGCTTTGCTTTGCGACGAAATTCAGCGGAGACAACCACTCAATCATCTCCTTTAGCCGCGTCTCGTCCATGGTGGCTTTCATTGCCTGCCCATCGCGATGGATCTCTTTCGTGAGCGCATAATTGGATTGTTCAAGAGCAAAATGCAACGTCTGCTGCATCCGTGATATCTTGGCCACAATTTGGATCACGTCCGCCTTCGATATCGGCCATGCGAGTGTTTGCCGAATGCTTCCACGCGTCGAACGAGGCTTGAGTTTTTTCTCAACATCCTCAACCAGACTTTCGAGCTCTTTCAGAATCCCGTCAGACTCGAAAAGCGTCAGTAATTGCGGCGGGAAATTTTCTTCGTCGATGACATTTCCATCCGGGGCAAGTTGTGCTTGGAGGGCTGTGATCGTGATCCACAAATTCGACAATTCTTGAAGGAGTGACAGCCGCTCTTTTCCTCCCGACACGATGGTTCCCAGAAACCCGATGATCTGAAACGCGGCAGTGGCAACTCCAGCGATGCTGGCTGCCAAGCTCAACGGATCCATCGAGCACTATAGTTTCTCAAGGCTACAGGGCCATCAGAACCGTGGATTTGAGGAGATCGGTGCCGTCAAAATATCACCAGGGTTCAACCCCGTGGGCGCGCGACCGACGATGGCAAACACCGACCCCATCCAGCATGCAGGAAAATTGGGGGCGGGAAGCAAGAAGCTGGCTTACTGACCAGTCAGAATTGCTCAAACGGAGGGTTGTTTTTCGACTTGCGCAGCCCCTTTTGCTATACTTGGTCTGGCGTGGCTTGCATCAAACCAATGAGGACGTTCTTGAACGCCATACTGTGGGGCTGTGTCCGATACCCGAAGTTGTTGATGCTGTCTGAGTTGACAGGGACCTATCTTGCTGACTTATGCATGGCGTTGCAGCTCTTGTCTGTGAAAGGAATCATATTCATGGATAGAAATACTCCGATTGATGAGCGATGTCAACTTTTCCATCTCTTCATTTTTCAAAGCTCCGATTGCTAGATATCTGCGACTTCAAATTCATGCCTCTGGCCGATCGATTCGGTAAACAGTAGAAGCGACATTCAGATAGGCTTCATATTCCACCTCCTCACCCCCATCCTGCAGGTCATAATGATAGTGCCCTCCTTTTCGATTGCGCTCCACTTCAAAGCAGTGCGTATGCTCCATTCTCAAGCCCAAGCGCTCCGGATCAGAGCTGTGCATGACAGTCAAACAAATAACAGGAGCTTCAAAATCATGATATGTAAGCCACTCTTTTTCTAATTGTTCCCGGTCTCGGAATGGCAGGTTCTCTTCCTTTGGAAAATCCGGCATGATGTGAAATTTGGCTTTGCCGGCCTTCAAAATAAACACACCGCCGAGGCTGATAGGTCTCGAGTCACCATAATGATCTGCAAGGCCGAGTCGAATGCAATTGGTAAAGTTTTGTTCACCTGTTCGTGTTCGAGCAGTGATTTTCAGAACTGGGCCCGTATCGCCAGAAGATCCAAAGAGATTGACCATGAGCCCACAATCGAGACTCTTGATGACTTCGCAACACGATGAACCATCTTGGTTGACTTGGATAATTCGAGAACCATTCCTCACTTGATCAATATCTGGGTCATCGTTCCCCGCATGAGGTCCAGGTGGAGTGTAAAGATTCACTGCAAGCTCGGCATTATAACCTGTTTCGTGGAAGGGTGCTGCCCCAGCGCCAATCAAGAATCCGCCCTCTCCTTCTGTCATCTGCATATCCTTGGCCAGTGAGCGAAGATTGAACTTGGCATCAAAGTTGGGCCGTGGAAAGAGATTCGGCTGGCCGCCAACATCGGCGATGCAGGGATTCCCTGATAGGCCTGAGCTAGCCAGGTGGAAGGGGGGCTGGCGGAGGTCGGGACATTCCACGACGCTCACTGAGGCGCTGGCAAAATTGGCTTGAAGAGATCGTTGGATGATAGCTGCTAATTCTCCTAAAGGTGGAGGATCTCTGGGATGCGTTGTCACAGTCATGGCTTTTTGACTGGTAACCAGACAGAGTTGATGATAGAGGTTGGTACTCGATGACGATGGACTGTTTGAGGGGAAGAAAGTAATGGAGAATGGCTGGTCGGCCGCACGTCATACCGTCTCGCCGACCAACATAAACGAACCACCAAAACCTTAAAAGATACAACTCTAAATTTGATAATAATAGCAACTCTAGCAATTAAGACACGACACACACCTATTTGGGGTTTAGCACAGTAACTGTATTACTATCTATCCTGATAGTTGTTCAAAAGTCCTAGTCTAGAAACTAGAGAAACGGACCCACAGACATGCTTCAATTACTCTTTCTTGAAATGTGTTTTTAAATGTCTTTCGAATCATCTTTCTTAATAGCACAGATACCGTCCAGCTAGGTTAGTACTAAAATGATTTATTACTACGCTAAACCAGAATAAGAGGTGTATCGTCGTTTTAGCAATTCTCGCAACTCATTCAAGTTCTATCTTTGTCTAAATCAACACATTCTTGTAGAACAAGTTAGATCTCCGATCACCGCCCTTGCCTGAGGCAAAGCCCAAGAAAAGGCGAACTTCCCCGCCAACGGTCTTATAGATAGCTAAACCCTCTGGTTCACGGAATTCAAGAGTAGATCCAGCCTTTGTCAAAGTTGGACCCTGCACAACTGCACCAGTATTCATATTGACACTAACAATTTCAGAGTTGACCACACCTCCGGAGGTATCGTATGAATTCCCTGTCAACAGGTAGATATATTGCCCATAAGCAGCATAGCCCTGGAAAGTATCGGATTTGGTGTTCACGGATGGATGCTTGAAGTTTGCCAACGGGCTGGTAAAATCTCCACTGGTTGCCTTGGCTAAATCGAAGACTGCAATGTGTTTACCGCTAAGATTGTACCGCACAATTAGGCGGTTGTTAACGGGGTCGATAGCGCAGGTATGTTGGGTTGCACCAGCGATAGGTTGAAATTTCTTTAATGAGGATGAGGAAGCTGAGAGCTTGCTACCACTAGTGAACTTGAATCGAGCAAGCTTCTTTCCATATCCATTCGCGTTGGCTTCAACCTCCGTCCACAGGTATGTGGATGAGCCTTCAGCCTGAGCACCAAACGAAACGCCGTGGCCAAAGCCAGTCAGGTACATATGCCCGACATAATTGCCATCAAAGTCCAACTGGGTAATGCACAGGTCTCCAGATGTCTCTGAGGACCCATCGCGCCGCTGGGCAACAAATAATCGTCGGTTGGTATTATCGAACGCAAAGCCCTGTTGGACTGTCGAGTCTTGTAACACCTTGTTGCGGTACAAGTCGTAGGATGGTGTAGATAAATCGAAGCGTTTTGATGAAGGGAGCTCGGCTGATGCAGTCTGGAAACTGGAGCAAAGAGCAAGAATTGCGACGCCAATATTGGTAGGCTTGAGGAACCTCTTCCAACTGAGTGATGAAAGCATCTTCAAAAGTCTTTCTCGAAATCTGAAGAAAGGAGAGACTGATAGAGGTATACGAGAAAATTCTTTGAGGAAAATCCCATCTTTATACCCCTTAGTCTTAGAGTACTGAAAGTCTCTCTATACGAGTAATTTCCGAGAAATACGTTGATCTTTGCCTGAAGCGCCCCGAGGCTCTCGTATTGAGACTAACAATAGCGATGCTAAGAGGAACGCCGCGGCTTGGCAACATCCCGCCATGATCCCGCTGGCTATACCTACTTTCACTCCAAATATAGACCCTATTTTCAGCTAGATTTGGTTTGGCCAGAGTGAAGTGAGGTATCTCAACGAACATACAAGGCCTGATGTGCTGTGTACTTACCTCAGGCAGCCATTTCGGCCCCGCTCTCTCGGATGGAGATGGGGGCCAATCTGGGCAAACACTCGACAAAGGAAACACTTTAGCTCGACATTGTACCTGCTCCCAGCAAACCAACTCTAAGCAGGAACTGCCTCAACATATCACACAGCCAACATTCATTTTCTGGAGCGGAACTATCACTGGTTGAGGCTCTGGCGCTAAGAAAATACTGGACCTTGATGTAACGCCTCCCGCAAACCTACTACTCTCCCCCCACTTCTCAGACCTTCAACAATGACGGCAGCCACAAAATCAAAAACGAACAAAGTCTCGACTACTCCAGCCATGGCATCTTCAGTGCTGAATACTCCAGAAACCCTGGAGATGATCCTAGTTCAGTTAGACATGCGCACAATCCTTACGTCTGACTAGCGTGTCTGTCGGGGCCTGGTTGAATCTAGTCACCACATCACCCTCGATCCAAAAGGCACTATACTTCACCCCGATCACAGAGTCCGAAGGAGAACCAAATGAAAAGACACTCAATCCACTCTTGAAAGAGGAATTCCCTCCTATGTTTCCGCCAAAGGATAGTTCGTCTTACGATGGATTCGACTTTTCCGATTTCAAATGAACCAAAGACCCTTCCACTTTAACTCCTTTCACACGAGCGGACGGGAGCTGGCGTAAGATGCTAATCCAACAACCTCCCATCCCCGATATTGGTCTTTTCAGTCTCTTTCCTGCTTGGGGCGGCTCTAGCGCTGGGTTGTCCAAGATCCCCGTTAGTTACTTTCACTCAACTCCGCCCTAACCAAACCTACCTACCATTCACAAATTTCAGAACTCAGACAGCTAATATCTTATCTCTTATCTTCTACACAGGCGCAGGAAAAACCCAAGAAAAGAGCTGCGAAGGCCTTCGAATGGGAAGACTATTCGATATCCTGCTTTTCTCCCGCCGAATAGAATTTGAAACCGGCACAACCAACAAGGTATACTGGGCAGTGGAAACCCCATTAGATTCCAGCTTCAGCTATGGAAACATCAATGACGAGTTTTATAAATTGCTGGCACGGTTCGGTGTTGTTCTTGGGACTCGCCACATTATGCAAAATGACACTCCTTTGAGTAATTCGGAAACTACCCAAAGGGAGATCATTAAGGCGTATCGAGAACAGGGCCTTGATGTGATTTCTAAGGTGCGGGAGATCGAGGCTTCGAGGGGTCTTGTGGAGGATGAGAAGAGTATGAGAGCAGGTCCATACGTGGACATTTTATGATTGTTGTAGTTCAGCCGCTTGATTGATTGATTTCCATTGATTCTTATTGCATGTCGTTGAGACGCTTTATGTTATCTCTGAAACAGGCATACTGTCATCTTTTAAATTGAACTGATATTGTAGGGTAAACAATAAACAAGCTAAACGCTGTAGGGCTAGCCATCATCGAGATTCTCCAAGGAAATAATTCTCCTCCAGCAGCATAAGATACATCTTCCATCTCGAGCGTCATTTCCGGATAGAATGATTTTGTGTGTCCATATTCATCGCCTCATTTAAGTGCATTGCCTCATTAGTCCTTTCAAATCACGTCGTAAAACATAAAAATGGAAACAAAATCCTCCAAGTAAAGCTATCATCAACATCAAGTCTGTACAAATTTCCTCGTCCCTTTAAACCACGTAGCTAGGTCTCCGGCTAGAGCTACGGTGTCGGTGTGAAGAAGAGTGGCCACGACGGCTGCTATGGCTGCGTCGACGAACAGTAGTCTCCTTAACAATAACCTCACGATTCTTGCTGTGAATGAACAGCGCAAGGAACGCAGTCCAAATGAAGAAGACCACCTCCATAATTCCAAGCGCAAATGTAGTCTTCAGCATGGCGCAGGTCTTGTTGACTTGGAACGCCAGCGGGTTGTTCACTTGTCTACCGTACTCGCCAAAGGGACCAAGGGAGACCCAGACCGAACCGCCATCCCAGTGCGAGCAATCGGCGTTTGCGATGAAGCGCAGCTGGTAGACGCCCGCGATGAATGCGCCGAAGAAACACATGTCAAGGAAGGAGACAAAAAACGATGAGCGCTTGGTCGCGGAGAACCGGATCAGGGTGTCAATGCACCAGAAGACGGCGATCACGCTGACGATGAAGAGGACGAGGATGTAGGGCGGGGTGAGCATGTTGGCTTTGAGATAGCCATTGACGAAGTAGGCCTGCCCGAGTGATGGGTGATTAGTAAGTTGGATGGATGGCTTTGCGCATTTGCTTTGCGCGGGAGATGCGATTGACTTACCATGATACCAATGATCGGAATGAGGAAGGTGATCTCCACCATCCGGTTGAAGATGAAAAAGATACTGCCAATCATCTTGACGGAAGCTTGCTGGGCACAGAGTTCAAAGAAGGCTCGATCTCAGGAATGCGACGAAGTTAAAAGAGTTTGCGCAAAAATTCCAGCGCAGGCTGAGGAGGCGGGGAGACAGGTATGTTTGTACGTCAGAAGTACAGATCAATGGATGTCTTGTCAATCTTGTCTCAGGGCTATACTCGCATCGCGTGGAGAGCAAAGACGATGTAAAGTGAGTTATTCTGATCGCAACCTATACCGCTGCACTGCAAGAAATAAAAGATTGGAAGATGAGTAGAGAAAGAAGAAGAAGAGAGAGGGGTGAGAGATGCATAGAAAAAAGATCTCCGTTGCCGTCATCTTGCGCTGACGGGTGGGGGACGGGGAGGCTGGGCGAGTCACGGTGCCCGCCTGAGGTGGCTGGGGCAAACATCAATTGAGACGGGGTCCAGCTCATCCCGGGCTCTTTGACATTGTCACTATTGCTCGCAGATGCGAGGCGGGTGTCATCATAATAGGGTTAGTGTAAGCCCTTCCGTCAGATTTAATCAAATGTTCTGCATCTGATTGACTGTTGATCCGCTTAGTTCTGCCGGAGGTTGTTTGGTGTTGGATGGGCAACCCGCAGCCTGTCACCCGTGGTCCAGTGGATTCGAGTTCCTCCAAGGAACCAATGGGCGATCGTCCATCTATGGAAATGCATTAACACTTAAGAAAATGTAAAAAAAAAAGTAAAGACCATAATTATGAAACTGTACATGGCAATGAATGAGAGGATTGGAGTCAAATTCTCAATAAATATTCACTTATAGTATAAAAAGGACGAAGTCATCGGGAAGAAACCAGTTCCTGCCTCGAATGCCTCATCCCGACTGTTCGTACATGAGAATCAAGAAGAAAAGAAAAACCAAATAATGCCAATATTCATCAAGTCTCATGCAAATTGCAGTCGGTTTTCAAGTCACACACGCGCGCTCATGATGCAATGCAATACCGTGCTAGAAACAAATCATCATGGGATATTTTTAAACTAAACATCGCGAAGCGGCGTGTCAGTCAATTGTCGCCCTCGGCTAGCCTCTTGAGGTGGGTGCATAGCGTTCCCAGAAACAGCATGGGTCTGCGACTGATACGCAGTATTCGTGTCAAAAGGAGGTGAGTACCCTCGACCCGCACTGGGATTTTGGGCCATCGCATAGCCATGCTGCATCTCATACCCATTCCCGACGTCATCCTCGCTCGATGACCAGTTTCCATCGGGATCCTGATCATGTCGACGACGAGGATACACCTGAGAGGCGAAAGGGTTACTCGGGACAGCATATCCCGAAGCACCATGGGGAACGGGGTGACCCGAGGGCGATATGGATCGCTCGATTCCAGTTGGTGGGTTCAAGCGGTCTTGTTCGGCGTTGCGAAGGGCAGAGGTGCTATCATTGTTGAACGCGGTCAATTTAGCATCCACCGGACGGAGCGGCTCAGTGCCCCAGGTACGGATCGGATAGGCTCGACCCTTGCGCCAGGCCTCAGTGAGTGGAGGGAAGTATTGGCGGTAAGAAACAACGGCGCAGACAACTCCTAGGAGAGAGCCGGTGATGACGTCGAAAGGGTGATGGCGGGCATCCATAATCCGAGACACGGCAACAAGGGTTGCCGCAAGGATGGGCACCATGACCAAAAGACTCTTCCAGGCCTCGCCGCGGTTGTCCATGATATGGAGCTTTCCACCCAGCCACAGAGAAGTATAGAATAGTCCTGCGAAAGAGGCTGTCATGATGAGGTTAGTCGTTATGTCTTTATTTTTGAAACTTGCAATTGCGTTATAACGAGGGGAATGCCATGGTGAGACTCACAGCTACTGTGACCTATAGGAAATAATTAATTAGCATACAAGATTCCCTGGCTTGAGAAGAATCCAAGGGACAACCTACCTGATGGCCACGAACGGAACCCATCCTTAATAATTTTCGGATCTCCAGTGCAGATCGTCGAGTTAGACAAGCCGTATGTCACCATATCAAGGCTTCCACTGATAGGTTGGCACCGATCGATCAAGTCGGGCCGGGGCTTGCCGCAGGCGTTCTTCAGCACCTGAGTGATCACAAAGGCCAATCCTTGTGACAACAACAGGCCCAGTATTCCACAGTTCATCTCCCAGAGGCGATCCTTCCATCTCCAGGGACCCCGAAGCTTGCGCTTCCCCGACACTGGGTCCTGCGGCTTGTTGTGTGAGAATAGCCCATCGATGAAGAGGGTATAGATGATGATGAGCACGAGAGGAAAAGCGCCGGATATACAGAGAGCGTAGTAGATGGGAATTCGTTCATGGACGGCGTAGGGATACTGGAGGGAGATATTTGTGAGGGAGAAGTGTTGATGGTAGGGTTCAATCGAGTCTAGAATCCAGAAGCCGATGACGCAGGCGCTAGTTGGATGGAAGGGCGGTGGTCAGTCAACTTGCCATCTTTAGGGTTGGGAGATGAAGCTAGAGAGCGGTTTGATAGGGAACACACATGATAATCACGTAGTCGAAGATATAGCTACAGGTAAAAGACGGTCAGTTCAGAGCCACAATGCCGCGGGGAAAGAGAAAGTACGCACGAAATGACGACTCTCGGTCGGAGCCGGCGCTTGGAGAACGGCAATTTGGCCGGAATCTCCATATTGTGTGTGTTGGTTGACCTCAAGGGAATAAAGTAGAGTAGTGAAAGGGGAAGAGAAATAATAGAAGTACTCCACAGATGCAACAACCCCAAGATTAGGCAACCTCAATTTGCCAATTCCAAGATGACTGAAGATCGAATCTTCTTGGGCTGGTCGCGTGCCTCAGGCGTGCCGGTTTGCGCTGGGCGCAAAGGCGTGGTGCTTGGCGTTTCTAGTGCCCCTGGCCCAAGCTGGACTAACATGGACCCTGGTTTTAACTTTGGGACGTTGTGGTCTCTGCTGCTAAGTGACGAACCAGGATGTTTGGGCATGTCACCAGTCTCTCTAATCTCTCCAGGTCGAAATGTAGTGGAGCTCTACCGCAGACCCGACAGCTCACAGAACCGCCATCATTTATTAAAACACCGGTTCCTGATCCAAGTCCCGCCTTGATTGTCCATAGAGCGGCAGCCCAGCAGGTAGTCTAGGCCTTTTTACTGAATGATAACCACTCTGTTTCAAACCACCCCCTGGCCAATCTCTATCTCAGCGCTTCGCAGTAGAGAAAGGTACTGCAGATTATCATTCGGAGTCTCCTTTATCCTGGTCCATCTTTGAGCACATTACAGTATGCCCCACCTGCCGTTAACCGCCTCTGCAAAACTTTTCTCCGAGACTCCAATCTCTACATACTTATTCAATCCCATACTATTCCAACTTCCAAACAAATGATAAGATCTTGCCAAGGCTCTTCAAACGCAAATTCAATTGCACCTCGCGATATCGAACCTTCATGAATCATGTACCGATGATCTCGTCGCCAAAAAAAAAGAAAGAAAGAAAAAAAGCTTCGATCTCCCATGGAAACCTTCCTTTTGCCGCCGCAGATTCGCTTCCCTGAAATAGAAAGAGCAGGTGCGACACCCTCGAGGCGCAGCTTACCCTCTTACAGACAAGACCAGATCATCCCCTGAACGTGTGAGATTGGACATATCTTATTTGCCGCCGCCATGGTTGACCCTGCCGCTCACCCACCGATCCACATCTGATTAGGCATCATGATTCTTCCACTGTGATTTGCTGAAATGGCCACAATAGGAATGCAGGATGTTATCCATCTTACCGCTGAGAAAAGTGGAGAGGGCTTATAGAGAGCAATAAAAGTTGACAAAGAAAATGATAGAACTAGTCAAACCAAAGAGAGGAAGACATGACCACTCACGTCTCCACGTGAGGCATCTATTAATCCTACAAGACAGAACTAAACTATTACTCTAACCAGCCATCATACTCACGGCAAATCCCCAGAGCCGAGTCGTCAAATCAACACGCAGTCACGAATAGACCCAGTCTAAAAACCTTGTCAGCTGATATTCCTCAGAGTATTAATTGATTGTCAGGTTGAACATACGGAGATGGGTTCCAATCTTCAAAGAATTCAAAGTCGGTACTTCCCGCACTCTTCATCTCAAAGGCTATCGCCTGTCCAGCCGGGCACGAGAAGGTCGAAATCAAGAATGAATGACCAGGAGAGATAGCACTAGTTCCCAAGCCCTGCGAGACGGAAGGAACGTTGTTCTCAGTGGTCGAAGTGGTGACTGTTGACGAAAGCTTGCCAAAGGCAACCTTGCCATCACCGCTGAAGCTAAACGAGGTAGTCTGGAGTTCTTCCTTCCTAGGGAACAGGAAGACCAGGTTGCAAGTCTTGCCCGAGAACGACTGTGGAATATCAAAGTTGAAGGTAGTCGCAACGGTCGAATTGACAGTTCCATTGAGTCCAGTGCCGTGGGGGGTATCGGGCTTAGCGGAGTCGATTCGGACGATTAGATGGGGGAATTGAAACTCTCCAGAGAGATCAGTAGGGCAGCCAGTCGCGCTCGTCGAGGTAGCAGTCGCTGTGGTCGAAGTCGAATTGGCATGGACGCTGCTCGAGGGATGGATACTGGTGGAAAGAGATGTCACCGGCGCACTCGATATGTTGGTAACATTGGCAAAGCCAGTCACACTGCTGAAAGGACCAGAAGCCGTAGTTGTCACATTTGTGCCTGACGCACTACATGATGGACAAGTGTGATTACTGCTGGAAGAAGCCGATTGGCACGATGGACCAGGGCTCGCCGTGCCTGTGCCTTGCGTAGCGCTGGATGTAGCTGACTGGCATGAGGGGCAGGGCGTCGTTGGATGAGCGGTAGTGGCCGCGCTTGTTTGGGAGCTCGCAGCGGGAGACGCAATACCCGCAGAAGTAGCAGAGGACTGGCCTGGTGCAGGAGCGACAGGTACAGGAATAACTGTTGCAGCAGAGGTATGAGTGCTAAGGCTAGAGGCCGGCGCGCCAGTAGCTGCTGGTGCGCCAGTAGGAGCCGGAGCAGTTCCAGTAGCACCGGAAGTCACAGAAGTGTGGCCAGGAGCGGGGGCTACTGGTACAGCTGCAGGAGCAGTAGCAGCTGGAGCAGCAGAGGTTTGTGAACTAGCACTAGAGGCTGCGTGGCTGGGAGCTGCAGAACCAGGAGCACTGGAAACTTGACTTGGAGCCGCAGCCGGAGCACCAGCGGCCACTGACGCAGCAGGACCAGCAGTAGTAGAGCATACGCAGTTGGATACTGTAATCGTTGATATAACAGTGACAGTTGGAGCTGGGGCCGGTGCTCCAGGTGCCCCAGGTGCTCCAACTCCAGACGCTCCGGGGGCTCCAGGGGCTGCAGCACCACCACCTGTCACGTTTTTACCAGGTGCCGGGGAGGTGCCAACGATAGGGGGACTGCCAGCGTTGATGCAAGAGTCGGCAGTTAAGATGACAGACTTGCACTTTGTGACGGAAGTGCTGTTGGTAGTGTAGATGTTCTTGCCACCATTCTGGCCAGTCTCGCAAGCAATGAAGTATTCGCTGCCATGGAACTGCAATTGACTAGCGGGCGAGATGGTGAAGCCTGGAGTTCCTGATTTACCTTCATCACACTGGAACTGAGTAGTCTCCGCTGGTGTTGGGATTGTATTAGTGTTTGATAATGATGTTATTCGAAACTCCGGAAAAAGTAGACTCACGAGTAATGATACAGCCTTTTCCAGTACTGTCGGTAATGACTCCAGTAGAATTGATACAGAACAGAGATTGACTGAGACTGTTATCGCCAACACGACTCTGGCCATCAGTCAGTTGGCCAAGGGGACCGATGACTTCTCCGGAGACGTTGAGATTGAAACAGCAGGGCACTTCAGCGCGTGGAAACAGGGCGAGGGCATTGGTGCTCGTAGCCAAGGCCGCTAGAAAGCAAAAACTTTTCATAGTTCCAAGAAAGACCAGGAATGAAACTAGAGTCGGGATTTGGAGGCCAATTCAGAGGCCGATCTTATATCGATCTTGAATATCCCCGCACGTCGATATTCTGGACCGATAGTATTTTGCAACTAACGAACGCATCGCCTCTCTGGGGATCTGGGTCATTCTTATAATTGGCCCTGGCGATCTCATCATTAGTGAGCAATCAAGGTATCTGGCTGTCGAGAAGTGAGTCCACATACCCAATGAGGATCCGGGTTATATCTCCGAGAGAGTAGAAGACGGAAATAAGTAATCAAAGACTAGTAAGTTGCCGGTCTGTCAGGGTCGAGCTATGTCATTGTTTACGAGAATGGGCCAGAGTGAGAAAGCATGTGGAACCTCGATCCAGCCGGATTGTTGCTCCGCAGCAATCAGAGGCTACACGTCATCTGGGGTTCTCTTTAGAATGTGGAGATACACCCAAGTATTGAACCAGGAGAGTGCAGTTCGTAAGTAGTGATCAAATTGACGGCTGCCGTCGAGGTGGTGGCACGAGATGGCCTAGGGAAAACATTGGGCATCTGATAGCGATGAAAGTTCGCACATCCTCCTATTTACCAGTCTACCAATAATTTCCCAAAGCCATGAGATTAATTCAAACTCTATCGAAAATGTGCTTAGTCTCGGTTCGAGAGCACTTTAAAGCCCCCTCATGCATAGGGTTCTTCACCAATGCTCGGACCGAGCGGATAGCTAGGATCGATTCCCATGGTTGGCATGTACGCCATCTGATTCTTATTGATTCCCATAAAACTACCCTTTATGGAAGCTTATTCTACCGCAAAGCTCAATGCAGGACCATTTACTTTGTCCTCCCAATGAGACTGGACGTGCGTAGAGGAGGAATTCTTCTCCGAGCCACACCTTATACTCAACACCACTAGAGTCTTGGCCGATACACGCAAAAGTTTAACTTCAAAGTTAATTATTCTCTCAAGATCTCATGAGTGCCATCAGTCCCTGCGACTCTGGCTTGCAGATCCACCTTACGATACATGACATTATTGTGGATAGCCTCCCTGGTGAAGGTGGGCTGGAAACACAAAAAATATCTGTACAGCCTTCTCCCACCGTGGTGATCAATAACCAAACAATTGTGTCATAACTCACCGCGATTTTTGCTGGCCATTAAAGCATCAACAATTTTTTCGATAATGTGAAACTGGCAATTATCCATACGGTTATTCTAGGTCAGAACCCTCGGGCAGGTGGAGCATTGGAATTAAGCTGGAAACAAAACCCCTCGCTATATCAGTCATAACTTCAATCAACGTTCATAATGCACATTTGCTGTGCTATATCTCTAGAGCTTTATAGGCAACTTGACAATTATTCAAACAAATTAGTCTCGGTAACTTATAGCTAGCCTAATCAAGTCGGGGTTGCCTAGACTGAATGTCTACCCGGTGAGAACCTAAGGATTCATGAGCACTTAATTCCGTGTATGAAGGCAGATTCATATGTCAGACTGACGGCCCAGTGCGCTACGGCTAATCAGTAAGACTTCATTCTGTATATCTAGGTGACCTCCCCGGGCGTCCGGCAAACCCCCTTTGCCGGGAACTCTTGGGTTTGCGACACAAGTAAATCACCTTCAAGGCAGATCTCTAGACGGTAATGTGTTTCCAGCTCACCCTTCTTATTCCCGGTGCCCAGGTACCACTAGAATCTTTCTACTGGTGTGAATCAATCCATGGATATAGATCTTCCTGCCCCTCTGTCCGACTCATTTCGGGTCTGCCGGATGAGCGTGAACACATCTTGGTGGCACATTATTTACAGCTGCCATCATGTATAACAGTTCCATTGAAAGTAATTGAGCCAGGCCGGCGATCAACATCGCCTGTCAGTATTGACTTGACACCGGGATGACGATCGTGACGCGTTAAAGCATCATGACCAAATCCGACTGATTCGAGGATCCTTCGTCACTTCAGGTGGACTAAAGTCAATCATCACACCTGGACCATCAACTTTTACACTGATAGAAATGGGGCATCAAGCTCGGATAACAGCGAATTCCAATCGAAAAGTGTAGTGGGATCTGCAGTGGCATCAAACGCCTGCCAAATGTCATCAGACAAAGTAGGCACGGGTTCGGTGACCATGGCTTCCGTATCAAGTAAATCAGATCTCCCCGTGATTAAAGCAGAATCCACCGGCACGGGAGACTTCAGTCTATTGGCGTTTTTCGACCGGGTTGTTCTTCTCTCGGAAGGCAACGGAACCTTGCTGCGTTGAAGAATAGAGTTGAAGGTGTCGAGAAGTTTGTCCGCGAATGAAGATTGGCTTTTGCCTTCTTCAAGAATTCGTAGCGCATTTTGAATTTCAGCTCGTCTCTCTTGGTCTTCATCTGGCTGGAGACTCTTATTGCGACAGAGGTCCATCAAAAGTGCAATAATGGCCATGCATACGCAAAGCAGACTTCCTGAAAACCTGAGTCTTGTCATGGCAAAGGAGATATCTTCAGAAGATAACTGTGCTTCCGTGCGGATGACCATTCGTGCTGCTTCAAGGCATGCATCTCTTGAATAGGAGTATAAATCTTGCCCGCGAGACAGGTAGGGCAAATGTAGCCTGCAACGTTGTGTGTGAAGCATTGAGTTGATGACGTATCGATAAATGGTTATACCATGTGATCTGCTGGGATCAGAGTCTGCGATTCCACTCATATCATAATTCAAATGGAGAAATGGCGGCAATGATTGACTAAATTCACACATCCTTCTATCAATCTCCTTGATCTGTTCGAAATCTGGATTTCCGAAGTCGGTCTCCAACAAGGGAAACTTGTCGGTGATTTCTCGACAAATTTCGCCCAGGCGAATCCGTTGGATAAAATACGACATTATTGTGGGCTGATCAAGAGGCTTGCCAATGCTGCTCATCCCATCAAAGAGATCTTCGTCGTTTGCGTTGCCAGGTTTCTTGGTCGCCATATGGCGGGGATTGATCATATAAGTGCCTTTCTGCGAGCCACCTAATTGGGACAACTGCCTTCATCTTATAATTAGTTTTGCTGATGTGTGATTTTATTGAAAAACATACCAGTCTGTTGCAACGAGATACCACCACACCCTTCTTCCTATCTCTGCTTTCACGGAGTCTGGGCGAGGAACATTGAGTTCAGCATGGTTTTTGTGGTCAATCCGGTGTAATGAGAGCTGCCATGCGACCGATATCGCTGTGGAGAAAAGATATCGGCCTTGAGAGGTAATGCCAACGGTATTGCACAACAAGAAGCCTACAATTATCAGGGCTTGAACATCCTCAATTGACTCCGAGCATGTGAAGCGAGAATATTCCAGAACTTCAAAAGAAGCTGTCATCCATCTCTTTGATAGCTCATTGGCTTTCACGACTGAGGAAAACACCGGTCTATGCATGTCTCGCTCGGTCCAAAAGAAGGCAGTGCTAGCCAGAATTGCTAGAAGCAAAGAGGTTTGACCCAATTTGACAGGGCTTTTCGCATTTAGATTCTGATAGAGTTCATCCACAAGTGACCGCATAGAGGGAATATGGATGACGTGGTGGAGGAAGGTGATGTCAGTCAGATATTTATCGAATATTTGCTTTGACTCCTCGTAGAGCGGGAGCCAAATGCACTTGTTCAAGTTCATATCTATTCCCTCGGCCACAGGTGATGTTTCTTTGATGGAACATGTTTTGAACTCTATCGCATCGCATTAGCGTGGATTTAAACAACGAGCGAGGGTGAGGTGAGTTGATGTTTACGGTACTCAACAACGCATAGCCCCACTGCTGAACTTGGGTGCGTTATCTGCGATTCCAGCCATTCTACATCAACCGTAGAGGATTTATCGGTAAAGGATGTCGCAGCATCTCGTTTGCGACGAGACGGGGGTGGCCCCGGCCGCGAGCCATTTTGATCGGATGGGGACTGTGTTGGCTCCCGTTGGGTCATCACCATCTCCTCCAATCTGTGCAACCGGGCCAGCACATCTTTCTTGAAATCTCCAGTGATTTGGTCAGAGCTCTCGTCTGCACTGCTAGTTGATATAACCGACGAAGTCTCCGGTTGGCAAGAGAGTCCGCGACTTGTGCAATTGGCGCAAGGAAACTGTCGGCTACATCTTAGCTTCCGTGATCGACAAAAGAGGCACGAAACTGGGCGCGATCTTGATGACTCCGAACGATTCTTCGCCACACGACGCATGACGGAATATTCCTAGGCATCGATGGACTTGGTAGTTTCGAGAAGTAGCATCTTGACGAGGCTGCGAGGTGAGATGGGGACCCTGGAATTGACCACTGAGAGGGCGGTAACTCCGCGGAATTTCCGCGGCATCCGCCCAGAGTTATCAGATGGAAGCCTAGATCTATGGGGGCCGTAATTGATATAAAAGCAAGGCTGTTCATCGAGAGAAATGGAATTTTCATCCCAGAGATTATAGTTTCAACTGGTATCCATTGTCCCTACTGACCGTTATTTTGACACAAAATGGACTCTATCATCGCTCAAATTCAGGCATTGGCCAAGACGTCTGACGATGCCGGTCATTTGGAAATTAAAAAGGCTCTAGCCGACGTTCAGTTAGAGTTACAAGGTCCGAAGGATCTTCTTTATAACCTTGCAAATTCAGTCAGTACCTTTGCTGTGTACCTCTTGCGGGCTGTTCACTGATTTGCTTAGCAACTCCTCATTGGAACCATCCGCATGGCAGCTGACATGAACTTGTTCCGCGCCATCGCTACCAATAGCGGATCCGTGACTGTTTCTCAGCTGGCGAAGACTACTCAAGCGGATTCTCTGTTGCTTGGTAAGAGCTCCGCCAAATGCTTCAAAGTCTGACCCCATTGGACTAACTTTACCTTTTGAAGAGAGACTGCTTCGGTATCTAGGCTCGAACAACCTGATTGAGGAAGTCGGTAGCAATGAGTATAAGGCAAACAAGAACACTCATATTCTGGCTGATGAGAGAGGAGAGGCCATGGTGTACCACGGGTACATAACCCTCATTTTGCCAAGCGATCACTCGCTTGTGAGAGTTATACTGACTCTCGCGCTACAGATTTGATACTTACGGTCCGATCATCCGCGCAATGCCTGAATTTTTCAAAGAAAATGGCTATAACGACATTGATAGCATCACAAACACCCCCTTCCAGAAAGCTTACAATACTACCCTCCCTCCCTTTGACTGGTATGTCCAAAACCCAAGGCATTTCGAAAATTTGCAGAAAATCATGACTTCCATCGAGGGCGTGGAATGGACTGTTGGATTTGAGCTTTTTGATTCGGAGGCTATCAAAGTCCCGTCATCATCTCCCCAGCCTTCCGAAAAGCCCTTCTTGGTAGATGTAGGAGGTGGTCATGGACACCAGTGCATTCAGCTTGGCAAGAAATACCCGGCCCTTTCAGGACGTCTTGTTCTTCAAGACCTTCCAGCAGCCGTCGACAAACTCCCGGTGATTGAGGGTGTAAAGACCCAGGCTCATGACTTCTTCGAGAAGCAGCCCGTAACTGGTCAGTTCTTCTTCCTCCCTTCCAAAGCGAAATCAAAGTAATGTTGATGCCTGTTCAGGTGCGAAATTTTACTATCTTCGACGTATTATGCATGACTGGCCCGATAAAGAGTGCACCAAGATTCTCCAACATATTGTTGAAGCCATGGATGCAGACTCGCGCATTCTTATCGATGACGTTGTCTTGCCAGATACTGGTGCAAATTGGCAGACAACAATGGCCGATATTTCTATGATGATCGCGCTCGGAGGAAAGGAGCGAACAGTTCAGCAGTGGAACTCGCTGGCTGACTCGGTAGACTTGCGGGTTGAGCACATCCACCCTTATACTGCTGCCACCTACACCTCTGTTGTTGTTCTAGCCCCCAAATAAGGGGGTTGGCAAAGTAGTTGATATAATAGCTCAGAGTAGAGTGCATAACAATCTCCACTTCTTTCAATTTCGCGAAACAAACCTTGATTGCCAAATATGAGCACTACTGCCTTGTCGCGCACCACCAGATCATCCGTATCTTATCATCACCCCAAGGCATGTTCTTCATTTGATCAACCTCCTCAGCCCAATAGAGACCAGCCTCTACCTTCCAGCTCGTCTGAGTGGCCTCTCCAACGGCGTCCCAAAAGCGCACCATTGTTTCGGGATCATGCCGGTAGTGCACAGCACCATCCTTCATGCCTGCCATTGTATAGTGGTCCCCTTGAACGCTCCCCATCTGCCGTCCAGTAATCATGATACCCGATTTCTGACAACAAATTCTGACTAGATGCGTGGCAACCTTAACTTGCGTATCCCAATCCCACATATGAAACAAAGAGCTCGCAAACACAATGTCAATCTTGCCATTCAACTTCTGGACAATTTCACCATTATTGAAATGGACATCATCGGCACTAAGATCCCCGACAACAAATGTTGCCTGCAGACGGCCTTTGTCTCGAAAGAGCTGGTAGCCAAGATCAATGAAAATTTGTTCAAGATCACACCCGAAGAGCTGATTGCTAGCGATGCCTTGATCGGCTAAAAATCGAAGCTCTTGTCCAAAGCAGCATCCCGCATCGAGAAATCCACTTGAAAGGTCGGCGCGAAGCCGTTCCAGCACCCGAGCCCAGAAGGGCATGCGTGACAGATTGAAGGAAAGAAACCTCATCTGACCGATGCAGGCATAATGATAGACATCAAATGCCTCGTCGCGCTGAGAAAGAAATCAATACATGAATAATGATATCGCAGACCAAGAAGGCATACCAAAGACAAAATATGTGGCAAGACTTCCTCCGGTGCGAGGCCACTATAATTCTCTAGAAGTCGCTGAGCATCTGCATTGATGCCCTGGACATCTCTCTGGTACCATTCGGGTCTCTTCGCTTCGGGCGACATGGCTGAGTGAATCGGAGGAGGAGAGGGATGCGCAGAAAGTAGATTACCAGGGTATCGAGTTGATCAAAGCCGGCGGGGGGCCTTTCTTGCGTATTTCAGCACACTGACAGCCTTGTCGATCCGCGCTAAGCAACGCTAATCATTGTCTTATCACAATGATCACGCACCCGCCTGCAAAATACAACACATCGGACGTCTTTGGGAAGATTGATGTACTATACAACTCATGAGAGATTCATATTGAAGTCCTTCAAGTGTAGGGTTAGATGCACAGAAAACAAATGAAATGGCTCAAAAAATATTGTACATGATATGATGTTCTCAAAACCCATTCAAATTCACAGCTTGCCTCCAGTAATCTGCTCGCCCAGCTTCTTGACCCGGTCTTGGGTGACATCCCAGCGAGCAGTCTCGCTCTTCCGGGTTTCGTTGACGATGGACTGAACAGTAGGTGGCATGCCCAAGTTCCAGATATTCTCGCCTTGCTGGTGGTCATTGCGCCAGGCCTCGTTCTCGCCTTCGGGGAACACGCGGTCAATCTCGGCGGCAAGTTGTTCTTCAGTAGTGATGAAAGTACGGGCATTCATATACAGTGACTGCAAGTGGTCGCGGCGCACAGCATCTTTCTCGGCCTGCTTCGCCTCCATGCGTGCGCGCGAAAGGACCAAACGCTCTTCCCGATTCGGGTCCGCTAGGATTGTGTGTGGTTGAGTCTGCATGGTGGAAACAACGGACGGCCGGGTCAAGCGCTCATCTTCCGGCTCTGGTTGTTGAAGGATGCTCTCACGTCTCCTCTGGTTCTCGAGACTTCGGTTGAACATGGTCTCCTCCGCGACCTTCTTCCGCGTGTACAATGTTTGCAGACCCTCCCGCAGATTCTTGCGCCGCAAAACCGCCATCTTCAGCTTGAATGCCTGCTTCTCGGGATCACTGCTTTTGGGATTGACGGCACGCTCGGTCGAGGGAAGGGGTGTCACGGCATCGAGGTATGCTTTGCGAGGCTTGTCCGTGCGACGAGCCGGGAAGAGCTCGCGGGGAACTGGGAGAGTACCCTGGACGCGTGGTTTGGCGGGATTGCTGGCCTGGACGATTCGAGGAACATCGATAAAGTGAGGGGACTCGGGTCCGACTCGAAGATTGGGCGTAGTTGCGAAGCCACGGACTTGCACGCTGGCAGTCCGGCCGCTGCGGAGAACAGACATACTGCACCGATTGCACCCTAGCTTTCCCCAAAGGAGAATAATTTGGTAATATAGGGAAGATGGAAATCCAATTGAATCAATAAAACAATTCTCAATCGGTCAAAAGGACCGCGGTGCCTGGCTTCTTGGTAGGAGGATTCACGGGAGAGCAGGAGACCAGCGCCGGAAGAAACAGAAGCGATTTTGCCATGGTCCGTGCACGCTCGTTTCTTGGCGCCAAAAAAATTACTTCTCCGCCTTTTTTTTCCTTTTCCTCTTCTTCTTCGCGCTCTGCCACTACTTTTGTTTTGGTCTTACCTTCGAAAATTTTTCGCAAGGTCGATTCTTTTTCATACTCTTGAAAACCACAAGATCCCGACCATGGGTACAGGCAAGAAGGAGGCCTCACGTAAAGTGAGGCAGGGGAAGGTTGACGATGGCATGGCGAACGTGCGGATGAAGGGTGAAAACTTCTACCGGTAGGTTTTCAAAGTCAAGCAGTCGAAATAGAAGGCACGGAAGACTCATACTTTTCTTATTCAGCGATGCCAAGAAGATCAAGACTTTGAACATGTTCAAGGATGGCAAGGCTCGACGCAACGCCGCGGGTGAAATCACTGTCGCCGCCTCTTACCAGTCTCGGGATGCCCCCGTTGCTCGTATTGAGCCCAACCGGAAATGGTTTGGAAACACTCGGGTTATCTCGCAGGAGGCCTTGACTTCCTTCCGTGAGGCTGTCGCTGAGCGTGCGTCCGATCCCTACCAGGTGCTGCTCAAGACCAACAAGCTCCCTATGAGTTTGATTCGGGACAACAGCGGTACCGTGAACGGGCTTAAGCAGCATCAGGCCAAGATGGAGATCGAGAATAACCCGTTCGGTGACACATTTGGCCCTAAGGCTCAGCGCAAGCGTGTCAAGCTGGGCGTCACTTCACTGGAAGATCTTGCCGGCGAAACCGCCAAGTTGCACGACTCGTACCTCGAGAAGACGGACCAGGGCACCCACGATGATGGTACTCCCATTGTCGCCAGTGATGTCGGTGCCATCGAAGATACCACCTTCACCACTGCTCGTGAGTCCGTCTTCTCCAAGGGTCAGAGTAAGCGTATCTGGAACGAGTTGTACAAGGTCATCGACTCGTCTGATGTCGTTATCCACGTTCTGGACGCTCGTGACCCTGTTGGTACTCGATGCCGAAGTGTTGAAAAATACATTCGTGAGGAAGCGCCTCACAAGCACCTGATCTTTGTCTTGAACAAGACTGACCTGGTTCCCACTGGTGTTGCTGTAAGTGTCATACTCCTATCCCCTTTGCTGTTATTCGTTCCCATCACAAGTCTCGTTTTGCTCGTTGCTTTTCTGCTGCTTTTTGTTTGCTTTTTCCGGCCATGGAGCCGTTCCATCGCTAAGTCAAGGCTTCTTCCTGCGACTCATGTCGTATTTTTTCTTCAATGGAGGTCTGTCTGTTACAGCTTTGGTAGATCGACAATGTCCCGCACCAAACTTCTTTCTGAAGCAAGGTTGACTGGTCTTCGTCTTGAAGGCTGGTCGTAAGGGTTCATACGTGTTTTGTTTAAGAGTTGAGTTCTACTACTGCCTTTCTTGGTGGCTTGATAGTTGAACTCTTAGTAACATCCCACACATTCCTGATATTTTATTCAACCATGATTTTTGGTGACTGCTTGCTAACATGGCATCTCTCATCAGGCTGCTTGGGTTCGTCATCTGTCCAAGGACTACCCGACTCTTGCGTTCCACGCAAATATCAACAACTCCTTTGGCAAGGGTTCTTTGATCCAGCTTCTGCGCCAGTTCTCGGCCTTGCATTCGGACCGCAAGCAGATCTCTGTTGGCTTGATTGGATATCCCAACACTGGCAAGTCCTCCATAATCAACACACTTCGCAAGAAGAAGGTCTGCACCGTCGCTCCTATTCCCGGTGAGACCAAGGTGTGGCAGTATGTCACTCTGATGAAGCGTATCTACCTCATCGACTGCCCTGGTGTTGTTCCTCCCAACCAGAATGACACTGAGGAGGACATTCTCCTGCGCGGTGTCTGCCGTGTGGAGAATGTGGAGAACCCTGAGCAATACATCCCGGCTGTCCTGCGCCGTGTTCAACCCCGCCACTTAGAGCGCACCTACGGTATCAAGGATTCTCAGGATGCCATCGACTTCCTCAGCCGACTTGCTCGTAAGGGTGGTCGTCTGTTGAGGGGTGGTGAGCCCGATTTGGATGGTGTTGCAAAGATGGTGATCAACGATTTTCTCCGAGGAAAGGTCCCCTGGTACACCCCTCCCCCCAAGGGAGCTGGTGCCGACAACGGGAAGATTGAGGGTCGTGAGGGCCGTCTGGGCGAGATGGGTCGCAAGCGCAAGCTGGATGAGACTGCCTCTGAACCTGCTGCTGAAGCCGAGACTTCTGAGTCGCAGCCTGAGGGCGAATTTGAAGGCTTTGATGAAGATGATGACGATGACAATGATTCTATCGCAAACCTCGAGGTCAGTGATATTGAGAGCGGCGAGGAGGACTGAAAGGTCCACGAGTGCCGATTCATTCTTCATTCAGCTCTTGACTGCATGTCGACTCATCACTCAAACACTCTGCGCTGCCTCTATGAAAAGCAAGAGGGTCCAGTCGCCGATTCGCACGTCCAGCAGCGTCCCAAGCTGAGTCGTGTCGCGAATACGCCCGAGACATTGCGATGCTTTGGGAACGAGAAAGGCAAAGCTTTTTTCCGCAGTACCTACCAGACGGCAAGATCAAGCTGCCTTGTCAGTGCAGTCCAGAATCGCCATCCTGCGTGAAACTGCATTTTTTGGCTCAGATCTCACCCAGGCTAGCTCTATCGCTAGAAGGCCACTCGCTTCTTGAGATACCCCCCGAGTTTGACAGAACTTGAATACAACTCTATTTTTTCAAACACATTTCTTCTGTATTGTAAACGATTGTAGGTTGTAGCAGATGTAAATAATCGGTCGTTGGGTCTGTATCCCCATGCTTGGTTCATCCGCGGCTCGGCCAGCTCCTCACCGCTCTCGGCGTGGGGTTTCACCATCATCTTCCGGCTTCACGCTGCACGCGACCGCCGCATATCGACAGGACGATTACATCTGACATCTGCTTTGCTGTCTCCCACAATGAGGAGAAAGTCATGCCAGACGACATGTCTATGATTCCTTACAATGGGGGCAACCTGGATGTTGTGCTGTATGTCTCAGTGCTGCTAACTATCTTCCGAAGCTAACAACGTGCAGCCGGCATAATGACTCGGTCGTCGTGTTTGACCATGATTCCCAGCAGCTAGCCCTCCGAAACGCAGCAGATGACCATGATGGAGATCTAGAACTTGCAAACTGTCCACTCTGTCACCGTCCAATGCATGAAGGCAACCGAGGAAGACACCGTGGGAGTACAGACCCAGAAGCGGAATTCATCAACCCAAATTACTTCCGTATGCTCAACAACAGCTTGCCAAGCTCTGCAAGCTCCTCGAGACCCTCTTCGCCGCGCCGCCGTCTAGTCCGCCCTGCCCTCCCGGATGGTCCCACCAGCGAGCCGTCTTCTGGGCCGGCCCCGAACCAGGGCCAAGGAATATCCTCCTCAGCATTCAGCCCGGACTATTTCAAGCGCTTTTTTGTGGAAGAAAAGGTTCTTGGCAAGGGCGGGAAAGGTGTGGTCCTGCTTGTGAAACACGTATTGGATGGCGTATCTCTCGGACATTTTGCCTGCAAACGTGTCCCAGTTGGTGATGACCACGAATGGCTAGAGAAGGTGCTGGGCGAAGTGCAGCTATTACAGAATCTTTCCCACCAAAACCTCGTCTCCTATCGCCATGTCTGGCTCGAGAATGCCCGGATCAGCACATTCGGTCCTAGTGTGCCATGCGCCTTTATCATACAGCAGTACTGCAACGCAGGTGACCTACACAACTACATCTGCGGTGGTGTTCAGACAACAACAACAGCTCAACAGCTCAAGGATCGACTTCGGAGAAAGTCGAAAGGGGAGCCAGAGCTAAAACCAGAGATGGGAGGGCCTCGCGTGCTGCAGTTGGATGAAATTTATTCCTTTTTCAGGGACATCACTGCTGGTTTGCGCCATCTGCACATGAATGGCTATATCCATCGTGACCTGAAGCCGAACAACTGCCTCCTTCACGAGACAAGCGACGGCATTCGAGTACTAGTCAGTGACTTTGGCGAGGTACAATCACAGAACGCAATGCGCAAGTCAACTGGCGCGACAGGAACAGTCTCTTACTGTGCCCCCGAAGTTCTTCGACAAGAATACCCCGACGGACCATTCGGGAATTTCACTTTCAAATCCGACATATTCTCATTGGGAATGATTTTGTACTTCTTGTGTTTTGGGGAACTTCCCTACCACAGTGCAGATATTATCAACGAAGACAATGAAGACTTGGATCAACTTCGTGATGAGATTACACATTGGACTGGGTTTGACAATGCCCGAAGGAGAAGACCCGATCTACCTGCCAAACTCTATTCATTTTTGGATCAATTGCTCTCCGTGGACCCGGATCGACGTCCTACTGCGGATGATGTTTTGAATGGCATTCAAGCTGCGAACAATGCCAGTGAGAATTTCCGATTCAAGCGCAACAATTCAGCCAGTCCCGATTTGCCTGGGGCAGCTCGAATTCGGACAGTGGACAGTCCGGTCCCACCCCCGTCCATGGAAAGAGCCCTATCGCCCATCAAAAAGAAGATTGCACGAAGTCCTGTGTCAATGAGACGTGACTCAATGTTTGACTCGTCTTCTGGGCCTAGCGGCACCCCAGCATCAGAAACTGTCTTGGAAAACAGGACATCCCTGAGCCCTGACAAAGACCTAGTAATGCGACAAAGATATTCAACATCCTCCCCAAACTCATCCACGAGACAAATACAACCACACGAAGAACCCATGGACCTGTCAGCTCCGCCTATCACTCATACGCGACAGCTCCTCCCGCCACCACCACCCACCTCATCCACATTCATGAGTCGCCTGGGTGCTTCAACTCTCTTCCCCGGCCTGCAAGTCTCGCTTTTCTTGGTCAAAGTGGTCACGGTCCTGCATCCCTGCTCTCCTGTCGCAGTCAGACCCTGGTTCCTGTATCCCCTTCTTCTGCTCGCAGCGATCACCCTACGAGCGCATGATTTGCGTGTACAGGCTTTATCAACATTGGCACATGTTCTCCTTGTAGGGCTCGGTATGCAATTAGGGGTGCTTTGTACATGGCATGGCGAATATGCCATGGGAGTTTGATACATTCTCCGTTCTGTGTTAATATGAGACATGATTATGCTACTATGAAACCATTTTAATGAGCATCTAATGCATTGGGCCTGTTTGTTGAATTTACTTCAAGTCTAAGAAAGAAGGTTGTAGTTCCTGGGGTATTACACACATTCCATTATCCAATTACGATCACTGATATCGAATAGAATCTATGGTTGTCGAGGGGAGAAAAAATAACGGCATCTCCATTATCTTGAATCCCTGCCAGGCTAATCTCACGAGGCAAAAAAGCCCGTAAGTACTGACCTTGCGGACGAGCACAATACAGACAAAATCATCAGGTCAGAAAAGCTTAAAAGGGACCCAAAGGTGATGCAGCCAGAGAAGTCCTCGTTCAGAATTTGATCTTGGAACTTTGTGATGAATATGCCATTTCGCTTCTTGGAGAAGAGGCATATCCATTTTTGACACGGTGTAAACCATGACAACACATGTTCCTGTTCACAGAAATTGGGAAGACGAGAAATGATATGGTAGATAGAGATGACCGGTCGATTCCTACAGGGCCGGGGTGAAGATTCATAAACATAATATATCGTCTTGAATTTTGGTATTTGTAGCCAAATTAACACTCTCAGAATGTTCACAAGCAGAAAGCTGAAACTAAGGTCGCACTCGCGCAGCCTTGAACCTACTCACTCGTTCGGCCGGTTCCTCGACAGGTACAAACTCTGGCTCTTCCTCGTTGACAAAGCCACCTTGCTGTTGGATCTTGCTATTCCGCATTCTGTAGAACTCGGAAGCAATCTCGCGGCGGTGGATCTCTTCGTCAAGCTCATCTGGTTCGGGGGCTGTGATGGAGCTGGGAGCAATGTTTCGCTCGACCAACTTATCGGCCAGGGTCTTGCCCTCCGGTGGGTTGGGAGCCGAGGGCCCAGTAGGAATGTCCATGATCGGTGTGGAGAATGGCTTTGGCTCTCGAGGGGTGGCAGGGAACAAGCCAGGTGGTGGAACGGCGTTGGCTTGCTTTCGAGAAGTTTGGGACTCGGAAATATGAGGGGGTAATTGCGAGGATGCGGGTTTGGCAGTCGTACTAGCCGCAGGTTCGACTACTCGAGCGGTCTTGAACCGAGAGACCTTCTTAGGTCCGGTGGATGGGGCTGGCCGAGGCTCCTTTGGCTGCTCTGTTCGCTCAACGATTGAATCCGAGAGAACCTGGACGCTCGCCTGTGGCTTTGGCTTTGGTGGTGGAGTGGCCTTCTTCTCGGCTGCAGCGGCAGCGGCTGCTGGGGCGATATCCAGATCATCGGCAAAAGCGACCTTCTTCTTGGGCTTCTTGCCCTTTGCAGAGCTATCGATCTCGCCATTCTCTTGGGCAGGTTCCGTCTCTTGAGTAGGTTCCGTCGTAGAGTTTTCAATCTCCTGTCGAACTTCCTCGGGGAATGTCTGGGTGTCCTTGCCCAGATTGGTCATGCCTCTAGCGTTGAGTTTGGCTTCCAACTCTCGCATCTGCCGATGGTATTCCTCGGACAACACAAGGTGCGACCGGCCGTACTCATCTTCATCCTCCTCTTCTGTGCCCACGTCAAATTCCTCATCAGAGATAGAGAACTCGCTGCCTTCCTCGTCTAGTTCCAGTTCGGCAACGATTGCGCCAACTTCGTGGATGCCGTATTCCAGCATTTCCCGTCGCAGTGTTGCCTCGTCGGCGGGTTCGTCGATATCGGTAACCGGGGGTTGGTTGCGATCCTCTGGGGTGACGAGTGATACTGGTTGTAAGAGGTCCAGCTCATCCTCTTGAGAAACATCGTTTGCGTTTGTGGTAGAGGTGTGGCCATTCGAAACCACCTCAGACTTCTCATTGGTCTCAACTGCATCCACCGCATCTTCCTTCTCTTCCCGAGTAGTAGAGCTAGACCCAGCGACGTTCTCGCTTGACGTAGAGATCTCCGGGATGTCGTCGACACCAGCTTTCTTCAGAGCTTCCAGGATCGCCGGCGCATGATCTCCGGGGGTGTTGACGGAGCTAGAGATCACATTTCCTTCATCGTCGAGTTCTTCAATGATCTCGCTCATCGGGAATCCTTGATCACCAGAGATATCCGCAGGGAGCTGGTCGTTCGAATCCAATGTGTATAGTTCGTTCTCCGCCCCTCGAAGCCTCTTCTCCATAGTCGCGGCATTCAGCTTCACATAATCGATCCGTCTGCCTAGAAGGTCAACGACCTGGGTGCGCGATCGCGTGACGCCCACTTCTGTCCGCAGGATTGTCTGTATTTCCTTTTCGTTCACTAGCGAGCCTTCGTATTGGCGCGCAACGGCGAGGATATCGTCAGCGGTCGCATAATCTTGCAGGTCTTTGATCTCCTCTCGAAGGCTGTCGTATTCTGCCTCCCAGGTTCGCCAGTGGTAAAGGGACTTCTGGAGCTGAGTGATGTTGTCTTCGAGCGCGAGCCGTCGCTGCTCGAGGTCGTCGAGATTATGATTTGGGATACCCATGGTGTTCTCAGTGATATCCGGTCTCTCCAATATCATGTAGCTGCTTCCATCTCAGTCGGATTTGCGAGAGAAGTGAAAGAGATCGGAGGGGCAAAAAAAAAAGAAGACGGCCGAAGGCCGAAGACTGGACTTGGCCCGTGCACGTGGTGGAGCCCGCCTCTATCTCCAGCTTAACTGATCTCCGCTGTCTTTCACCTTCTGGCAGACTACAACATATCATCATGGCGTCCCAAGACTCCCGGGGTGAGGACGGTAAGCTTATCCCTGTTTGTCGTTGCGGTTCACATGCTAATACAGTCTTTCGTAGAGGTCTGCCCCGTCTGCAAGTCCTCGCGGTATCTCAACCCGAACATGCGATTCCTCATCAACCCGGAATGCTACCACAAGATGTGCGAGTCCTGCGTGGACCGAATATTCTCCTCTGGTCCCGCTAGCTGCCCCGTCGCTGGGTGCCGCAAGACCCTCCGCAAGAACCGCTTTCGCCAGCAGACCTTTGAGGACATTGGAGTTGAGCGAGAGGTGGATATCCGGCGGCGCGTGATGCACATGTATGCCATCTCCTCCCATGCACCCATAGTATGAGTTTCTGACAAGGTCTCTTCTAGTCTCAATCGACGCGAGGAAGAATTCGATTCCAAGCGCGCCTACGACGATTTCCTCGAACAACGCGAAGAGATAATCGCCAACCTGGTATACCGAACCGATGTGGCGAAAACAGAGGCCCAACTACAAGCCTACGCGCAGGAGAACATGCAATCAATCAAAACGAACCAAGCACTCGAGGAACAAGAGGCAACTTCATTCCATAAGAAGATCCTCATGGAACAAGAAGAGGCTCGAATGCGCCAACAGATCGCCCGCGAGGAATACGAGAACGAGCGGCGCGAGCAGCAGGCTACACGGGAGGACTTCCTTACTCGCCTCGCATCTGGTTCTGCTGCTGATGTAGCTGCCATCGCTCGCGATGGACACAAGGTGCACCTCAAGAAATCGTCTGCCCGGCGCAGCGAAGAGGAGCGTATTCGACAGAAACAGGCTGCTCTTCGGGGTACCGAGGGCAAGCGCACTGGTACACCCCTTGCAATGGGAGAGACTGCCGGTGCTACATCTGGTGCTGGACTCATCAAGGGCTTGCGCAAGATCAAGACTCCCGAGCCAGAGAAGCCATACGATCCTTTCATGGGTCTTGTCCCTGGCAAGCGCGATTACTACACCCAGCTCGAGTCTTATCCATACGCCTTTTTGGACAAACTCCGCTCAGATACGACAGTCCAGGCTGGTGGGTATGACTTGCAGGAGTACTACTCGCGCACTCTTTTGGAGGCGTTTGCTGGTCTGGGCTGCTTTGTCCAGGAAGAGGTTGCACAGCGGGAGGCTACCTCTGCTCTCGGTATTTCGAATCCTGCTGCTACTGAGGGAGCGGCCATGGCTGCTGTTGGTAAAAACGCTGCATAGTTGACATGAGTGGGAAATTTGGCATAGCGATGGCGTTTTGATTTAACTTTGCTTCTATATGAAATACCAGGTAGCTTGGTAACCCACTTCTCGGTATACTGAACATTGATTTCATCCCCAAGATTGGCTTGACGGACCTTTAAACAAAAAGCACTTACGACTTGTATAATACTTACAACGGGGTAGTCTAGAAGGGAAAAACAAGATATGAATTTGGAATGGGAGATGCAAAACTCCAGTAGAAATACCATTCGCAAAAGTATTACAGTCGCCAATAGCTAAAACCACAAAAAACCTAAACACCAAAATTTACGTGCGGCCAGTCAACTCGGCAGTGCTTTCAATACCCTCCCAGGGCAGATCATCTTCATCCTCATCCTCCAAATCGACCGGACCTGAGCGAGACTTGGCACTGTTCGCGGTCACATCAATGCCAATAGATTCCAACGTCATATCAAGGTCTCGCTTCGTGATCTCGCCCTTGCAGGTTTCCAGAACGTCGTAGAGGGCATAGATCTGATCGGACTTAAGATCAATGTCCTTCAGCACAGTCTCGATCTTCTGCATGACCGCCTTGCGCTGGCGCTTGCCGAGCGAGGCGTCGAGCTTGTTATAGGCGCTTTGGTAGGAGGCAAGTTGCATCTTCAGATGAGATAGTTCGTCCTCTAGCGTCTTGAGGACGGTGGCGAGGGCAACGGAGGGAGGCTGAGAAGGGCGCATGGTCGGATCTTCTGTTGTAGGCATGCGCTCTGAAACAGGAATGGGTGTGGGGATCTTCACAGCTTCGTGGTTGCAAGGGCCCTCATGGGGAAGGACGTTCTTGCAAATCATACAGTTGTTCCCGTCATGCCGAGCAATGTCGTCCAACGCTCGCTGGGCAGTCTCGGGCAGGCGAGAGGGGTTACTACCCGCCAGCTCTGCGCGGCTCAAAGTGATATCGGGAAGAATGAAGGCGGAGGTCATGTCTTCAATGTTCCTGCGCTTCTTACGTTGAGATAGTGAAGCCACGGAGTGATCTGAATGGCGTCTCGGGCGATCAGATGTGGGCACAACGAGACTAGTATCACCCTCGGTTGTAGCTGCCGATCTGGTGGTAACATCGCCTGCAGCTGATGCAGGGCGGGAGGTAATAGGCTTGGGCTCGCGGAGGGACGACTTTCGTGGGAGAGGAGCCTTGAGGATGCTCTGGCGGGTCGAGTTCACAGTCTCAGTGGCAGTAGTGTCCTTTGTAGCACTAGATCGGCGCTGCTTGCGCGACAATCGTTCTTCCTCCAATGTTTTCCGAAGCCGGGCAATTTCATGTTCCTGTAATGCCAGTGGTTAGAATTGTGTAAGATCAAGAACACAGGCAGATCAGCAACTCACATCAATAACACTCAGCAGTGTAAGATCCTCCGCATCGGATGATGCTTTCGTCTGTTCAGTAGACTCAACCGCACTGCTGACATCTTCCAACATAACACGCTTAACACGCTGCTTGGAGGTATTTGGCTGTTTCCTGGATCCCTTAGATTCAGAATGGCCAGATTTGGCTGATTTAGATGCAGATGCCCGCTTGGCAGGCATTTCAATGGAAAACAGCGCTTCCTCTGCACGCTCCTTTTCCAGTCGAGAGATCTCCTTATCGACCTGGGTCGAGATCTTAGACCGAGAGTCATCTTGACGCTTAGACTTCAGATTGTTGCGGCTGCTCTTGGAAGTAAGGTCCCTTGTGCTGCGGCTCATGTCGGCACTATACACATTGCTATCATCGGGATCGGAGGCAGACATGCTGGAATCCGTTTCGACAGCCTCCTGGTCCCGAGATTTGCCGGAAATCCTGGCCAGATGAGACTTCAGGTTGGCATTCTCTTCACGCAATTGATCATTTTCAGCCTTGAGTTCTCTAGTCTCAAGATATGCCACGCCCAACTGGGAGATGGCAGATTCTCGCTCATGGTTGAGGCGTTTGACCGCTGCCTCTTGGACTTGAGATTTGCGGTCCGCGATATCCAATTGATTCTGTAGAGCGATATTGGCTGCTTCGAGTTCTATAGAGAGTTGTTAGCATGTGAACAGTCTGTGGAATCAATGTACTCACTCTGAATGTCCGAGTTCAGACGTTTTGAGCTCTTCTTATGGTCGACACCTTCCATTGCGTACTTGTCGGAATTTCGGGACCGACCAGCCTTTAGCAATGCATTCTCCTCGCGGTAGTTCTCAATTCTCCTCTCCGCATCAGACTTGTACATCTCCAGCTCCGCGACCTTATCTTGGAGGAGACGTAGAGAGACGAACAACGCCTTCTCATCTTCCGGGATTGGAACCGCATCAAGAGGCATATGTTCACGCGAAAATGACGCATCAGTCTGGTCGTGTGGGGGGGATACAAATCGGGTGGAGCGCATCTTATGCTGGCGGGGGAAGACGGGCGTGCCGTCCTCATAAACACCCGAAACGAGCTCGGAGATATTGGGGAGGTCTGGGAGGAGGAAAGACTGGCGCGTCATGGTATCGCCCATCGTGTTGGTGTGGTTGTTGCTGGTCTTGCGGGGAGTGCTTCCATTGCTGGCTTTGCGCAACTCCTTCGCGTATGCTTCCCGTGAAGCACGCTCAACTGCATCGGCGATCTCTTGGGAGTTGTTGAGGTTGCCAAAACGCGTCGATCGCGTGTTTGTTGCAATTGGAGCGGGGCGTTCGTCTCCGATGAACGACCCGTCGTAGCTGTCGCGTACTTTCGCGTGCATTTCCGAGAGGGTCCGGCGTTGGTCGCGTTGTGATTTGCCAGACACTTGAGGGCTCATGTTCTCCTTCTGTGCTTGAGTTGCGCGTCGCAATTGAGCATCTTTGCGGAGGTTCTCGCTCACGGCGCGTCGGGTTGTCGTACGCGCAGCAGGTTGTTTCTGGGGGTCGGGTAGTCGACGCGAACGGCGGGCGAGGAGGAACGAATGCTATTCTGGAAAGACATCACGGAGTCGCGAGAGTCATCGAGGCGACGAGGTTGTTTGCCGGAGGGACCGCGGCCCAATTCCATGGACAGTTCGCTGACATCAGACATGGTGTCGCGGTCCAGATTTCCGTGCTGTGCTCCGTTGTTGTTGTCTTCTTCTTCTTCCGATGTGGGCAGTTGAGAGAACTCTGGGAAAGCGCGCTCCAGAGTTGACGTGTTAATCACAAAATCTGGCTCTTCTTCTTCTTCGTGGGAGTATCTCATGTTGGGAAGCTGCGGACTGCCGAACTCGCGGGTGGACGCCAATGCTTCGTGTTCAGGGTCGAAGTCGGACACGGTAAAATCCAATTCTGAAAGAGGCATACTCAAGAGCTCGGCTGAAGATACAGTCCGAAAGATGCTAGTTCTTGAGGGGCCTGACGGTGGACATGAAAGCAAACTGATACCGGGCGGAGGTTGTTGACTGGCGGTTTTGTTTTGAAGGCTGGGAATGTTTTGGTCGCGCGTCTTGGCCAATCACCCGCCACGCCCCCGCCCGTCCCGCTCCACTGCATCCATGGAATACATCACTGCTATCAACTTCATCATATAGAGGCAATAGTTGGATTTTAGATAATGTTTCTCTATAGGCTAGAATCTGAAGATCTCATATAATCTTTTTTGGAATTTATTTTACGGCATTTGTCACAAAGACTATTGTATATCGAATCGAAACTCGAGTGTCGCATTATCCATGCATGCTCGTCCGGAGATATATACAAACGTGCGCCGTACCTCACTATAATCATCAACCAACCTAAAATATATAGAGTATAGGAACCAAAATAACCGTTGGGTGAGATAAGGCTCTGGATTTTTGGTGCTCATGCCTATCGCATATTCAGAGCTACTACTTCCATCGGGCAGGTAGGATTCCACTTTAACAACAAAACTACCAACTTCAATGAAGCCCATTATAGTGAATACTGTCTTAAAGAATAGGTAGATAAATTTCATTTATGCTATCTAGATGTTCAATATCCAAATCCCAAAGTCCCTCCCACCAGACCACGCGTGCTGGCAGCAACAGGTTAAGCCACCAGACTCGCAACCCAGAATCAAAAAGCTATCAGCCAATTTAAACCCCAAACACCATGCTAGTCAGAAAAAAACAATACGCCAAAAGGGCGCTGAAAGGACAAATCAAATGCGACCGAAACAAAAGGCAGAAATGCCCGCTAATACAATCGTGAAAATCGTGCTCATTGATGTGGAATTGGAAAATGCTTCGGTTGGTCAATAATCCCAACCTTTCGCTTCAGACCGATAGGTTATCCCGAAGCGGAGGCATGTCTAGTTGTTGGACCCTGACTATTGGCATGGGTACTGTCCAATGTCGTGGCTGACGTCGGCAAAGGCTCTGTGACTTCTGTTGACGTTGGCGCGGTCGAAGGGTTAGGTGAAGACTCCTCCGGGGCTTGAGGTGCAGTAGGTGTGATCGGGGAAAACGTGATTGGACTGCCGATGTTCACATGTATAGATGGCAATCGCATGATTCCCGGTAGTTGCTGCTCATCCCGCGGATTGACAGGACTCTCGTAGGCAGGGGCCTCGCCCCAGTCGAGGTGATCGTATTCGGGTGGCGGCGGGATGTTAAGAGTACCTAGATCTCCCTCTTCGTCTGATTGAGAGACTGGTCGAATCGATGATCCACGGGTTGATGTCGGACGGAGGACCAGTGGGTCGACCTCGTTGGATAGCGTGGATGCGATCGACTGGACGCGAGATCGAGTACTCGGGGGATCCATTAATGATGGAGATGATGCATGCATGGCAGCATTCTGAAGAAGAGGGTGGTGGTCAGAATCAGAGGCGTGTGAATCCGCTCGTAGACGGGATCCGTCGTGTCGAACGTGGCCGAGATCAGCGTAGCTGACGCTGGCGATACGGCGATCTCTTTCGCGGGATTGGTGGTCAGCGATGACGGCCGATGCAGTGAGTGAAGTGCTGCTTGAGGTAGCCTCGCGGCGACGGCGGCTTTGAGCGCGGGATTCTTCATTGAGCTGCTCTAGACGGATCGAATCACCTCGCGCCCGGGCTTCTCGGCGTTCTCGACGGCGAGCCTCACGGTCGGCCAGTTCCTGTCGACGCTGGACACGGAGCTGGTAGAGGGCTTCCATCTGATCTTCGCGGCGCTCTTCTTGTTCCTCGGCGGTCTCAGGGAATTCGACGACCATATCCATGCCGGCTCGTTCTCCCTCGCGAGCGATAACCTGTTCGGTCGGCTTTGGACTTGCTGAGTACGGCGGTAAGGTCATAATAGACCGAATGGAGGTTTCACGCTGTGGACCACCGCTGGCATTGCGGTTGTTGTTGGAGGCAATGGCGGCCATCTCGGGGCCCGATCCACCAGCCCCCTGATAGGAGGTATCCCGATCATTGTTTTGACCACCTTGATTTGGTACCTGCCCATAAGAGGCACTTCCAGGACACCATTGCTTCCATTTCTGCTTCAGGGTCTGGGTGGGAATATACTTGGGCTCATAGTAACGCTGTCGGAGCCACCGGGCGCCAAAATAGATGCAAGCGCAAGCGGCAAGAACAAAGATGATGACCGAGGCACACTAGAAGACCAGTCGAGTTAGCACTCGGAAGGACTGGACATGAGATTGTAGGATGCGACCGCGCCAGCATCGGTGGTCGGATCAGCACGGAAGCAGAGATGGTAAACATACGATGATAAAGACGCTGTTCTTGCGGCTGAGGTCCCGTTTCTGAGGAATGTACATAGTGGGAGGCGCGGCAGGCAGCGGGCCCTAGAGATCTGCCCGAGGCATGGAAGAGAATCCCCAGATTTCAAGAGGTCGAGGAATGATGAAGAGTAAAAGCGGGAGAAGACAGAGGGTGATACAGTAATAATCTGAGGAACAATTCTAGGCACGAGTGGAGCAGAACACTCAGACAGGGCAGAAGCTCAGAGACCGAGACGCCATTGCCTATTATTATCCACTGATCCAAGAGGGAATCCGCGGGTTGGCGTGGCTCAAGTGGCCAGAGTCTCAGCCAGAAAGGAGCTGAGTGGACTGGGACTTTGGGTGGAGATTCGGTGGGGAGTGGCTGGTTGACTGTCACTGCCCATATGTAATTTGTATTCCCAGCCGCCTGAATTGGCCTCGATCTTGTTTGAGGCGCGCAGTCGGTCTGTGCACCCCCAGTCAGGTTTCGACTGTCAACTTGTTCAACTGTTGCGCTACTCAGAGCTGCTGGGATTGTACTGTAGGATTTGCCAGGCCAAAGGAATAATAATAATCGCGATCGGACTCTTAAACTTTTTCCTGCCCATAGTTGGCCAAACGGGAGATCCGCGTAGTGGATACGAGCGGTACCGATACTTGAAGTTCCCTAGGTGAGACTGTTTCGGCGCCATTGGCGCTCGTGCAGTCTCGATTGCACTAGTCAATCACCCTTTTTTCTGGTGGTACATGAGGGAGAAGGGGGAAATTCTGTGGTGCTCGTGCAGCTGTTGACAGCAAGGAGCACGACTCTTGTGTTGTGACACAAGCGCCGCCTTCCCTTACATTGGAGGGAGATCGCTGAGGGTCGGAAAGTAGATTGACGTTGGCTTTATCTGCGACAAAGTACAATTCAGTGGTAGGGAGTCAATATAGAGTAACGAAACCTACCACTAGCTACCTCGTAGTTCGATTTAAAAGACAAGCGGGAGATAACATACAAGGGCACAACCATACTGAAAAGTAGGTTGACTTTATTCTACTGCATACAACGGGCGGAGCCACCAAACCCCTGCACCTCCCGTCCGCTAACTAACCCCTCCTAGCAGAGACTATGCGTCAAGTAAATGATCGACCCCATCAAAGGCACGAGATTATGCAGATTTCTTATTACAGTACCGTGTTCTATCTACAGCACTAGCTTAATCTTTAAATCCATCATGTCTCGAGAGTACTCCGTACATCTTCTAAATTGTTGCATCACGTGTTCATACTCAGCCTACCTTACTACTCAAGGTTCTCCCCTGTGATTAAGTATTGCCTCAAAAGCATACCTGTGATCACAGACCGTACCTAGTCCATTTTTAAACAAAAGTAGTTGTCTTAGCAGAAGTGGCATTGCGGGTCCCCTAAACTGCCTCTCAGCACTGGCGATGTTGCCCTCCGGCTACCGGTCACCGATAGCCGGTAGGTCCATAGGTACCCGCACATATGAAAGGTCTACTTATTCCTATGAGTGGTCTAGATTTGGCTTGAACTACAGCCAAGGCCAGTCTCCGGCTATCGGTCCTTGATACTGGTGGTTAGTCGCCGCACTATATGAAGAGAAAGTATACCGGATTTTCCTTCTTACCTCGAGAAATCTGATTATCTATGTGGAATTTCCTCAGCGACAGAGAAAATCTACGACTGTTGGAACACAGACCACGCACATTCCAAAGAAGCAATATAGCAAAGACTTGGAACGAACACCATGGACAAAATAGGCGACAATGAGCCACCACACTTCATCCCTCACAAGCCGAGTGGCCTGCCAAATGCACGACCAAATATTGTCATTTTCATGCCAGATCAACTCCGCTATGATGCATTACACTGCTCCGGGATGAACCCCATAGTGAAAACGCCAAACATCGACAACTTTGCCGCCCGAGGCGTACGATTCACAGAGTGCTACGTTCAAGCCTCAGTCTGTACACAATCTCGCTGTTCCATGTTCACAGGACTATATCCGCATGTTTCTGGTCATCGGTCCTTGGAGAACCTCCTCAAACCATGGGAGCCGAATCTATTCCGATCGTTGAAGGATGGTGGCTACCATGTGGCTTGTATGGCACCGCGAGGAGACCTGTTTGCTCCGACTGTTACTGAGCTGAGTTTGACCGAGTATGGGTTTTTGGAACCGCCTGAGGTGACAAAAATTATTGGTGGGATTGGGGATGAACGGCCAGAGGAGGAGATTACTATCTGGGAGAGGTTGTTCTATAAAGGGCGTCGTGATGCGAGCAAAGCGGTTGATTATGACGAGTCTGCTATTCGAAGTGCAGAGAAATGGCTGGATTGTCCTCCCGATGACAAACCGTGGGTCCTGTTTTTGCCGTTGTTATTTCCTCATTGTCCATTCACTGTGGAAGAGCCTTACTTCTCGATGTATAAACGCGAGGATATGCCCGTACCGTCTTCTCATGAGCAACAGGTATGACATCGTTGACCTCTCCGCTACAAGTGTGTTGACCTAACATTTCTCAGACAGGATACGAGCCGCAATATATGCAAATGATCCGCACTCGGTACGGAACTCATCGCGCCACTCCAGAGATCTGGGCCGAAGTCTCTGCAACCTACCACGGCATGATATCACGACTAGACGATCAGTTTGGCCGGATAGTCAAGAAACTCGATTCGAGTGGGCTCTGGGACAAGACGATCACCATGTTTTTCACCGATCATGGTGAGTACCTAGGAGATCATGGCCTCATCGAAAAATGGCCTAGTGGCTTGTCCGAAACTCTGGTTCGTGAGCCTCTAATCATCGGCGGTGGTGGCATCCCCTCTGGTCTGGTTCGCAATAGCATGGCCGAGATGGTCGATCTGGTCCCCACCATTCTTCAAATATGTGGAATCGACGAGACTTTCCCACATAATGGCAAGTCGCTGCTACCAAACATTTTGGAAGACAAGCCCCATCGAGAATTCGCCTTCTCAGAAGGTGGCTTCCTACTTTCGGAGGAGCCACTTCTCGAGCGAGCCTCGTTCCCGTATGACCTCAAGTCCAAGTTGCAGCATGAAGATACACGATTGGTGGGTAAGGCGATATCGATGCGAGATCAACGCTGGACGTATATCTATAGGTTGTACGAACCAGCGGAGTTGTATGACCGCAGCGCCGATCCGTTGGAACTGCACAACCTGGCGGCTAATCCGCGGTTTGTGCACCAGGCACGATTCATGGAGAGCCAGATGTTCCGGTGGATGGTGGAAACCAGTGACTTTTTGCCATATGCTAAAGATGGCCGTTTCCCCAAGGTGGATTTGCCTGATCCCAAGGCCCTCTGGGGGAAGCGCAAAGAGGAACGGAGCAATAGGCCGCGTGCATTGTAGCTACGTTCCAGCTAAACACGTAATAGAACGCTATGATATTGCAACGTCAGATTCTTTTTCCTGAGGGTGTGAAGGAAGTTAACCTTAACAGTTCTTGAGCGCGATCCTTACTGGTCGATCACATAGAAAGAAGAACTTGACCAGGCGGAGCCAAGAAGCATCTGACCATCACGCTACTCCAGCATTTGACAGTCTTCACACGTTCCACCATCCCTTGGAATCGGAAGTTCGTGCATAATGTCGTGGCCAATATTTCCCCGTGGAGACGCCCCCGCAAAACAACAACGCGGGCCAGGGCATCGACACACCGACACGCGGGAACGAGATCATCTGCGCGCCCGGCATGATCGCATGGTGGCGCCGACCGGGCTTGCTTGCAGCCGGAACGCCTCTCGGATGTCGGAGAGGGGACTCATCCAAGCAAAGATCGACACATGCGAAAAGGATGAAGGGGTACTTGTTCCAATCGGCGTGGTTATCATCGGCCAGGGGGGAACTGGGAACTGCGCGAGGTCATCACAGGATCTTGTCAGCCTGCCATGCTGCACTTACTAGCGGGGAAAATATTCAATATTCATGGCTGTTACAGAGCAGGGCAGGGTGCCCCAGAGATGTTATATTATGGAGCCCGTTGGCTGATTGAGATAGTCTCTCCACCAACCCAGTATCTCTCGGCTGCCCTGTGGCTTTTCCTCCCGCTCTTAGTGGGCCTGTATTTCTTCCTATCAGATTGTCTGTTCTTGTTGTGATATCTCAAGGCCAAGACGACTCTCCATTACTATCCAGTACTGCCCCTGACCCTATTCTCTCTTTCTCAACTACGTCGACAAGCACAATGTCTACTTTGAACTTCGCCTTGAAGAACCAGACCGGTTCAAACACGGTCTATGCCTACATCACCGGCCAAGCAATCGACAACAACAATGCACTTTTCCTGCTCCAAGCGGACGGCAAGACGGCGTACTATCCAACCTCGCCATCCGCTACCCAGACAGCTCTCGCGCAAGACTGCGCCATTCCACTCGGTGCATCGGGCAGTACCAAGACAGTGACGATCCCACATATCGCAGGAGGTCGAATCTGGTTTGTACGCGATGCCAAGCTCACATTCTACGTGAACCCGGGCCCTGCACTCGTGGAGCCCTCGTCGTCCAATCCGTCCGACCCCAACTATAACCTGTATTGGGACTTTTGCGAGTTCACCTGGAACTCGTCGCAGCTTTACGTGAACATTACTTATGTCGATTTTGTGTCACTGCCCATTGCCCTGACGCTCACCAACACGTCGGGAGCTTCGAAGAGCGTCCAGGGTTTACCGGCGGATGGACTCGCCACGATCTGCAATGCACTCAAGTCTCAGAATTCGAAGGATAGTGCTGGCTGGGACAAGCTTATCGTCACAACTAATGGGAACAATCTTCGAGCCGTGTCGCCGAATACAGGCATTACATTGGACAACTCCTTGTTCAAGACTTACTATGATTCATACGTGGATCAGGTCTGGTCCAAATATACGAATGACACCTTGACGGTTAATACCCAGGGCAGCGCTGGTGATGTGACGGCCAAAGTCTTGAACGGCAAGCTCACCTTTTCCTCCGGAAGCATTTCCTACGATCGGCCATCCACAGCGGATATCTTCAGCAACAGCTCTGGAGCATTTGCAGTCTCTGGTGATGGGACTAAAGACGCCATCACTGCCCGCTTGGCAGCGGCATTCAACCGCTCCACCCTGTTGACCAACATCAATCAACCGAATGGCGAGACTGTGGCAAATTACTACCAGAATGCTGTGACAAACCACTACTCGCGGATCTGTCATGCCACTAATCTGGATACCCGTGGTTATGCGTTCCCTTACGATGATGTGGCGCCGACTAATGGTGCTGACCAGTCTGGTAGTGTGTATGATCCGAATCCTCAATTGTTGACGGTGACTGTTGGTGGGGGCTCGAGCAATTCGACAAACAAATCTGCCAATCAGGGGAATACTGCACCAGCTCAGGGGACTCAGAAGAAGAGCTTGTTCGCTGGCTTGAAGAAAGTGATGCAGACGTTGTCCTGCAAGAAGTAAATATGGAGAGCATGTCTTCCCGTCATGTTTGCTTTTTTGTGGACGTTTTTGTTGACATTTTGCTTTTTCTTGGAATCTATGAACATAACTTTGTGCCAGCAATGTAGATAGGCTCTTTCATTGTCTGACTTTACATCTTATGTTGGCGGATGATTCTTTAGTACAGCGAGGGATATCCATATGAATACTATTGTTGGAAATACATTTCAGCTCCGATAATGCAGTATATTGTCCTGATGCACTACAGACACCTCCCTAAAACTCCTCACCCGCCTGCTTTCGAATATGCGCCACCACCTCATCAGGGCGAACCAGCCACGGCGAGTGTCCCGCATTAATTTTCTCCGTTTCAATGCTAGCACCTTTTCGCTGGGCCCGATCCACCATCAACTGCTGCACGGCAAGCGGGATAGCAAAGTCATCCACGCATAGCAAGTATAAAGACGGGATCTTCATGTATGCAGCGCTGGTGGCGGGTGAGTTCTTGGTGGACCAGGCGTGTGGTCGGAGTGTCTGGGCCCATTCCTGACCGTTGGGTACATCGTGGAAGAATAGTGCGAATGGATCGCTGGCTGTCACGGTGCCATTTTGTTCCTAACAAAATATATCAATGAATTATGTTCACAGCCATTGAGTATGGTATGATAATCACAGAAAAGAAAAGGGCCCACTTACATCCAGCACATACCAAGGCGGCGGGGTCCCACCAAATGCGCTGATCAGACTCTCGCCAACCTGCGGGATAAAAGCAGCGAGGTAAACCAGCTTAATCACGCCCCCTTTCTTTCCTGCATTCTCGAGGTCGCTTCGTTCCAGGCCATCCAGTGCGCTAGCAACCGGGAGGCCAGACCAACTATGAGAAACAATGATCACTTCTCGGCCGGCGTTGACCTCTGGCTCGACGATTGCTCGCACTGCCGCGATGTCTGGCCGCAAGTCTTGAACTGTGGTAGCTTGTTGGATGGAAGGGAAAGCGATTGTGTGACAGTTGTAGCCATGTTCGTTCAACTTCTTGGTGATCCCATCAAAGACTGTTGGTGGGTACCAGGCGCCAGGGGCGAAGACGATGGTAGGCTTCGCCATTTGGGGTCAAATGGTGGATGAGAAAGGTCAAGTAGAGGAGATACCGAGTACTTCCCAGGAAATAAAGGGAAAGAAGACGGAGAAAACAAACGGAAATCAAAGGATCATCTAGTGTCTTGGTAGGGCTGAGACACCGGTACTTATGCTTCTGTGGTTTGTTGATTCCTCCATATAAATCGGCAGGTTCTGTCCCCGCCGCGACACCCGACCAGCGCTAACCGCCTACATCTTGGCACTGGGCAGCCTTACGGGCTACGGCACGTCTCCGACTCCTCCGGACTCCGGCCCCCAAACGAAATTGCGTGGCCCTATCTACTAGCTGCTTTTTGGTTGTTAGGTCTCGGACTGGTGGATAAATCACGTTGAAATGGTTGGACAGGAATGACTAACAGCTAAATACTAAGGAGGAATTGAATGCATGGGCCTCGTCGAGTACTTTGTGCTTTGTGTTAATTAGGAAAAATACACCGAGAGTGGCTTGGAGGAGTAAATGGAGCTTGGATAGGAAAGGACAATTCGGAGATCACTTCCGATTTCGCGTTGGACCCTTCTGATTCTATTGCAAATGGGTCTCAAGATTGAGGTGGATTTTAAGGGTCACAGGATATTGTAGAACTAATTGTTAGAAGAAAATAATGTGTTTCAACACGAAAAGGCAATTGTTTTCTCGATGAAAATGTTTGAAAGAAAGAAACAACTAAAAAGGTCTCATCTTGATCAAGATGAAGTGGAAAACAAAAAAAAAATGAAACCATGCTGGGGTAGGCCTATGCATGCTCAGGGTCATTCATCAACTCGTATAATCTCCCACCCACTCGCTGTGCAAGATCCCGGTACGACCCATCCTCCACGACAATTCCTTGATCAAGAACAACAACATGATCTGCAATCTCAATCATCTCCTTCGCATGGGTGATGATAATCACAGTGAGGTCATTCCGGGTAGCGACAAGCTTCTGTACCGTTTGCCGGACAAGGTCTGCACCGGCAGGATCGAGACTGGATGTTGCCTCGTCCAGGATGAGGATCTGGGGCTCACGAAGCAGAGCACGAGCGATGACCAATCGTTGCCTCTGGCCGCCGGACAGTCCAATGCCACCGTCGCCAATGACAGTGAAGTATCCATTTGGAAGTGACAAGATAAAGTCGTCGATACCTGCTGCTTCTGCTGCGACACGCACGCTATGTATGGATGCACGGTCTGCAAGTCCATAGCTGATGTTGGCATAGATAGTGCCGGGGAAGATGATCGGCTGCTGTGACACAATGGAGATATGAGATCGCAGCGTTGGAATGTGCAAGCGTGAAATGTCTTCCCCACCGAGTCTCACGGTAGGTCGGCCATCTTTCGATACGGGCGCTTCATATAGCGCGAGTAGTAACGAAGCGATGGTCGACTTGCCCGAGCCGGAGCGGCCGACGATCGCCGTGGCTGAATTCTGGGCGATCTTGATTGACACATTCTTCAAGACTGTGGTGTCGGGTCTCGAGGGATATCTGAAGTCCAGATTGGATAGTTGGATTGGAGTGAGCTTGGAAATCTTGAGGTCGCCTCGATGTTCATGTGAGCCCGCTTCGGGGAGATTGGCAAGCCGAAGAAGTTGGGTTGCGACCTCGCGAGAAGTGTTGATTTGAGGAACTGGATTGAAAAAATTAGAGAACTTTATCTTTGTGTGCGGGTGAGTTTGTTGCTTACTCCATGATAAGATCTGGGCTGCGTATCCAATGCTGAAAAGCAGCAGTGAGAAGACCATCATCACATCATTGACGGTAAACTCAGATGCTACGAGCACGGCTCCATAGTAAAAGATCAAGGCTATGTCTGTTAGTTACCATATAATCATTGATTTCTGGAAAACTACTTACCACTCGCAAACATGACTGTCGACTCCAGCAATCCAAAGAGCAGACCCGTATAACCAGCACGTTTCAATCCCACGGCCAGGCATTTTGAGATGGCGTCCGCCTGCTTATTATGAAAATAGCCCTCCAGAGTCAGGGTCTTCACGGTGCGAATCTCTGAAAATGTTTCCGTGAAGATATCCGTGGCAACCGCACTGGCTTCGCTGCATCGATGCTCCCAGAGACCATTGACCCCTTCGAACCCTCGAGTAATCGCGTAAATGAAAGGCCCACAGGCAAGAGCTACCAAAGTCAACTTCCAACAGACGATCAGACTCCAGATAACTGCCATCACTGTGATGGCTGCAGCAACAATCACGAATCCAGCAAAACGACCAAGGAGATTTCGGATGTCCTCACCATTATGATCCAGATACGATGTAAGCCTGAAGGAGCTGTTGCCATCTTGCTCAAACCAGGCCCGAGGTTGGTCAAGCACTCGATCGAATGCCTTTTTCCGGAGTGCGTTCATCCAGGCTTCACCACAGTACTCGAGAAAGTATTGCATGAAGAACGAAGCCAGACCATCTCCGATGGAGACTCCAAGTACCGCCAGTGACCATGTCATCGTTAGCTTGGCGCTATTGGTTCCGGCGTAGAAAGTGCTAAATAGTTGCGACAGACAGTAGGAGAAGACTGGTGTCGCACTTGCATGGGCCAAAGCTGAGGCAACTCCGAGAAATAGGATGACTCGTTGTTTTGGAGTCAATGTAGGCACAATAGTGCCCATGATGTGGGACAGTGAAGTCATGCCCTTTTCATTCTGTTCATTCTGCAACTTCGGGGTTTTCTCTTCTTGAACAAGGGTTAGTCGCTCCCTGGCAGGATTGGCAGCGGAAGCATAAGACATCGTGCGAATGGAGCGGTCATACCCAAAACCGTCGTCAATTTGAACCATCTCGAACTCCTCCATCGGTCTGGAGTAGTAGGAGCCTGGACGCACTGGTGATGCATCCCTTCTGGGTATCCCCAGAAGGGACCCACGTTTGCTGAGATCGTATGATATGTTGAGCATAGTGTCGTCAAAAGAGTAAGAATCATCTCCTCTCTGTGCTGAGTTCCAGGTACCGGACCACGAACTAGAACGGGCGTGATGCTGAGCCAAGATTTCTCTGGGATTTTGACCTGCAAGTGGTAGCATTGTAGGCTCAACTGCCAAGCTCTGGCGAGGCGAGCCCTCCCAAGAGAGACCATGATATGCTCTCTCCCCCGACTCCTTTTGCAAACTGAAATCTTTCACGTCTTCCTTTGTCGCGGTGCGGAAATACTTCTCGCTCCCTGGCTGCTTCTCCATGGTAGCTCTGTACCCGCTCTGCACAATTGTACCATTTTCGAGGATATAGACAAAGTCTTGCTCAGTGATATGGGACATGTCGTGAGTGATGATGATGGTTGTCTTTCCGCTACGCCACTCACAGATCGCCTTCATCACTGCCACTCGGTTTGCAGGATCCAAAGCACTGGTGGGCTCGTCCAAAATCAGAACGGGTGTGTCGCGCAACCTCGCTCTGGCGATTGCAACTCGTTGTTTCTGTCCACCACTCAAATGATTACCGCTAGGTCCGACGCAAGTGTCAAGGCCGTCAGGCAGGCTCTCGAGAACGCTATTTAGCATTGCAACATTGATGGAATTCCGAACATCTTCTGTTGATACGGTCTCGTAGTCCTGACGGCCGAAGGCGATGTTCTTCAACACTGAGTCATTGAATAGCATACTGCGTTGTTCCACCAAAGTAATGTTGTTTCTGACCCAGTTGATATTGAGCGCATCAATAGGGTTTCCGTCTATCAGAATCTCGCCTGAAGTAGGTGGATAGAATCGCATCAATAGTTGACCGAGCGTGGTCTTTCCAGAGCCACTCTTGCCAATGACGAAAGTCGTCTCCCCAGCGGGGAAGAAAAATGACGATGGGTTCAGAACAACGCGATCCGGCTGACTGGGGTATGAGAAGGACACCTAAACCAGAACTGTTAGTGCGCTTTACCGCAGAATAAATACACTAAGATCCTGAACGTACATTGTTCACCTCGATATCACCCTCACAGTGCTCTGGATATAGGGTTCCTTTGATCTCACTCACGACTCTGTCTTGGTCTTTTTGGCCCATGATTGACTTGAGCATGGCACTTGCAACTTTCCCTTTCTCCAAGACAATCATCTGCGGCAGCACTTGCTCGATGGACTGGGCTGCAGTCAAACATGCCCAGAATGTCCTAAGAACTTCACCCGAGGTGATCTTGCCGGTTCGAGCAAGGGAGCTCCCGTACCAGAACCCTTGAACAAACATGCCGAACATCATCCACCGAACAAATGAAATCTGCAAAGAATTGAGCCGGGCTTGCCGAAGATAATGGATAGCGGACTGCTCAATTCGGATGGAGAAGCTCCACGATTCAATTCTCTGGCCGTTCAAGCATTTGACTGCGTCGATAGAACTGATGGCATTGCTCGCAACCTTTGACGCCTGAGTAAGCTCTTCTTGCTGTGCTTTGATGCTGGGCTTCATCCTTGTGGACAAGTAGACAATCACAGAAGAGAACATTGGGATTCCAGCCAATGTCACCAGGGACAGACTCCACGAAGTATAGAATCCTAGTCCCAGAGACGCCAATGATCGACAGAGATACTGCAAAAGCAGCCCAAGAGGCTGTGATGTCGCCATCTGGAGTTCGTGAATATGACTAAATGATGCATTAGAGTCATACTTCTGCTGTGGTTCAAGGCATCACTTACGCTTGTACTCCTAACAAGAAAGCCCCCGATCCTTCTTGCTGAGCCTCAAACCATTCGACATCTCGTTGAATAAGCTCTGTAAAGACCTTGCTGCGGATGTTCGAAGCCTGCAGCTCTCCAAATGCGACAAATACCGCAAAGTATGCGCTATTGAGGAACCAGCCAGCAGCTCCTAGCCCCAACATTCCAAAGCAACTGGCCACAATCTTGCTGCGAAGACCCTCGACGGCAATCTGCCCAGCTCCGAACGACGTGAATGCATCGAAGACGTTTCCGAGAAAGATGGCTAGGGCAGGGGTCACGCAGCCAGCCAGCAAGGCAAGAATGGCTCCTATGATGAGCGTCGGTAAGTGTCTCCGAGTCGTAAAACCGAATAAGGACTTCCAGCCGAATACCAGCCCAGCTGCAGTATCATTTTGAAGGGAAGCACCATCGTGGTCTGGGTTTTTAGATTTGAGACCCATTGCTTCCCAATATCATATCAAGAATGGGTATAACAGAGAGAAGAACTTTTTGAAGATTGAGACCATGGTAGCAGAGGGAAAATGAGAAAGCGATCTGCCATCGTGGTGATCTAAAATCCGTCGTATCAGCCAGCAATTCATTGTTCAAGAAGAACAATATTAAGGATTTCCTAATGCGGAAAGATTGTCGAGGCGAAATGTGGGGAACGAGATGCAACAATCCTGGTCGATTTCATTGTTCTCCCCTGTCACGTGGGGCGCCCAGGCAGCATCCACGAACCAAAAGGTTTAGGGAAACAGGATTACTAGGATGATATTATTATTTCGTTTTAGAACTTGGGCTATGTCTAGTTCTTTTGTTCTTTCGATTCGAACGAGTCAGTCCTACCACACAGTCAGGGAAGCCATTGAAGACCCGCCAGCCAGCCCGCCACTTCGGACGAGTTTGAAAAAAAACGCTATTTTATCATGAAATGCCATTTTATTTCCGGGTATCTTGATAATTCTCATGAAGGCCTCCAATTGGGAGATCATGGCCAATCCACCTCTGAATGACAAGCGCTATATCGAAATCGTAACCACTCGTCCACCACTGCCCCCATCCTCTCAATCGGTCGAAACCCGACCCAGCGGAGCACTTCCGTCTGAATCGATACAAATAATAAGCCGTGTCCCTCGGGAGGAGGACAGTGCAGGTACACGCCGTTGGTTTAGCTGCCCGGTTGTGGAGCCGGACTTGGGTTCAAGTCAAGCACGGTCGAAAATAGGTTAACGCGCTCAGGAGCTAGCCTTCTGGGACCGCTCGTAGATCCAGTCATTCAGGCCGGCGCGGTTGCTGTATCGGTTAGTCCCAGTCTCAATATCTGGTGTTGAAGAGAGTCTTACCGAGCAATCTCAATGGCGTAGAATTGCATGCGAACACCTGGTTCCACCGTTAGCTGATGTCCCCAATTCAACAGACCCAATCTCCATCCACATAACTCACCGAAAACGGTAGTGTCCTGGTCATACTCGACATCGGCGCGAGTGCGGATGATGGTGCCAAAGTTGAAGTCCTCAATCTTTTTCTCGAACTTGTTGATCCAGTTGCGCCACTTCTCCTTGCCAGCCTTGCTCTTCATCTCTTCCTCGTTGACAGTCGCGGCAGGATCAAAGTCGGGGAAATCGGCCTTGAAGGATTCGTAGATCTCGTCGTCCATCTTGGTGAGGCGCAGCGACGAGCCCTTCACCTTCTCGAGGATAGCCCAGTATGTCATGAGGTGTTCGACAGCTGTTTCAAGTTTGTATGTCAGTGCCGGCCAACTTGAATTTGAATCAACCCAGAAAAAACTTTTCGATTGGGCAAGAGACGTTCGATTGGGTAAGAGTGATTGCGATGAGATGATGCATTTGCGACTAACCCTTAACTGCGAACTGCTTCTCCATCTGTAGAAATGGTCAATGATGAGCTGGTATCCAGACGCGGGGGAGGGGTAGATAACGTACATCCTCCAGGTTCTCAGCCTGCTCGGGGTCAAATGGTTTGGACATCTTGATGTTATGTTGGTGAATTCAACGCTTGGAAAAAACTATAGCGAGAAGAAAAATGAGTGAAGATATATGGCCAAAGAGAGGTTGGGAGCTTGTACTGTGCCCCGCGAACATTTTTTTCGGCGGGCGGAGAGGAGTACTGCCGCCCGAAACCCGTGTCCGCCCACGGTACGTCATCGGGCCGGTGGCACTGGAAGACCCAAGTGATTACTCTATACTTCTCTCGGCTTCGAGTCACTTCTCGAAAAAATAATTCAGAATGAAAAATGAAGGTAGCAGGAATTGGTCATATTTGGTGTTATGAATATTGGTGTAAGAGAGTCAAATGATTTGCACGAGGTGCGCAGCACCTTTAGTATGGGTATAGACAAATGCATGCTAGGTGAAAGCCGACTTTCAAATGGTCCCACATTACCGAGTCCCTGAAAGAAAGGTGCAATTGAGCACCTTTCCCTAAGAGCTCATCCTTATCGTACCTAGTCGCTGTCGGCATCATCCGGAAGTTCCTCGAATCTTCCCTCCCGGACGGCCTGGGCCACAGGATTCTCCATGGTGATGAGACCATTCGCCTTTGCCCTGTATTGCAAAGAAATCAGTAAACCAACCTTGCCACCGAAAATCACGGGCAAACTGACCTTTCAAACAAAACGAAGAGTCTTTCAGCTTCTCTTTCCTTCTCCTCCTCAGTCATGGGAGGACCTGTATCTTTCGGCTCGGCGGCCCAACGCTGTCCAGTGATTGGGTTGACCCCCGAGTCCAGCCCATTAGCATCGCTAGTCGCGAAAGCTTCACTGGCAGTCTGAGGGATTTCCATTCCACGAGAAGCCAAGAAGCCAGCAGCAAATCCGTATCCAATCCGCCGCGTAAGATTTTCAGCATCTTTGCCAGAAAGAACGAACATCAGTTCGGAGATACCGGTCTTCAGGTTTGGGTAGGGAGTGGTAGAGAGCTGCAACAATTTTGAAGCTAGAGTGTCCGAGCGTCCAATGGGCAAGCTGCGATCACTATCCTCGGGAAGGAGTAGCCACTGCATATATTTTCGCGGGCCTTCAGGCGCGACCTCATGAACGACAATAAGAGAATGTAAAAGTGGGACTGCTTTCTCCTCAAGCTCCTCTGGGCGGTAGAGGGATACCGCTTGGTCAAGGATATTAATCAGCTTGTCAACATTGCAATTCTGATTGAACTTCGGGAAGAGGGTATTGCTTTCAAAATGCTTCTCTTTCTTCCCTTCCAGATCCAGGACGGACAACGAGTTGATCAAATAGCTGATCAAGCCATCAAGTGGCTTGGCTGGAATTTCCATTCGGCTGATGATCTTGAGAATGTGGGGAATTGAGGGTGAGAAGGTGACAGCAAGGTCGGGATACAGCTTCGAAACGTTGAAAATGAGCTTCAAAGTATCGATAAGCGCCAATTCGTCCATCTGTGTCAATGGCGGTCTACCGGATTTGGGGAATTGTTTAGCGTGTCGAGTTAGTTGCTATTCTCATTAGTACAGGCCCTCGCATTGAGGGGGCAGAATACGCACATAATTAACATTATCCCCTAGAGAGTGCTTGCTTATCAGGAGATCAAAATCCATGTTGCTGTCGTAAGTCGACAGGAACAGGATTCGACTCGTGACCATCTCATCTTCAGAATTATCAGTCTGAATTTTGAATATCCAGTCAGCGATGATCTCAAATAGTTGTAATCGAGAATGGTATCGGCACCTTTAGTCTTTCCGCCAGTTTGCCTCCATATCCCGTATCCGCGAAGACCTGGCGCATGCTGGAATCGAGGAGGAGAGCATTGGCGACGCAGCGCAAGGCAGCGCGTCGCACATCGGCTGTCTCTCCCTCGACCCCATACCGCGCCAATAGCCCAATTCCCTATGACAAGTGTCAGAGCCCATACATGATTTGCGAAACCGGAGGTGATGAATGTTCATCGTACATCGTTGCAATAAATCGGACCGGCGTCGACGGGATTCGTGCCATGTTGGCGCAGTTGTAGAAGCGTCTGGACTTTCTCTGGATAATGAAACTCGAAGGTTAGAATCACATATCTATCGAAACTTTGCTCTTGCGACTCACGAGCTGAAGTAAGGTGCTTCTCTTGTAGGTCTTTCTTGAGTGTGCCTAGCAGCTGGGTAACCTCCTGCAGCTTGGCTGTCATGGCCAGTCAGTCTAAGCTCGTGTTTCCATTGTTGATCGCGTAAAAGACACACCTGCTCCCTGCAGCTGGTTGAAGTTCATGTTATTACGCGGTCGTCCGAGCCGTAAGTTCACCTCGGTGCTTCGAAAATTTTCAGGTCGCTGTCCAGTCGAGAATTGGTGGCGATTAAGTATTTGTCTTGCCTGGTGAGGCTAGAACTTGATCACAAAACACAGAGCAAGCTGGTGGGACGTTGAGCTCGTGAGTGAGGGCAGTGGAAGAGAAAAGTCTCGACGCGGGGAAAGCAGCGACTCCGTCATGAATCAGGGAGCAGCAGCACACCCCACCTGAGCTTCTTCTTAGGCCCGCCTGCAGGATGGACCCATCATTGCTTTTTCCCCGGGTAGTTGACCGGGGAGGTTGACTGTGGGAAGACGGATCGTTTTGTTATTTCTTGATGTTTATGTTAAAACATAGCTCTGCCAATTTGCATACATACTGCAACCTTGAAATCCTCCGGTGTTGCGGTAAGGGTGATTGGCATCCAGTTCCGATGGTCTGTGGCGCCCCGGCCGCCACACCGCTAAATTTCAAGATTGGTCTTCCAGCGTATCGTGAATGGTAACCAAGGTCTATGGATTGCGTTAAAAGAGCTAGAGAGACTATAGGCCAAGTGAGAGATACAGTAGAGTATATGATTCTCAATACAGCAGCCCCGATCGATCACCTTTGATCGGGTCATTGCAGCCGGTGACCCGCTTTCGCGTGCCTGGATGCATGGATGCCTGTTCGCCTGAGCAATCGGGCTTCACGCGGCCACTTTACGCGATTCGCGACAGGCGCGTTGCCCATTTAGTTTTCCACTGGCCCTGGCCTCAACGCTGTCCCCGGCTCAACTACCATCAGTTCAGGATTCTCTGGGAGGGCTCGTTTCTATCTGCTCAACGCCCAGCAATGGTCCTTACTCTCATTTCTGTTTCATTTTCCTCTCCTCTCTAAACCATGGTAGAGATCCTCGGCCCTCTCCCTGCTCGCCCACCAACTCCTCCTAGGCCGGGTTCCCGACTCGATCAGAACGACCCTCAATCCCCGCATCCTCTCCAGACCCCGGGAGCTTCGTCGCAGACGGCGGATGCTTCCAGGGCACCTCCTTCAAGTCACGGCTCGAAACGTGTGAACTTTTCGCCATGGCTGTATACCGTCATTGGGTCGCCCAAATCCCAATCGGCCAGCATACCCAACGAAGCGAAGCCCACGACGAACACAGCATTCGACAGTCCCCAGGGCAGTGAAGGCAGACCATTCAAGTCGATTCTCAAGGAGACAAGTTCTCCAATTCCGGTGTGGTCCCCAAACGTCAATAAATTTACCGATGAATCACTCGACATGCTGCTGGAGTCCGTGGTGCAACAATTGGCTGGAGAGTCCATCTCTTCGCGCCTCGATGCATATATCAACTTCTTTGGCGCTTTACGGACATATGATGGATTACTGGGTGGGAAAGAAATCGGGGACAAACTAGGCTTGATCACTGATTTCATTCAACGCGACGTGACTCGCGACTTGGTAAACGGGACACCTATGGATACAAGTCTTGCAAATCAAGCCTTGAAGCTATCCGCTGCTTTCATATGGCAATCGGAAATTTCAACGCAGCTGTCCGAGGAGTTTAAAGTCTTTCTGGTGGAGCACGCGATCACCTCTCTTCAAGAATCCAAGGGTGCCAAGTCCGTTCTAACGCACTATCTGTCGATTCTCTCCACGCAGAATTTCAGCCCCAAGATCATAACTACCTCCCGAACAACCCGCCTTCTTACAGCGCTGCAAGACCTTTCTAAACACGTCACCGGCAAAGCGATCTCATTCCATCGATTATCCATCTATCAGCGACTCCTCTCCCAATCCAAGTCAACATTCCTTTCAAATTCGTCATTATGGATGGAACACCTTGTCTTTGGTTTGCTTCATCCTCACAAGGATACCCGGACAAAAGCCATCTCTCTTGGGTTTCAAATATCTGTCGCCGCGGGCCCAACGCATGCGCTGTCGAACAGCATCCGGCTGCTCTTTGAGCGACCATTAGAGGGCGATCGAAAGCTGGTAACCGAAATACAAGAGCGGATGTCGCGAATGGTAGCATCCCATGACACAGGCATACATGTGCCGCAGATTTGGAGCATCGTAATACTGCTTTTGAGAAGCAAAAAGTGGAATCTCGACCAGTGGGAGCATTTCAAAGAATGGGTGCTTGTCCTTCAAAAGTGTTTCAACTGCAGCGAACCTGCTATCAAAGCGCAGGCCATTGTAGGCTGGAATCGGTTCATCTATGCTGTGAGCCCTAATGAAACCACCAGTCGATCGCTTCTCAAGATGCTAGGCAAACCAGTGTTCTCGCAATTTGATCGAAAGAAGTCCGATAAATCAGTGTTGCCGCCCTCCCAACTTGCATTGAGCAGCTATTACCACTTGCTTTATTACGCCTTCCGTCCATCGCTCCCTCATTATCATCTTGATATCATCTGGGAGGAGTACGTCGCAGCTCCGTCCGCTACTACCTTCTCCGCTTTCCCAGCCCTGAGTGATAGTGCGGCCCTTGTGTTGGCGAACTTGCTGTGGTGCCCTCAAGCGAAAGTATGGACCGAGAGTCGAATCACCGACACTACCAAGATGGAAGTTGAGGAGCTGCCATCGGTTGATTCCCGATGGGTTCGTTCGAAAATCTCATCGGTCCTGGCAGTTTTCGAGTTCCTTTTGAAATCTTCGGTCTGGAATGAAGAAGCAATTGAGAAATCGAATATCGCCCTCGCCTGGAACAGCCTGGCCAGTGCACTTTCTCTTGCCTCCAGCAAAGAAATCACCCCCTCGGGCGAGTCTATGCAGGCCGTGGCCAGCGTTCTTGGTTTGCTGCATCGTCTGTGGGCTACAGGAACCTCTTCCTTGAATGCCACTGGAGTCCATGCCGAGGACGCTTTCTTTCAAAGATTCCAGTTCTTGTCAACGACCATGATTCTTTCTCTCGGAGGTATCCCTTTCACCGAGAAGCTCATGCTGAAAATTGGTGATGGAGCGTTCCAGACCTCTAATACCCCAACACATCGTCCTTCTACTTCGGGTACCAACCTGGATAGCCCTATTTTACATCTTTTGCGCACAATCAGCAAAAGTACTGTGATCTCATCGCCAACTCGCTCATACGTCCGACTCATGGATGGATTGATCACAGCAGCTTGTAATGGAAGGATATCCCGCGGCTCCCGTCTCGAGCTTCTCAATCAGTGTGTCGAATTGAGCGTTACCGAATTGAGGTCCCCCTCTAGTTTGCCGTCACTGTTGGAAGTTGTTTGGAAAGGGACAGCAGGAGCAGCAGCAGACGCATTGCAATCATTCCCCATCGAGTCTACACGAGAGCGGGATGGATCAGTTTCACGGGACTACGAGATCATCACTAAGATCCTCGTGGCTGGCGTTTCATTCACGGGTGCATCCCAAGAGTGGTCACGACTGCTTGACGCGTACATGCGCGTGGTGAGAACAGAAAAAGGAGATCGGGTCCTTACTGGTTTGGTTGTAGAGCCCATTTCAGGAATTCTGTCTTCAATCTCAGTCCATGACACCTATCTGCCTACAAACGCACTACTTAGCCATTGCCTTTCTATCCCATTTGCGTGGGAGACCGAACTGGGAATCGACAACCTCGCTGCTCAACAAGTCTCCTCTCCAGCATTCCCGCACAAGCTCCTGGGCACTGTCGGGCGGACTTTGGATTTAGGCTACGACGGCTTCGACGCCTCCCACTCACCTCACCTTTCTGCCTTTATCGAATCGTTGACTTCCTTCCTGGGCTCTGGCACCACGTCTTTTCGCGCCCAGGCACTTGAGACTCTCCAGGCAGCACTTGCACCGTGGATCCAAGACACCGAAGGCAAGATTGATGTTACACGCGGGGTGGACAGTCGGGCTATGACTGCGGTAGGTCACCTTATATCAGTATCTCTAGTCAGTCATTAACTTGTCGAATAGTGCCGCGCGCTTTCATCTGCTATTCTCAACATTTTGCAAACCGCTGTTGTTGACGAGGTGACGTCGTTGCAAAAATTCGAGACCATTATCTGCGCTGGCTTGGAATCGCCTGATCTCTCACGGACTCAGCAATTCGTCGAATTCTGGAAGTCAACCAAGACAGCTTCGAATACTCAAAGTCCCTTCACCCGAATGGGTCAAGCATTTTCAACTGCGACAGCCAGGCTTTCTGCCCCGGTCCAGCCGCCGCAAACTGCAGTTCAGGTATGGTTCTCCCTACTCGGGCATCTACAAGTATTAATGCCCGTATTTATAGGAGACCAAGTTGGTATCAGCAAGCTCGCTTAAGCTAGCCAACCAACGAGGGAACAAGCAAATTGCCGGAGAGTCTACCGACAATGGCAGCACCAACTTCCACTCATCGCCTGTCATAGGGACGAACGACCCGGCTCTGCCGGACCCTGCAGAGCTTGGTGAACCTCAATTGCCTACCAATCTGGGGGCAATAGCACCTGAAATGCCAGCCGCATTCCAGAAGAGCCGACGCGAAATGTTCCGAATGATTGAATCCATCAGGTCCTCCTCGCCGGCGAATACTCCTGGTAAACTAGGCTTCGACACACCTATTCACCTACGCAGACTGCATGCTCAGTCTGGCATTCCCTTGACTCCCACCTTGGCGGCAGCTGAACATGAGGATGGGTTCATCGGGTCATCTCCTACACCGGCCACTAGAGATCCCACACCGGCCATGAATTTGGAGGCTCCGGGAGGAAAGTTTCAAGATATCACAATGGAGGATGCGACTGATCCGCCTTCTTCGCCTCCTGAATTCACTTCTCGGAGCCCAAGTCCCAAGAAAATGTCCAGCTCTTCTCGACGGGCCAGACGAAGGAAGCTTCTTCAATCGAGTGTTGCCGAAGAGGCCAAGAAGAAGGCATCCACGCCTCAGGTGGATGAACGGCCGCCTAGTCGGCGCACTCGATCAGCGCTGACCCAGAACACTGCAAATTATCAGAATGCTGAGGCCGTTCCTGCTTCGACTACCGCATCCAATACGCCCGCGAAGCCAACGGACAAGTTAGCAGCTCCTCAAAGCGCAAAGTCAAAATCGTCGTCTAAGAAGCGAAAGAGAAAGGGAGCGTCGAAGCCAGCAGATGAAGCAAGCCAACAGGCTGCTCAAGTACCTTCGACCCCCGTCGCTCTCGAGTACTTTGTCGACTCCTCGAGTGAGGAGTTGGAGTCACAAATCGCCTCTCAGCTCGAACAGGATCTGGTACTAGCTGCTGACATGGTTAGCAAGGGTCATTCGCAACCTGCCTCTGCTGCTGAGGCCCCGGAGCCAGCCACGAAGAAGAGAAAGCGTGAAGAAGACAACGTTCTGTCTGCTTCTCAGGATAGGCGGCGGTCAACTCGTCTCTCATCCGCAAAGGATCTGGGCGTCATCGATGTTGATGAGGTACAATCTACACAGTCTCAGGATGCGACGATCTCCCAACGTTCCCGGCTTGCCTCTGCCTCCAGCCTGTCGCCTACGGTTACTCGACGATCGACTCGCAGCTCCCAAAAGAAAGAGGACGAGCTTGTCATCGCCGACTCGCTCCCTGAAACTCAGATCCCGGAAACCATTCAAGAAGAGCCAGTCAAAGATCCAGAGCCCTCTCAGCGACCAACCAAGCGGTCGCGCAAGTCTTTGCGACTCGAGGATCAGCCAGCTCCTACCGTGGAAGAGCAGAGCTCGACTCGTGCCAAATCTTCGCGGACCTCCCGCTCTCGCAAGTCCCGTTCATCCCACAATGAAACACAGTCCCAGTCTCTGCCTTCCCAAGAACAACAAGTGGCATTGCCGACAGAAGCCACCGATTCTGAGCTCCTGCCTGCTTCAAACGATAATCAGGATGCTGTTCCAGAAAGTATTGTCGTTCAGAAGCCGGTCGAGTCCAAGTCGCATATTCCCCTTGTCTCCACAGAGGAGGCAACTGACACCCAAATGACTGACGTGGACCCCTCCACCGCATCCGTGCCTGAAGACACCAGTATACAACGAAACCTGGATGTGAACATAGTTCCAAACCAACCATTGACAAGCGTGGCTGGTCCAGTCCTGACCCTTGCCACCGCCGAAGTTCAGACGGAACCAGTGCCTCCCAGCGTTGAACCTGACATCAGCGAGGCAGGTATCGCTCAATCTTTGAAAAAACTGCTGGCCAACATGAAGTCCGCCAAACTGGGGCCAACCGCCCTGCGTGAAGTCGACGACCTTCTTTTCAATATCCGCGTCGAAGCGCATGATGCTTCTCGGCGACACAACGATTCGGCATAGCGATGGTGTTTACGAGGCAATTTTGCTTTTATTTGATTTTATGTTTGTTTTTCCTGTATTGGCTCCACTCGTGTCTCTATTCCCCCATGTGCATCTCGCATTACATAAAATACATAGCGGCCATTGCATATGTCTTTCTGTCTTTCTCTTTGTCTTCTTTCGGGGCGCCGAGTCAATTGCATATTCGATTCCTTCTTGGTCACGTTGTATTTTACTGCCTACTGTCGGCTTATGAGACTTTCAATGGAGTCGATTGGTGATTTCTTATTCTTCCTGCTTTAATTATCCGCTGTCTAGAGTAACTTTGTTAGTGCGTGGTGGCGTTTACTGAGGCCAAGCTTCCCCAGCTTGGAGCCATGGGTCTAGTTGCCACAACGCCGACAGGGGCAACACCTTCGATCGCCAGCCATCCAGAATGAACTTCGAGAAATCGTTCCAAAGCTCTCCACATTGGGTCTATATTGGTCCAAGGCGACATCATGAATAATATGATCTTGAATGACGCAGAGTGCCGCCACCACCCCAGTTCACAATCTCTATCAACAGTATCCCGGACAATAGTATATATTCTCGCCCGATTCTAACCTTAAAGTTCAAGTCTTGCAGCTGATCGCCTGTGTTCAGACGACCAACCAACAAGGTTCATACTCTGTTCCAACCTACCTAGGGCTCCACCATGGGAACCCAATACATGATGCAAGCCGGGCTGGCCTCGGGCATGTCGGCAACGGAGGGTATCTACCCTGCGCATCCGAAATCTGTCGACCCTAACCTGGGTGATCCAGCCCATATGCTCCCCGAAAACGTGGTTCCCAACTCGCGGAGCCGCATTGCCGTTCGTGGATATGGCGGCAAGGACGTGATGATCCCCTATATAAGCATTGGAACATGGGCCTGGGGTGACAAGGCGACATTCAACTACGATCCCACCGTCGATCTGCCGAAGATTCATGCTGCCTGGGAGAAGCTAAAGTCGGTTGGATTGACCTTCCTGGACACAGCGCAGTCCTTTGGCAACGGCGAGAGCGAGCGAATCTGCGGAACCCTGTTCAAGGGGATGCCTCGGGATGCGTTCGTCGTGCAGACTAAGTGGTTTTCGGGCGGTTTGTCTAATACTTTGATGCAGTCGCGCGGGCCTAAGGCTAGGCTGAAGGAGTCGCTCAAGCGACTGGGACTGGACTACGTGGATATCTACCTGGTGCATGGACCAATTCATGGTAGTTCGATTGCGACCGTCGCTGAAGGTCTCGCAGAGTGTGTGGAGGAGGGAATGACGCGCGCTGTTGGCGTGGCCAACTACAGCACGCAGGAGATGATCAAGATGGCCGATGAACTTGCGAAGAGCAACATGCCGCTGGCCGTGTCGCAGTGCGAGTATTCAGTCATTCGCCGTGTTCCGGAGGTCACCGGAATGATTCGTGAGTGCAGGAAGCGCGGTATCTGTTTCCAGGGCTTTGCCTCGCTTAGTGAGGGTCGATTGACGGGCAAGTATTCCCGATTCAACGAGCCTCAAAGCACTCGACGATTCAGTAGTTATCCAATGCACATGCTGGAGCCGACGATCAATGTGCTGAAGAGTATCGCGGAACAGCATCGTGTGTCTGTTTCTGCTGTCGCGCTGAATTATTCGATCAATAAGGGTGTTGTTCCTCTGGTGGGAGTGCGCGATGCTGAGCAGGCGGAGGAGGACATGCAGGCGCTGGGTTGGCGATTGACCACAGACGAGATCCGTCGCATCGAGGAGGTTAGTTTTGAGGGTCACACGTCTGCCCTGTTGCAGCATGGTTAAATGTATATATTAAATTAGTAGGTTTGTACCGTGCTAGAAATTAAGGTACAGAGAGAATGAGATTGGACGTTGGAGGAGTAAGTTTGTTGTCATCAGTAGTAAATATGCAAGTGGGGCGAGCTCCTCCGATCGATTCCCCGCCATGACCTCAACTGACACCCCCCAACTCGTCCCTCGGGCCTCATCCCTCCGTAAGATCTCCAAAACACATCACCTCTCCTGCTTCACAATGGAACGCTCCAACAAACCCTCTGCAATCGGCGTGAGTGCTTCACTTCCACAGCCTTCCGTCTCCGTGAAGGATGGCATTATCGAGGCCAGCTTGCCCTCCGGCGAGTCTGTCGCAGTTTACCTGTACGGCGCCACAGTCACCTCGTGGAAGGTGAACGGTCAGGAACAGCTGTTTATGAGCAAGACAGCCCATTTGGATGGCTCCAAGCCAATTCGCGGTGGAATTCCGCTCGTGTTCCCGGTATGTCATCGCTCCTTGACCCGCTACCTGCCTATACAGGGACAATCGCTAATCTGAAGCTTTGAATCTAAAGGTCTTCGGCCCCCCTCCTCAGAACCACGCCACCACACCCCTTCCCCAGCATGGCTTTGCCCGCAACTCGGCCTGGGAGTTCCTCGGAAAGTCCTCCTCCGAGGCCGGCAGGGGAGACCTCGCTGTCAAGTTGGATTTCGGCCTGTCGCATACCATGCTGAGCGAGGAATTCCGGAAGGCATGGCCGTATGAGTTTGGACTGGTGTACAGCGTCACTTTGACCAAGGATGCTCTTCGGACCTCGCTCCAGGTCACCAATGAGGGCAAGGAGAACTTTGAATTCCAGGTCTTGATGCACACCTACCTGGCCGTGGAGGTATAGTCTCTTTTCCTTTCTTGTCCTGCACATACCTTCCTTGTCCGGATCTAACAAGCACAGGACATCTCCAACGTCCGCGTCAAGAACCTCGAGTCCAAGACCTACATCGACAAGACCCGCAACGCAAGCACCCACACGGAATCCTCCCCTGCCCTGGCCATTACCGAAGAAACCGATCGCGTTTACCAGGGTCTAGACCCCGCGAAGCCGATCGTCGTTTCCTCCACCTCGGGCGATCAGACTCTCTTCTCCATCACTCGGGAAGCCCTCACCGATGTCGTTGTCTGGAATCCCTGGATTGAGAAGGCCAAGGGCATGTCTGACTTTGGCCCTGATGAGGCATACAAGAATATGATCTGTGTTGAGGCTGGCTCTGTTTCTGCATGGCAGACTCTCGAGGCTGGTGACTCGTGGGAGGGTGGCCAGAGTATCAAGTCTCGCCTGTGAGCCAGGTAAAATAATATGGGGCCCCATGGTGGGGAGCACTCCCTTGATGCATGAATTATTATGACTTAAAGGTGCTTGACGAATGAGCCTAGAAATGAAAAGAATTTCATTGAATGCAGTGGACTATGATTCATTTGTTTAGTAGATCTTGGTCAGAGCTCGCTTAAGATCCAATGAAATGGTGAATTGGTAGCAGTGGAAGTAGTAGAAGTAATAAACTCGGTCAATCAGTACCGGCTAGGCTGCTCGAATTCGTAAAATTTACACAAAATGAAAGGGAACGAAAGCTAGATACAACCTCCACCGGAAGAATCAGAACAAAATACAAGAAAGCCCCCACATCATACAACCAGTTTCATCATCAAAATGAACGCTTTTCATCACATCGTCCCACATGAATATGATCATCGAGACAAGGGCAAGGGCAAGGAGTCGGCGTTGGAGTCGCAACATCTATAAACGACCGACGGCCCTCCTTCCCAGCCTGAAATGCACTCAACCTCTCCGCAACTTCAAAGCTATACTGTGGGCCCTGGTATTCGCGCCTCCCACGAAAGATCCACCACATAGCCGTGAAAGCCATCAAGCCCACGATAATCACGCTGGTGTAGTTCATATTTTGCACTGTAACTGGTAGTACGAGTGGGAAACAGAAGAACACAACTGTGACCAGGATGTACATCAGTGCCGTGATATTGACTGCCATTCCCAGTTTCTGTCCCATGTAGAAGGGTCCTGGAACCATATTTCGTCGACCCGAGAGGACATGTGGGAAAATAGCGCCGAAGTAGGATAGCGAGCTTAGCACGATGAAGGAGGACATCAGGGCTTGGAAGGCTGTTGTGCTGCCGACGTAGATACATCCGAGACAAGTGACCATGGCACTCATGGCTACTGTTGCGCGGACAGGGCAGTTGAGGGTGGGATGGACTTGGGCGAAGTAACTTGCGAAAGGTGTTGCGTTATCGCGGGCGAGACTCCACCACATGCGTCCTCCTGTGACGAAAGTGCCGATGAGCGTGGGAAATGTGGCGAGGAAGAGAACGGCTATGAGGCCTATGGCGCCTGCGTTGGATCCCGTTGCTTGTCGGTAGATCTCGGCCGTTGGGAAGAAGCCGATGTTGCTGGCATAGACGGCGTCGAGGTCTTGGATGGAGTAGAACAGGGCGATCAGGTAGACGAATGATGTGGTAAATGCGGTGAGCATTTGAAGCATGATTCCTTGTGGTACTCTGACTTCTGGCTTTGGAACTAAGAGTATACTGTCAGCGACCTAGACTCAGCAAGGTTGAAGGCTCAAGCATATAGTTACCTTCTTCCGAGAGATGGCTGATACAATCAGGAGTCCCGACTGCAAATGCTGCATTCAATAATCCAGTCATGAAGCATACTCCATCTGACCAGCCTCCCGTCATATTGTGGTATTCCGTCCATACTTGGGCATTGCTTGCATGTTTCTTTGGCATCACGGCCAGCACTATGACGGTGATCACCAACCCGACCATGGATAACATCAGGGAAATTCGATTAAGCAATGGAATGAATCGGTTTCCAAAGCAGACAATTGCACAGCAGGTCCAGTTGACAATTTGGAAGACGATGAAGACGTGCCAGGCATGCCACTCGACAGTAGTGTATTTGAGCAGATACATAGCCACCGCTTCATTTCCCAGCATAGAGCTCATCGAGGAAGCAGATAGAAGCCATGCACAGGCATTCAGATATCCCGTGAAGAATCCGGCTCCACGACCGCGGTTTCGACTCAAGACTGAAGACCAATAGTACACGCCGCCCGCCGAAGGCATGGAAGAGGATAGTTCAGCGAGAGATGCCGAGATGGCAGTGTAGAAAATGCTGACGAGAATGAGGCCATAGATCACAGCCATCGGACCGCCATTTTGAAGTGCAGCAACGATTGTTCCACCGGTAGATGCCCAGGAGCTAAATCGGGGTCAGTCTCGTAGATCACCCTGCACAGTTGCAAACCCAATACCTACTTTGCAATCACAATCCCCAGACTTGTCAAGCTCCACAATCCGAAATTTCGCTTCAATTCCTGCTTATGGCCGAGAGCAGCTTCTAGTCGTACTTCGTCAATCTCACCCTTGGTCTTTAAGGGTGTGACTCCATCGTGAGAAGGTGTCTGGTGTACTACCGCAGCCATCTTGCTCCGTCTGCAATAACGAAGAATCGAATCGCGACCGGGCCAGTGCAGACAAAGGTGAAGGTGAAGGGGAACCACGAAGAATAAAAGTAAACGATCAATGATAAAGACCAGTCAAAAAAATCAAAGAAGGAGGTCACCCCGCGCAAGCGAACAGACCCATCTGGTTTTTCCTCCGAACAGAGACGGCCAATCCGAGATGGAATCCCCCGGAATGCTTCATGCGAGGGGAAGTGCGATGCCCATATGGCTGCCACGTGTGGTGCACAAAATTTTACGAGAAAAGGCTACGGAGGAATTCTACGAGAACAAAGATCGATCATTCGGTGACTGAAAATGACCAGTCCTGAATTCTTTCTGACAGGGAGTCCAGAGACAGTTGGTGATTAATTCTGGTCCGAGCCAAAGGCGTCGCTATTGGCAATAGGCGCAGTGACGGGTGCGCCGAACAAAGTCTGTACTTTACCTTTGCGACTGGTCTGGATTATGCGACGCGGTAGATCGAATCATTGTGAGTTTACTCTGCCTTTACAATTTAGAAGCGAAGTTCTCAAATTACCTTCCTAATGTGTCATAAGTGGGCGCAGCGTGTGGTGTTCGATGCATCGCAAACGCACGCAAGGGGGGCCCAGTTCGTGGAGTCTGTCTATTGTAACTGGCGTTAGGGCTGCTCGGGCGTCGATCGGGCGACGATCTGCTAGGACCTCCCCTCCAGGAACCTTGACCGGGGTTCCGACGAACTGGTACGACGCGATATGATTTCATAGTGAAACAAGGTATTCCCTGCGAGTTCAGAACCTAGACACGCCTAATTTGACCATTTGAGCGCCCTACGGACTCACGGAGGGATTGACTGACCTTGCTTGTGCCACACTGCCACATCCCTTCCAGCATTCTTGTTGAACTCCTGCACAACATTCCATTGGTGTGAAACAGGCCCAGCAACCGGTCCTTGGGGTGCTCCACATGGCCTCGCGTGTACTTTATGAACATTGTCTTTCGTAGGGCCTGTGGGTGCAGAAGGTTTGAATAGATCAATGCATGAGGCTCGATCGGATCTCGCCAGTAAAGAAGAATGACCTCCACCGGTGGAGAGAGAAAAAGAAACCTTATTGCGAAAGACTGCCTCGGAGACTGCCAGCTTGTCAGTCGATTTCAAAATGCTTAAAGTACGGAGTAACAATGAATGAATTGAGGACCGTCGAATAGGAAATTGGGACTACCGTACAATATTTTCATGTCATCTACAGAATCTGTCTGTGTGCCAGTTTCTTGATCGCTGATACCAAGCATCTAGAGAGTCCAAGACTTCCAAGATGTTCGAATAGGAAGGAAACTCCACCCTTACCTCGTACCTCCTATCTATGGAATGTCTAGAATGTTCCTTCGTCATTTCAATCTATGTCATGCACACTGCGCTGACACTTTGTATGTACGCCCAGACCACGAGGGCATCCAAGTCGTGGAATGATTCCAGCTTTAGAAGCTTCTCTTGCATTATCCAGACCGCTGCAATGGTATGTGTTGACTCCAATGAGACATAATGGCATCTTAAAGGGCTTCTGGGTCTTCCATTCCACCACCGCGATTCAATCTCGATTGTTCCATATAAATCCTTGATTCTGGTTAAGTAACGGTGGCCAAGGCTGACCCTGTCACCCGCATACTTCAACGTGGCAGTGGATATGTGCCCACTTGTCGCATTATTCCACATGCTTTGCTTGAACTTTGCTTGAACTAATGATAAATAGTCATCTTGCACCGCGAACTCGCTTTTACCCTTCAAGATGCGCATTTCTATACCAGGGCTCAAAGCCAGAGCATATATGCTCACACTTGTGCCCGAGTATCAGCTTTAGAGTAAAACAGCGATTCGTTGGCGAATGACCTTGGCGGTCTCATAAGACGGTGACTATACCTTGTTGACAATGTGTCTCCGATAGACGGGGGATTTGTTAATAACGTTGTGACTCCAGCGCATGGAGCAGTTATGATCGGTAGGTGCGATGTATAGTGCACTTGGAAGCCTCTTTGAAAATAATCTCGTCTGAAAGGGATGACCTTAAGAGGAGATTGATATTGAGAACAGATACCGCTGTTGTAATAACTCTCTGAGTGTGGCTAATCATAACATCCAGAAGAATTATCGACTACATGATTCCGGTCTTGCAATCCCAGGGCTATGTCCATTCACTCAAAGAAGGTTAGTCATGCTAATAGATCATTGTCTTGTATGGATTGAGGTAGGTCTGTCCTCCTTGTAAGATCCTTAACACGGTCATTCTATTGCTCGTCGAAGAAGCCTTCATTTTGTCCAGCCTCGTTCACATGCTTGGCATCGGACATAGTCCCTCTTTCGTTGTCTATTGTTCAACCTCAACTGTTGTGTACCCATTGAAGCTATCCTTGCTAGCTCATGCTTGTCTGTGGTGTAACAGTCTTCTTCCTCTCTGACCGTAGTAGTGTGTTTAAAGCTAGCTACCTCTCTAATAATTCCCTTCAATTGACAATATAGCCAGTCAGTCTTTCCTAGGCTTCTCATTTTTTGCCCTGACTTGCCGAGATCTTGACCTAGTCTCATCATTTTCCATCACGTTCATGGTGGAGGATTTTTCCATTGATGAACTTTTGGCTACGGGACATGCTTTAGCGGAGCGAAAGGGACTCATGCACCAATCCAGCCTCAATAGCGCGCTATTTGGACTGGAAGTTAGGCTGAAACCAAGAAGGTGATTCATCCGGTGGCTTCGTACACCCAGATAACCTTGAGGCTTTCTTGACGAGAGATGATGTGGCGGTGGCGGACGCATCGGGTCGTCTAGGTGGGCCAGCCCCTCTGACGCAGCGTGACTTGCTGAGCCGAGCACGCTCCATGTAGATTGCCCTCGCATACAAGGTGGCTCTGCTAATCATCAGCCCTCTGCTTGGTAACTCCTTTGGACAAGCGCCGAGGCTAATGAAATAGGGCTGAGCCGTTCATTCTATTCGCCACAGGAGGCTGAATTCCGTCACATAGATGACCTAAAATCACTCTGGAGGGCCAGATAATCCACGTGAGCGTGTTAGGGTCAAATCTTGGTCTAAGAAACTTAGAGGCCATTCCAAATACCTTCTTTCAGGATGATTACGAGGAAGAGGAGAAAGAAACAAGGCTCACGCAGGCTGTGAAGACCGTCTTCGTTGTTTTTAGTGCTGCCCATGCGTAGATGACACTCGATAGAGGCGAACTTCGTTCGAGATAACATTCAATGATATAGTGTCAGAGCTCCTCACCACAGTAAAAGCTACTCTTCGACTTTGGTTCCCACGACTGCTTAATACTCAATTGTGGTTCATGAATCTCAAAGAGAATTCACGAGCTTTCTCGCCTATTATACTCGAAGATGGCTCATTGCTAGCTCGTAAGGCAGCTGAACTTTGGGAGAGCGAGGATACCTCCTCCATGAACCATTGAGGCAGTGGTTGCCATACTGTCACAACGATATGATAGGTAAATTAAGAGGTCCTGTCCTCAAAGTGCAGAAATTTTCTGTGTTATGAGATACATAGACCAGGTGTTCGGGGATCATCATAAAGTCTATTAATTTATCCCGAAGGCGTTGCCGACTATATTAGAGTAAGCCCTGGATGATGAATTAAAAGGTGGCTGTCAAGGGCCTTGGCATTTTTAGCCAGGCTGATCCACTCGATCAATGATTCCTGCCCTGTGATCGGGTAGTTACTTTTTGAACGGTCGCTGTCTAAATTCTTTCCGAGATCTAAAACAATCAAGCATACCAAAGTACTGCGCAGTCTCCTGTCGAAACATTCTGTTCATCGAAATTGCGAACTCGAGTCTATTCGCATCTAATCATGTAGACAGCAAACTCTCGTTCCTAGTGGTGAGCTCGATCGGTCCTTCGGATATCGCGTCAAAGAGGAATTCAAAACACGTAGATCCCATCACCAAAATCACTAGTGGTCCAAACAGGAGCTATTGGAACTTGGCTCGGATCACCTTGCAGATCAACGATTCGTATGCCCCAATCAAATCCCTCACCGGAGTCACCGTAGGCTTTGCGTGCCCACTGCGGAATCTGACCTGTCACCCGATTGTCATCAAGATTGCTTTTTGCTCCAGGGTTTGCAGATCATTGAGCTATCGCCATCGTGCATACGGGAGGATTCGGCCCCGATTATAGCTGGGCGCTAGGTCAAAGCCTAAGTTGAAAGCGATCGAATACGTCAACTAGTCATGAGTTACACTAAACTCATGGTCGGACTCGCCTATGAGATCCTAGAACGGATATCGCGCATGCTTTCTCAGGTCGCACCAACTCACCGAGCCTAAAGCAACATGAATAGCAGAAGCAACTTTTCCTTGGTAACTTTCTGATCTCCGCATTTCCTGGGAGTCGCGCAAAGGCTCTAGGGTGTTCGGAGTGTTCCGGGCTACAAAGGCAGGGATGAATCGAGTTCGACGATACACCTCGAGTCCTGGCTCCCATTATGATCTGCATTCCAAAGGAAACTGCCATCGATCTGGGTCAACAAGCTCTGCCCTCCCTTGCGTCCGGACCACCACTCCTCCTTACTTGTCACCCAGGCCTTCCAGCCCAGCAGTGACATTTCACAGGCCAAGATGCATGGCACCGCAGCCTGTCTTCGTTTAGCGCCTTTGCTGACTCCCCCGGGACACGATAGCTTTTGAGTTTATTCAGGCTCACCGACTGTGATAAAATGATCGCCTTTGTTCAAGTCTGGCCCAGTCCACTTTAAGAAACAAAAGCACCGGATAGTCGATGACATACATTGACCGGCCATGGCCTCTCAAAGGATGCTCCTCGCCAGTCTCGAGTTCTGACTTCGGACTCTCTACACCTCTCCAGTCATCTATGGCAGACTTCCCCTCTTCTATCTACAGACTTCAAGTCAAGTTGACCTAGGGCGCGAGTCTCCCTCCTTCCGCCAGGATGGGAGATGTTTCACCTACTCCGCATCAGCTTCTTGTAGAAGCTATTGTGTTTTGGAGTATAGCGGTTGTGATTTATGTAGGACGGATGTACGTTGCCTGTTTACCGATCGTGTTTAAGACATGTTGTTGACGATGTCCAAGGATCTCACGAACAATTGCGGGCGGATCAATCAAACGCTTATTCTGTACGGCATTTCGACTCGATTCCAATATTGTATTACTCGATCGCTGACTGGAGCCTCGACTATCTAGGGGACGATTATGTTATGACGGCTACCTTTGTAAGCTCTGCTAAACTGGGGCTCCAAATGTGCGGCATTTGACTAATTGGCGCCCACCAAACAGATGATATACACAACTCTGCTCGTTCTCATTCAAATCTCCGCCCGTTATGCCACGAATCTCATGGACCCCAAAGATTATGGCGAGGTGTTAGGAGACCCACAGCAAGTCAGCGATCGCATTTATGGAAGCAAAATTGTCATCGGCTTAGAGCAGTGCATGTTAGTCTCAACGTGGGGCGTCAAGACTTGCATGCTGATTCTCTACTGGAGGATCACGCAAAACCTTCGCTCCAACTTTTACATCAAGATTCTCTGTGTCTATGTGGCACTCGGCTTCGTTGTCATAATGGTCACCTACTATGGAGTTTATTGTCGGCCATTCAGTCAATATTGGGCTATGCCCGTGCAAAACATGCAGTGTGCGACCTACCAGCGCTACTCAATCACGCAAGCAGTTTTCAACATCTCTTCGGATGCCATGATGTTTGCTGTTCCGATTCCACTCCTCGTAAAAGCCCAGCTCAAGCGACGCCGAAAGGTCTTGCTGCTAGGTGTCATGAGCCTGGGTCTTTTTACCATCATCGCCGCTATCCTCAACAAATACTTTAATTTTGCCTCCCCACTCACCACCACCTATCAAATCTGGTACATCCGGGAAGCGAGCACTGCGATCTATGTCGCGAACTTGATGTGTTGGTGGCCCCTTTTGCGAAAGCTATTCGGACTCAAGGCCTTCTCTTACAACAGCAACCGCGGCAATCGAGGCCGAAACCCCAATAACCAGAACAAGGATAGCAGTGGCTACGCCGAAGGATCTCGATCCCGACCATCCGTGTCCCTCCCATGCCCATTAAAATTTATCCGACCAGGTTTCCGGAATGGGGGCCAAAACTCTCACACTGGAGGACACGGGGATACTCATCGCTCCAGCCAGGAGGCTATAACACACGCCTCGAATGATTATATGGAGGAGATTCATCGAATCGACGCTGTTGCATTGGAAGACTGGAATAAAAAGGGCCATCGGGACATCGATCTTGAGGATCAAAAAGGAACCAGTCAGGATTCGATTACGGTGTTTGAAACGGACCAATCTAAAAGCTCGTCTCGACAGGATCATGTTCATACGGTGACATGAACGTTTAATTTCCGGTGTATAAGACTGCCTTTTTCACGGGCGTTCAACATGGGTTTCTATTGTCATTTTACTCCGTACATCTCTTTTCTTTGGTAAATTTTGTGGGGGCCTTTTTTGTTCGATACCCCGCTGAGGTACATTGGCTCTTTCACTCCCCCTAGCCACGCTGTTTAAATAGAGCACAAAATGTGCCCCTAATTACACATCTCAACTGGTGATTCTAAAAACTTAACTGTTTGGTTTAGTAACAACGTATACTTATCCACTAATGCTCATCGCACCACAGACTATTGCATTTTCGGATGTAGCTGATAACAGGTACATCGAGTACCTAGATATCTTCATAGTATGTACTAAGCCTTTTAAAAACTTTAGCGATTTTGAAAGACAGTTCAGAAGACATTTAGACGGATTTTTGATGGCAGGTCAATTTAAAGCATATATATTTACAATATAAATCGGGTAACGAATGCCAACCATGGTTCGAGCCATCACTTGAGGAGAAAGAGGGGTTTCATCTACCACCATATAATCTTGAGTTTGCCAGAAGGTTTTAGATTCAGCGCCGATAGTCTAGTGGTTATGATCTGCCCTTCCCACCATTTGAGACAGGGCAGGACCCGGGTTCGAACCCCGGTCGGCGCAAACGACTAGTTTTTGCTTTGTTTTTGATCCTAAGCTAGTCACTATTTCTGCCAAAATACGGAGTACACTTGCCCCACTTAATTTTCTGCCGGATATACCACCTAATCCATTCAAAATTTCAACAAATAGTATGCTATCTTTCGTATCTAATGACCTCCTCAACATGATGATGTATTGCTTTAGGTATATTATCAATGTAGCGAATACTGTAAGTGAATTTACTTGATGCAATCGCTTCCGTGAGGACGCGTGTGGCTACTGTAGGTAGGCGGTGTACAAAAGCGGTAAGGTCAAGAAGTACTGTGTTTCAAATACTTTTGAACGGCCACTGTACGTTATGTTATGGGACGTGCTAAAACGACGATACAAGGTTGCTAATCATACTACACGCACCTATTTAGGGTTTAGCAGTAACTGTATTACTATTTTCTAATAGAATATCCTTATAGTTGTTTAAAAGTCCGAGTCTAGAAACCAGAGAAACGGACACCTAGACATACTTCTATCACTCTTATCAAAAAGGTCGTTCTAAATGTCCTTTCTTGATAACTAACACTAATACCGTTTAACTGGCTAGTGCTTGATTTTAATTTGTCAGGGTTTCAAACTTATATGAAACTATGTTATAGAAGATAGTAATACTATGATAACACTAAAGCACGATAATGGGTGTATCATTGAATTAGCAATCATCTATCGTTATTTCAGGCATTCCCCTGCTAAATACACCAGTCATAGTAGTCAGAACACTCTCAGACTGATCGCTGGAAAGTCCGAGTCGACTCGGAGTTACGTGCGGTTAAGTCGGCACTCCACTCGCCGTAAACGGGCCAACCCGCCGAGTGTGGGGGGACATCGGCGATGGTGTCAGAACCCGAGAATCTTTGCCTTCGCTTTGTTTTTTTCCCTCCTCGCATCAATGCAAATATCACTTTGAAATACATACCAAAGGTGCATTAATTGCGTAGATTATATATCAACATCGACCGATAGCCACCCCATATCCTGAACCGCCGGGATACTTTAAGTCGCGTGCCGCTCGGTCTTGGCTGATGGGGTCCTCTCCGCACGAATATGCGGGCCAACCCCAACCAGAGGGAATAGACGTCATTCAACTACCGAGTCGAGACAGTCTGGACTTCCCCAACACCGACTCTTCCACTGAAAGTGATGATGATGACAGCGTTGATACTGCCATCTATGACGGAGGCCCTGCACAAAGGACACTACGCCCGGCGCCGCTTCTCATAAACCATCGCCGCTTCCCACCAGCGGATGAAGATGATAGCGATCACGACCATGATAGCGTCCTCGCCTCAGATGACGAGATCCAAGAGGAAAAACCGGTGACATGGAGCTCTTTGCCCAAAAAAGGGCAGCTAGCTATCCTGACCTTTGCCCGGTTATCGGAACCGCTCACTCAAACCTCATTACAAGCCTACATGTTCTATCAACTCAAATCATTTGACCCATCATTACCAGACTCGACTATATCGGCCCAAGCCGGAATCATGCAGGGTAGCTTTACTGCTGCCCAGTTCCTGACTGCAGTCTGGTGGGGTCGGCTGGCTGATACGGAATGGATGGGCCGGAAGAGAGTGCTGCTCATCGGTCTGCTGGGTACTTGTATCTCGTGTTTAGGGTTTGGATTCTCTCGATCTTTTACAGCGGCTATCATCTTCCGGACTGTGGGTGGAGTGCTGAATAGCAATGTCGGTGTGATGAGAACTTTGATTGCAGAGATTATTGCCGAGAAGAAGTATGTTACACACGTCTGAACTAGTGGTGAAACCCTTAAAGCTAAAACGATAACAGGTACCAATCAAGAGCTTTTTTGCTATTGCCTATGTGTTTCAACATTGGTGTGATCATCGGGCCTATCTTGGGAGGCTCACTAGCCGATCCTGTGCATAGTTTCCCAGGGTTGTTTGGTCCAGGCTCTACCTTGGGAGGTAAAGATGGAGTCTGGTGGATGCAACGCTGGCCCTATGCTTTACCAAATGTGTTGAGTGCGATATTCATTTTCATGTCGTTACTCGCAGTGTTTCTTGGCCTTGACGAAGTAAGTTCCCACCTTATCAACACAGGACCAAGGAATACGGCTCTAATTGTACTTCAGACACACGAAGTCGCTCGTTACCGTAGTGACTGGGGCCGCAAACTAGGAAAGAGGATTACGCGTGCTTTTACCAGACGACCTCGACACTACCGCCCCCTTCAGACTGACGATAATGCCTCTGTGTACCTCGATGGCAGCGTGGGGACATGGTCCGTTCCATCGAGCCCAGCCCGCTCACGCACGCATCCTCGGCCTCGCCCTTACAAACGACCTGGCTTCCGACAAATATGTACCAAAAATGTGATGCTCACTTTGTTGGCACATTTTCTCTTGGCTTTCCACACGAGTGCTTTTAACGCCATGACATTCGTGTTCCTCCCAACCCCCCGCGCCCCCGAAGGCTCTCGCGACGGCTTCTTCCATTTCGGTGGCGGGTTGGGTCTACCTTCGGCGCGCGTCGGCTTAGCTACGGCCATCATCGGTTTTATCGGTCTCCCTCTGCAAATCTTCCTTTATCCTCGCATCCAGTCTAAACTGGGAACTCTTACCTCGTTCCGTGTATTCCTTCCATTCTCGCCCATCTCCTACATGTTTATGCCGTTCCTTGTTATTCTACCTCGTCTTGTGTGGGTCGTATGGCCTGCATTTACCATCGTGGTTTCCTTACAGGTCATTTCGCGCACCTTTGCGCTCCCTGCGGCCATCATTCTCGTCAATAATTGTGTGACCGACCCTTCGGTTCTGGGTACGGTTCATGGTGTCGCACAGAGTATTGCCAGTGCTGCTCGTACCTTGGGTCCTTTCCTTGGAGGCTGGGGTCTCGGTCTCGGTCTTGCTAACAATATGGTCGGGGTTGTATGGTGGGGTTTGGCTATTGAAGCTTTCCTTGGGTGGATCGTATTATGGACTATTCATGAGGGTAAGGGGATAGAGCGACCAAAGGAAGATAATACTGATGAGGATGATTGAAAGAAGTAGCTAGGCCAGGCGCTAGCTGTTATAGAATCTACCATGATGTTGATACAAAAATCTCAGTGTGTGAGATATCTCTTCTACCATTTACAAGTATTAACTAACAGCTATTAAATAGTATAGTCCTCGTCGTTATTTAACCTTATTTGACGCAATACTCTTCATGAAAGAGAGTTCCAGAGTGATACATTTTATCGAGCGTCCGCCAGGTTTTGAAAGAAAAAAAAGGATGGGAACGGAAATGAAAGATCACCTATATGGGGATGAAAGCCCGAACTTTCTGACTGATCCGAGAGGAGGATTGAAATTTCAGAAAGATGTACCTCTCTTGCAAGAGAGGGGCTCGATTGAAAGCATCTTCGTGCTATCCACACTCGTGGCAGAAGGGCGGCAAAATATCGGCAGAGCTAGGCGCCCAGAGTTCCCGAGCGTCGGTGGGGCGCAACACAGGACATACCTGTTCTGATTGTCCAGCAAAATATAGTTGATTTCACTCCCCTTGTAATTAGTATTCCAAACTTGACCGAATTCCCATTCATTGTGAATTCGTCCCGGCCTAGGCATGTAGGGGGTAATGGGCCTGGGAAGCATTTACCTCACGTGGCGATATACTCTACAGCGATCTCCACACAAGTACGTACTACCTATGGATCTTCGCTTAGTTGTCTAGACTTTACGAGTGTTCATGAACCAAGAAAGGTTAAGAAGTAGACGAGGTTCCATCGAAGCATTGAAATACTCAATCCCCGAGATGAGGCGTTAAGAGCGGGGAATTACCGGAAATTTATGTGGACTCCGCACGCCTACCTAACAATAGTGCAGAGTAGTATGAGTATAAAAGGTCGATAACCAGCAGCACATAATGTGAGAACCCGCCCTCGCTCTAAGTTTCATTTGCACTACAAGCACGACGATTTCTTGGCTCTGACCCGAGATCTTCGTTGTTCAAGATGCGCTATGCTCTGTTAACGAGTATTGCCAGCGTCCTTTGCGTGGGACCGCTGGCATCTGCGAATCCTACATCGAAGCATGCCAAATTGGCATCCTATATATCGAAAGAGGGACAACGATCTATTGTGGGGATCACCGAAAACCTCGGTGGTAAAGGCAGCAAGACACCAGGCACGGCCGCTGGCTTGTTCATTGCTAGTCCTAATATGGCGAACCCAAATTGTAAGTTACGAATTTACGTTCATATGAGCTACTCTGATCTTGATTACTAGACTATTATACGTGGACTCGTGACTCGGCCCTTACATTCAAATGCTTGATCGACCTGTTTGAAACTTCTGATCAGGACTATATCAGTCGCAAAGAATTGGAAACCGACATTCGGAATTATGTCTCGTCACAAGCAGTGCTGCAGAATGTATCCAATCCATCTGGGACTCTGAGAGATGGTTCCGGACTTGGTGAACCCAAGTTTGAGATCGACCTGAACCCTTTCAGTGGTGCCTGGGGCCGACCTCAGCGTGATGGTCCCGCCCTGCGAGCGACCGCCATGATCACATACGCAGACTGGTTGATTTCCCACGGGCAGAAATCCGAAGCCACCAACATCATGTGGCCCATCATTGCAAATGACTTGGCATATGTGGGCCAGTACTGGAACAATACTGGTTTCGACCTCTGGGAAGAAGTTGATGGATCCTCCTTCTTTACCGTGGCTGTTCAACACCGTGCACTGGTCCAGGGAGCAAGTCTTGCGAAGAAGCTTGGCAAGTCGTGCCCTGCTTGCGTATCCCAGGCACCTCAGATTCTTTGCTTCCTTCAGAGCTTCTGGAACGGAAATTACGTCACCGCCAACATCAATCTTGACACCACTCGCTCCGGTATCGATTTGAACTCGATCTTGGGAAGCATCCACACCTTTGATCCCGAAGCTTCATGTGATGATTCGACCTTCCAACCTTGCTCGGCCAGAGCTCTTGCAAACCACAAGGTCTATGTCGATGCGTTCCGTTCAATCTATGAGATCAATTCTGGCCTCTCGAACGGGTCAGCTGCCAATGTTGGCCGTTACCCTGAAGATGTTTACCAAGGCGGTAACCCATGGTAGGTTCATATTTATTTCGGTTAACTAGGGATTATGGTTCCAGTGCACTAACATTTGTTGACCTTTCGTAGGTATCTCGCCACTCTGGCATCAGCTGAACTGCTATACGATGCTTTGTATCAATGGGACAAACTTGGCAAGCTCGATATTACCAAGACCTCGCTAGCTTTTTTCAAAGATTTTGATGCGGCCGTGAAAACAGGCACATATTCGGCCCATAGCTCAACTTACAAGACTCTCACCTCGGCCATCCGAACTTATGCGGATGATTTCATTGGTCTCGTCCAAGACTACACTCCTTCCAATGGTTCCTTGGCCGAGCAATATGATCGGAATACCGGTGTCCCACTGTCAGCCAATGATCTGACTTGGTCTTATGCTTCCTTCATCACAGCCATCCAGCGTCGTGCTTCCGTCGTGCCCGCCTCATGGGGCGAGAAATCTGCAAATGTCGTTCCCACAACCTGCTCAGCATCTCCTGTCACAGGAACTTACCAGGCTGCTACTTCAGTATTCCCGACAACCACTGGATGTGTTCCCGCAACAAGCATTGTCCCGATCACATTCTACTTGACAGAGAGCACATTCTACGGAGAAAATGTTTACATGACTGGCAACATCAGTGCACTTGGCAACTGGGACACGAGCAGTGGTTTCCCTCTCACAGCAAACCTATACACTGACTCGGACCATTTGTGGTTTGCCAGTGTTGAGCTTGTTCCAGCGGGTACACCGTTCGAGTACAAATACTACAAGGTAGAACCGAATGGTACGGTTATTTGGGAGAACGGTGATAACAGGGTATACGTTGCTCCTACCGGTTGTCCGATCCAGCCTAGCCAGACCGATGTGTGGCGTTGATTACTGTTTCGCTTATGAGAATTCTGGATGTCCATTTATAGTCATGCACGAAGAGTTGGGATAGTTATTTCGATCAGATTAATGGGTTGCGGCCATTTCACATGCAAAATTGCAGTCAGAATTCCAAATCGCATATCGATCCTTGTACAGTTCTATCTTTGGGCTATTTTTGATTTTCAAATGTGATCATTCAATGCTTTTCGAACATTCTGATCACCGTTTATCTTCGAGCGATAACATTGAGCCAACAGTTCCACGCCCATGGATCTGTCCATAGGCCGGGGACACTTACTCCAGGGTTGCGGAACCTCAACCATGATTCTATAAGAAGCCCACGCGTTGTGCGCTGCATACGTTCGAGAGCGTTTGTTTGCTTGGTGTTTTGGGTCAGATGACCTTCTTTCTGTATTTAGACCTCTAGACCTCATATATATTTTCCTTCCTATATGAACCTCTTTATGCTAATTCCTTCTCCTCTTTCTTACTTACGGAGAGTACCTTGATTCGGGCCTGGAGATGTTTGGGGTGCGAAGAGACATCTGCCTCGGGTACCTTCGAAAACCATCCCCCGCAATGCTGGAGGAACCCGGAGAAGAAGACCGGTCTCGGCCTGTTCACTACCTGCGTCACAGACGCTGAAGAGATGAAGCGGGCAGGCTTCGAATGCCAAGTCTGCTTCAGCAGCATCTCGAAAGGGCACATTGCACGAGCCCACGTTCGCCAAGACCATGATCTTGATGCCAACGGGCATTATATGTGCCATAAGGACGGGTTCAAGGTCGTGTGCCCCGGAAATTGAAACTTTGCTTGCGACCAGGCAAAGTCTACAATGCTGTCGTGGACCGATACAGCGTCGACGCCTACCTCTGATGCTGGCTGGAAGATCCCTTTCACCTCGCCGCTCTAAATTCTAGATAACTATCAGGTGTCCATTACGTTATCTTAGTATGCCCTTTTTTGCCCCTTACTTTTCCCTGTGGGATTCAAGGGTTATATTCTAAAATTATTTTTGAGCTCTTCAAGCAAACATGCTTGGTGATCATCTTCCTTCCGAGGAAGCATCAAGCCCTTAACGTATTCTAACTGTAGCCTTATACTCCCAGAGCCTTGAATTGCAGGTACACTGGAAATGATTGACGTTAATCGACAGAACTTTATATGCACCCACGGATAGCTTGAGGTCATGTATATAGTTTTATGCCCAATGAGTAATGATGTTTAAAAATATAATATCCAGATAGCATTAAGTGTAAAACCTAATCATGCGATTCATTGCATATGATAGTTCCCCTTGGCAACCTTCCTTCCAGTCATGAAATTTCAGCCAAAAGGTCTAGGAAGTGTGTCGGCCTCGGACCTCGCGTGCCGAGCCCCGACCGCGAGAAGGCTGGAAGCACCAACACAACATTCATCATGGATGATCACGCGTCATTCCATCATTTAACCCCCTTCCAACTAAGGTTACCAACTTACCATTCCATTCGCACTGTCATCAAGCATAATCTTCATCGTACCCCATCATGCAGAAGACTAGAAAGCGCCCGCGATCCAGTCCCGAAGCCGACTACACGACGCCTGCCTGCAATCAATGCCGTTCACGCAAGGTCAGTCCTCCAGGCTCTAGACGTATAAGGACATATGGATCAAATATTAATCCTGCACTATCCAGATTCGATGCGATCGAAATCAGCCAGAATGCTCCGCCTGTTGCAGAGCTGGTGTTCCCTGCGACTTTTCTGCCTCGTTCAAAAGGACTAACCCAGCGAAACAACTGTGAGATTTCCGTCAAAATGGTTGAGTTTTTGCAAGTATAAGGCCTAATAAGGTCAGATTGCATGACTTCTCGTCCGTCCTCAACCGATTAGACGACGTAGATCGGTCTTTGGCGCGCTTGTCGCAGCAAGTCGGATCCTTGACGGCAAAGTGTACGGCCGCGGGGTCGCTTCCCTTGCCCATCACCATCAATGATCAAAACAGCCTAGCGATGGAGAGGGAAGAACGGCCGGCACAGCTGGAGGTGACCTCGAACCGTGCGCTTTTGAACGAGGGGCATAGTGAGCGTTTGTATGGCTATCCTGCTGCACTGTGCCTGTTTCGCGCCTCCCAGAAGCTGCTTGGAGCAACCTTGAACGCCAACCCCTCGTCACTACGTGGTCCGCTAGTGAAAATCATGGAAAGTCCCGCTCTACGCACATCACTGCGGCGCCATTATGAAATGTTTCCATTTCGAAAGGCATGTACCGAGCAGCCCATCAGTGGTGACCAGGAGCCCATTACGTCGCCCCCTCAGTTTTTCATTTATTCAGTACTCGATCGCTACCTAAATCACATTAATCTCTACATTCCCGTATTCGGAGCCGGTACACTATATGATACCGTTGCGGATTGCTATCGGCCCGACGGTCCTCCCTCTCAAGCCGGGTGGCTAGTGTGTTTAAATTGTATCGTCCTGCTGACATTGCATCTCGACGCTTGTGTGGCCCGACGATCTGGCCTCGGCATGGATCCGTGGAGCACGCAGTCTGAGGTGATTAACAATGCCTTGAACAACTGTCGCCGTGCCTTGGCCAACTTGGACGCGCTTTTGCAGCCAGGTGTGGTCAACATTCAGGCGCTCATCATGCTGGTAAGGAATATAACCTTGTATGCCAAAAGAAATAACCCTGTTGACCGTTATAGGCTCTAGTGGCGCGAGAATTCTTTATCAGCGCCGTATTCGAGAATGTGTGTTCTGCCGCTTGTAAACTAGCACGGTCCATGGGCCTCCATCGGTGCGTTGGGATGGCGAATGACAGTGTGCTGGAAGCCCGCCAGCGACTCTTCTGGATTCTGTACGTCATGGATAAAACTCGCGTCTTCCTCAGCGGACACTCCCCCGATCTACATCTGTTTGACTCAGAGTTCCAACTCCGCCTGTCCGACTCTCAGATGTCCGTCGCGTCAGACTTCCACTGCGTCATGGCCCACATGATGACGGTCTGGGAGGAAATTTATATCGGGCTATACTCGGCTCGAGCAGTGCGCTTGGGGGCAGAATATCGACACAGCCAGGTGGATCGGCTGGACCGTATGTGTGACGAGTGCCAACCTCTAATCCCGTTGCAGGAGTCCAGCGACCCCGGACTGCGCCTGATGCAGCTGGAGGTCAGATACTGCTTCCATGTCAGCAAAATTCTGATCCATCGCTGCCATAGAATGACCGGTGGATGGCAGAGGTGCCATGAACATGCCGTGTCCGCTCTCCAGATCATCACTGATGTCTTTGAACAGCCCGCGACACCAGGTAGCTGTGTCATCCTGGGCCGGTAGGTGCTTTCATATTCCCCACGTCCATTTCTGTTCGAAACTGACGGATCACCCGTAGGATATTTCAGAACTACCCACTCGTTGCCTTCCACGACCTTTGTTTGCGATACCTCACAGAGGGCTTAGTTGATGTCGCGGCCATGCTTCCGAGGCTGATCAACGTTCGCCGGCAATTGAGCTCCTTAGAGCATAAGGGTTTGCCGAGTGCATACTTTACGAAGCTAAATTTAGGCGTCACTTGGTGTACCGACTTGATGAGCGTGGTGAACAACTCAAGTAAGGCCTTGGAGCCAACAACATGCCTCCTGACCCCTTCGACCAGTACTGATATGGGCGATCTTCTGCCATCAATGTCGCTCAGAGATGAGAATGCAAATTACTGGGCAGATACTAGCGACACGTTGATTCAAGACCAATCAGATATATTGGGAACATTCGGTTCGCCCGATTACTTCTTTGACCCTACATTTTTTGAAGCTCTTCTCCCAGAAGAGCATTTCACGACTTGAATGGCGTGGTTTTTCATACGTTTTATTAGAAGCATGAGGGAGTTCCGATTGGAAACCTGATCTTGTGACCTATACAACACGCAAGCAACGACAGGCTAGCACGCGTGGTGGTACAATGAATGATCTCTTGTACAGAATGCCAGTCAACCAACCACCTGATTACCCATCGTGAATCAAGCATCAGAACGTAGTCATTACCCAGATCGCGCTCGCAACACAGGACATATCCATTTGTCTGGGCTTGCAATACTCCCCCTCCAATAGCGCTTAGCGCACATTCCTCTGGGGGTACCTTTCAGGTTTTGTTGGCCGCCATCCGCGACCACATTCGGATCCTCTGCCCAAACAGATAAAGTATGACTGGAACTGGGGCCATGGCGACGGCCAGAAATGCCAGCAAACTCGTCGCCCAGGAGAATCCCAGCCGGTGATACATAGCATTGGCGAACAGTGGAAACCCCGCCCCAAAGCAACTCCGGACGACAGTGTTTGCGGATATGGCGCTGTTCGCATAGATCAAGTACACGTCCACGACGTATTTCAAACCCGAGATAAAGATGGCAAACATTGATGCTGACACCAACACCGGTGCCACGACCTCCGCACTCCATTGAATATTAGGATTGCCGGTCCATGCGAACCAGAATAGTCCAATGGGGAGTCCGACTGCGCCCACCATCATCGGCGGCAGACGAAGCTCTGGCACCACTTTTCCAGGATTTAACTTGACCTGGCTGACGAAAATTGTCAAGGACCAAGTCACCATGCCGGTCAGGCCGAGGAGGATGCCGACAAAAAGACTCAGGAAAGAGAGGGACCCGATTTGGGGTTTCCACCCACGCTGCTCCACGAATGAGACGGGGAATCCCTCGAAGAAGAGGAATAGCAGCCCATAGAGGAAGCTCATATACAGAGTGACGAGCATCATAATGGGCTCCGTCGCCAAGAGAGCTGCATGGAGATTAGCGGGCTGTTTGAGCCAGATAGGCCTGGGGGCAACGTACTCCACGGGCGCACCAAATAGACCTGTGCAAAAGTTTTTAAGGTTGTCTCGCCTTCCTCTTCCATCTTACTATGAAGTGCCCAATTCTTGGTCTGGATTCGTAGTCGTGCCGCTTTGGCCGTGAGCAGCGTGGGTGCGTAAGTCTCTGGCAGGACCACACACGCAACGATTGAGAAGCTATATGCGGCGATCATAGTAATCCACATGGTCCATCGCCACCCCAAATGGCTCTGTGTGATAAAGTTGCCGACTAAAGGTCCAATCACAGGACCTACAAAGGCCGTAGCCACAAAGCAGTCCAGCGAGATACCCCGACTGACTGCGGTATTCCACATATCCGTCAAGGCTCCCCCTGTCACTGCCATCGACGACGCCCCAAAGGCGCCGCTGAAGAAGCGTGATATTAGAATGGTATAGAAGTTCTCTGCTACCGCGACCGGAATGCAGAAGGTCGCGAAGAGTATGACACCACTGAGAATGGGCCATCGTCTCCCATACTTTTCAGATAATGGGCCGAAAATGAGTGGGCCGGTGACAAAACCCTGTGCATGAAAAAGGCCGAATGTTAGCTCGCAATTCGATATTGAGATTTTGAGGTACATTAATCAAAAGAGGACTTGCCATCAGAAACATGGTAGTGGTCGTCAAAATGGCCACCTCGGAGCCAATGTGAAATTCCCTCTCCAGCAACGCAAGGGAGCCACCCATAATACTGGACCCAATGTTGACAATCAAGGGTAGAATAACGAGTACCAGACTGACTACCAGTTTGAATTTGGTTGACCAGTTATGGGGGTTCTCTTGATCATCCGGCCCATCCCAATCTACCACCCAGGTCGGCTGTGATCGATCAAGGCCCGGTTCGTTGTCCGGCATTGCGTCGACTGTCTCTGTAGAATTTTCCAACATGCTAGAGTGAAACATGAACTTCTTTCATTCTATTTTCAAAAATCGAAAAGACAGGGTTTCATGGTATATTCCTGCCTATATGTGCGCGACCTGCGGAGCTCGGCAGCCGCACCCCGAAGAGAAACCGGCGATCAGAGATGAGCCCATCCAAATCCCCTCAACCCTCCACTACTAGGAGATTTTTTCCAAAGTATGTTTTTTGACCAATTTTTCCTGATCATTCATAGACGGTCGTTCGATTCATGACTAGCAAACCGACTCTATATAAGACAATCATCAAATAGTAGAATTTTGCTGTTTTTACAACTCTCCAATTTACCCCTGGTCGTAAAACTCATGAATTCATGGTTCAGCTCTGGTTTGACTAACTCGCCGGCCGTGGTTCTCCTTCCGCTTTGCCTGTAGCGACTGAGCAAACTTGCTTCGTTCGCGAATCTGAGGTCCCTTCCAATAGAAAACATAAATAGGAGCCACGACGAGACAAGAAAGACACGCTAGGACAGTACTAGCATATTCGACATGCCACTTATCTCCGATGTTGTTGTACATCGGTGTCGCATACATCGCGGATATTCCAGCCAGAAGATCTCGAGCGAAGGCGTTTCCACCACATGCCGAGGCGGAGTATACACCATAAGAGGCGATCATGTAATCGACCGAGGAAAGGTAGATTGCGTAGTTAGCAATTCCGACCATGGTGGAAAATATCATCGACCCGATCCAGTGTACTCCATATTCTTGCCCGAGGGATGTCCAGGCAAATCCAAACAAACCGATCGGCTCGAACGGGGCAAGGAATAGGAGCCACTTTAAGCGACGCTCTGGCGGGAGAGCATCATCACCCTTGGCTTCGCGAATAGCCCCATCTCGCATGAACCAAGGAAAGTACGAGAAGTAGGTGAGGACGTAGGCAAGATTGATCGGAATGACTGCCCAAGCCTGTGCAAGAATACCGAATCCCCAACCCTGCTCGTAGACAATTGAGAAACTTTCGAGGAAAGTGAAGATCAGGGCGTCGGAAAATCCAGATAGTAGAGACAGGCAAAGAACGATAGGCTCTCGCAAAAGCATATGGAAGGGGCGAATCCAAATCATGCCCGCCTCTTTGAGCGACACACGAGGGTTCTTTAGTTCATTAGGTCCGTACACATTCGGATCTTCCCCCGTTTCGCGACGTCGTTTGGCTTCTCTGTCAATGAGAATTGTTGAGCGACTCTCGGGCATGAAGAAAATGATGGCTTGTGTGACGGCTCCAAAGATCAGTTGAATCCAGAAGAACCATTGCCATCCCAAGTCTAATGATTTAAAAGTTGATTAGCATTGTTCGTGTGATTTGTCAGACTCTCATCTTACATCTCTCAATCGGTCCACCAATGACTCCACCAATACTGGTACCAATACAGGAGGATAGCACAATAAAGGCCAACGGGAACTGTTGCGTTTCACGCTCGTAAATATCGGCGATTAGACCGAGAGTAACACTGCCTCCAGCAGTCGAGATTCCACCCTAACATGTATTAGCATCATAAAACCAGTAATAAATGGATGAACTTACCAAGCCACGCGCAACAACGATGGTACCCCAGTTGGGCGCCAATGCTGCCGGTATTTGCCAGATGTTGATGAGGAACATAGAGAGCTGGAGAATCGGCCAACGACCAAACTCCTCACTCCAGGGTGCCCAAAGCTCGCATCCAATTGAGTAAGTAACAAGATAGATCATTTGACCCGTCCGAGCTTCTTGTTCACCAATACCGAAAGCCGCTGACAGAGGCTTGACTGCATTGGGATAGACCGAGGTGTTGAAGTTCATGGACACTTGAACAAAAGCAACGGCGACGAGGTACGACCATTTTTTCCACCTGGGCCAGGAGTAACCTAGTTTATCATAACAATCATCCTCTTTCAGCTCACGTTTTTCTGTCGAGGGAATGACATCCTTCTCAGCGCTTGTACTTAGCACTCCGGTGCTGGGTTGACTCTCTGCGCCACTATCAGAAGGCGATCTGCTTGGACCATGCTCCGTTTGTGGGGCTAATTCAGTCATGGCTGGACACTGGCGATGATAAGATTGAATTAGATTAATATTGAAGCAGGCCTGTCCCATTGTATTTATTAGTTATCCCAACACACCCAATCCAATCACCTTCATAATAGACAGCGCACCTAAAATAATCGTCATTGCTCACAAACCGGATTTCTATAAGATGTACCCACCTCCAAAGTGGGTGCATAAATAGCGCGTTCAAGTGGATGCTACTTTTTCAGTCGTTATGTACAGTACTTGAGCATCAATGTGTGAGCGCCTATGTTTTAGGAGCTTTGCTCATGACTGGGCAGCACAACAAATGGTAGAAAAACGGTGCTTAACTAGTACAAATTAAGTACACAGCATTTGTAAGTCAAATAGCGACCGAGAGGACTATCTAGGAAGAAGTACAATAAGAGGCTGAGAATTTTCTTGGCATTATGTGATCCTCTGATTGTCACCGAGGCCCCTTCCGACCCTTTCTTGGCGAATCCACTATAAAGTGGATTGCCCGAGTATCAGCCCTGACTTGACGTCAATTCAACCAAACAATATTGAAGAACCTCGGGATTCGGTATATACACTATGTGAAAGGGAACTACTACAGTATTCTCGGAATAATTGTGCATTGGAATGAATGCTCACCCACTCGACCAACTGATCACAATCCAGCAGAAAGTTCTTAACGCATGAGTTTGTGAGGACAGACATATAGAACTTATGCAAAGCTTTTGTTTCATTGTAATTCATCATGATTCATGTAGCCATCGTTCAGTCGTAAATTTCCACTACAGTTCTCTTGTGAAGGTATTGTCTTCTCCACAGGAGGGGTCCGGCCGCAAGTGGCCAATAGACCTTGAGTATGAAAGCCTTTCAATCAAAGGTATTTTTGTCGATCACTCGAACTCGCTAAGATCTCGTGCGTCATTGGACAGTGTAATCAAGTCCGAATTGAGGGGGCAATGAAGGCCCTCATGGCGCGTGTCACATCCCCCTCGTGAGCTCTGAGAAGATCCGTCGCCTTATTCTTATGCAAATCCAGCTGCTCGGCCTAGTTCAGAAGAGGAAAATTAGAAGAAAATTCAGACAGAAGTAAAATATTGAGATCACGGATCAAATCCTCGTACCAGAAGTGTAACATCTGCCGCATTGATCTTAACCACCTTCTTCTTCACCTCCGCATCTTTCTTCTGGGTCTCGGTCGCCGTCTTTTTCCCAGAGTCGTGACCGGCCACAACTTCTAAGCGACTCATAGCCTTGCTCAAAGCTTCCTGGTCTGCCCTTGATGGGCCCTTAGATGGAGCTGCATCACCAGCTAATCCATCTGTATTCAGCGAGTTGAGAGCAACAGCGGCCTTGCGGTCTTCAGCGTTCGCCGGGAGCTGTTGATCCGCAGCATCTGGATCCGCAGTGGCAGAGGGAATAGATTCCGACATGATGGTGAATTTCTTAGTTCGGTCAACGGTCAAAGATGAGTAGCTCCACCGTGTCTCAGCGGTGTCGAGGTGGTTAGAAGAACAACAACGTCACCGATAAGCGCGAGCCCCACGATAACGGCTTATGTCATTTATTGACACCTGCAAAATGAGGCAACAAAATGAGTCACCCGAGATTGCCGCGAATAAGCGGCGGCAGAGCTGATTTCTGTTTGTCTAGCTTTTTCTTGGTGACTGTGCATCCTTCTGTTCTTGGTTGACTGCAAATCAAGAGACGCAATACTCGATCTCTACCCAATTGTGACATATAGCCTGTTCAATTGAATAGAGCTCTTATCCGAGATCCCTCTGCCAGCGCCATCTGCCCCTAATCGTCCCACCTTCCCGCACGCGGGGCAAAATCCACTAGTCATGGCCGGCAACTGGAGTCCAAGCTGTAAGCGTCACCGTCTCACGAAATATCCTCGTTTCGAGGCGATTCCCACAAATGCTCATATGTGAATTCTAGCGTGGACCACCAAGCCTATCAAGCAGGATGTGATCTACGAGGATGTCCAAGGCATTAATGACGCTCTTGGCAAGCTACAAAATCTGCCTCCATTGGTGACAGTACAAGAGGTAAATCTATCCAAAAGAAAATGTGCCGTGCTACTCAGCCTCTAACCCAATCTCAGATCAACAATCTTAAAAATAGCTTGAAGAACGTGGCTCTGGGCAAAGCTTTTGTCCTACAAGGAGGTACGCGCTGTGTTACTCATTCCACTTTCATTCTCATGACTAACTTCTGCCAATAGGTGACTGTGCTGAGCTTTTTGATTACTGCAATCAGGACATGATTGAGGCTAAGCTCAAGCTCTTGCTACAGATGAGTTTGATCCTAATTTGGGGTATGTAAACCGAACATTCCCCCTGAAAGAGTGCACCAATTGACGATCATATATTAGGTGCCAACAAGCCTGTCATTCGTATTGCACGTATTGCAGGACAGTTTGCCAAGTAAGTTTCGCATTTCCTCTTCAATGCTCACTTTAGTCTGGGCAAACCTAATGTCCAATGTCTAGGCCTCGATCCAGTCCAACTGAAACCGTCAATGGAGTTGAAATGCCCTCCTTCCGAGGAGATAACATTAATGGCTTCGCTGCCACTCCCGATTCTCGAAAGCCAGATCCATCACGTCTGGTATCGGCTTACTTCCACTCGGCCGCAACACTAAACTACATGCGAGCATCACTCTCCTCGGGTCTCGCAGATTTGCACTCCCCCATGGACTGGGGCCTCGGCCATGTCATCGAGCCCTCTATCAAGGACCAGTACTCGAGGATCGTCAACTCTGTCCAAGATGCCTTGCGATTTATGCGCACGGTAGGAATCGACAAAGACCGCGGCGTTGAGACCGCTGATATCTACACTAGTCATGAGGGCCTTTCACTAGAGTACGAGTCGACTCTGACTCAAAGGCTGAAGCAACCACTCCCATCTGCTTCGGCTGCACCCACTTGGTACGCTACCTCCGCACATTTCCTCTGGATTGGTGATCGGACGCGGCAACTTGATGGTGCGCACGTCGAGTTCTTCCGGGGCATTTCCAACCCGATTGGCATTAAGATCGGACCTACGATGGTCGCCGAAGATCTCGTGCGCTTATTGGATGTCGTGAACCCCACCAAGGAAATTGGCAAAGTCACTTTGATCTCGCGCTATGGTGCATCAAAGATCGCCCAGTACCTCCCCGGTCACATTGCTGCCGTGCAGGCCTCGGGTCATATCCCCGTGTGGCAGTGTGACCCGATGCACGGCAATGGACGAGCCACCCCTTCAGGAGTGAAGACACGCCACTTCACCGACATTCTTTCAGAGCTGAAGCAGGCTCTGGAGATTCATCGGCAGGCCGGATCTTTCCTGGGTGGTATGCACCTCGAGCTGACTGGGGAGGCTGTGACAGAGTGTGTCGGCGGTGCAGCTGGTCTGACAGAGGATGGGCTTGGGGAGCGGTACACCACTTTCTGTGACCCCCGCTTGAATGAGAAGCAGGCTCTTGAGCTTGCCTTCCTAGTGGCCGGATTTTACCGCGAGGAGTCAGAAGCATGAGGCAAAAGTTACGTACAAACGTTTATTTTCGGCTATTTATGGAACTCAACACTGCTTGGGGCTAAAAGAAGCCAGACATGTGCTCAAGACATTTACATCCAAGCTTGATGACAAGAAGAAAGATTTTTGGTTGAATAAAAAACTTGAATTCCAATCCATGCAGAAAGTAGACAACAGTTCCTGGTCAACACCATACCAACATAAAAACTCCAAGAAAGTCTCCCATATTTACAGTAGACGGAAGATGATGTATGAAACGAAAGGTATCACAAAATGTTATAGTCACAGTCACTTTCCAAGCGGACTTTCAGCAGAAGGCTTGTAGAAGTGACTCTTACGCCGAGCAGCTTCCATACGAGCGCGCTGTTGACGCCTTGACTCGACTTCGTCGTCTTGTTCAAGACTAAAGATAGGTCTGTCTGTCCCTTCGAACAGACCACGGTTGCTCTGCTTGGGTGGGCAGGACTTCTGTACCAACTTGGCACGATTGGAGAGGAAGTAGGGGGTGGCAGGGGACATGCCGATTGCGTCGAGGTTGTCAAAGTTGTAGCCCGGAGTGGCGGGAATGTGATAACGCTCAGATTTCTGAACGGGGGTCGTTGGGATCCCGGCGAGAGGAGTTGGGGGAGTGATTTTTCGGAATCCCTCCACCGCACCTCGGTCTGCACCACAGCGGCGTCCACTGGCAGATGGGGTAGATGGTTCAGGGACGCGGACCAAAGTGCCATTGACGTTACTCAAGGCACGAGGCTCCATGCTCTTGCGGCGCTTCGCGCCACCGCGGGGAATGATAGAGCTGTCGACCATATATGGGGTCTCGTCAAGCCACTTATTTTCTCTCTCGCAACTAGAAGCATATGTTAGTCTTGTGCAACCGATTTGGATATGTGACAATAACTTACTCAAGAACCCAACCAACTCCGACACATTTCACCAAGCCGCCAGCGTGCTTGACCTTTTCCAGAGTGCGAAGACCACCATCCTTGTACACGACGTGAGTGATCCCCACTTTGGATTCTTTGGGATCGACACCATCGACAGGGGACATGCTAGAACGAGGATTCCATGACCACGACCTGAAACAACGAGCACCCATTTGCTGCAAAAGCTCAACAAAAATTCCTGATGCATCTTCGCCTTCGGTCGTATGAACATCCACGTACACAACAGCACCACGGAGTGCTTGCTGGCTGGTCATACTCTTCCTGCGAGGAGTCTTGCCGGCGCTGGAAGCCACAGATGGAGACTGGGGCACTCGAACGTCAGGCTGCGCCCCAATAGAACCCCTAGGGGTGCTGCAGCGACGCTTAGGGCTGGGGCTTCGCGAAGCTCGCGGTGCCTTGTGTGGGGAAAATGTTGGTACAATCTCACTGCCATGGAATCTGACGGGCTTGCGCATGCGAGGCGACGCGCGGGTAGGAGACCTGCTCTCGAGCGAATGGCCTCGTTTACGGGGCAGCTTCAGAGGAGAAACCTCACCCTCACCCTTCAAGGGCACCTTGGACACAGTGTGAACCGTTCGAAGGTGATCGATCCCTCTTCTAATCGGAGTGGTAGGTACGATGACTGGGGAATGACAATTCTCTTTATCATCATCATCAGACAGAGGACCTTCGTCCTGCGCTTCAGTCGATTCGGGGGCCCTCCTACCCTCAGCAGGCTGCAGTTGCTCGGGCACCATCACCTCAAAATCGGAAAACTCGGGGTCTTCAAAGATGTCAAGTCGGATTGGCGAGTACATCTCAGAAGGCTCCTGTTGAGGAACGGCAGATTTGGGGGTGTGAGGGGACTGAGGGGGCGTGGAAACAACATCGTTCTTAGCCTGAAGAGGTAATTCTGCAGACAAACTTGGCGTATCTGCAAGTGGCGTGCGCGAAAGATCAGGATAGGACACATCGTCCTGTACCGGTGTAGCATGTTCCCCAGGCTTCTCTAAAGGTCCCACAAGCGAGAAAACGCCACGGCGACGTGTTCGGTTTGGCTTAGCTTGAGAGGGAGTATTGGTTTCCCAGCTATCAAACTTGCGCGCCAAAGGCGTAAACCCACTGTCAACGTTGACAAGCGACTGTCGCTTGCCAGCAAAGTTGGGAGTATCGCAGATGGCATGGCCGGTAGGGGAAGGAATCTCGGTCTGGGTGGTATCCAAAAAGCTATTCTCGACCGGCATGCGCGCGTCAGTATTGATGTCGAAAATCCAGTCTTTCGATTTGGCGCTATCCTGCTCATTGGGGGACACGATGCTCATTTCACGAGTAGGAGGAGTAAGAGCCACAGGAGGGATCGATTGTGTCGACTGCAGCGGACTTTCAATAGCTTCAGCCTCGCGAACACGCTGGGGAGTGCCCAGCAGAGACAAGACTTGGACAGTGTATTCATCTTGCGTAAGTGCGGGTTCATTATACTCCGAATGATCAGATTCAGTTCCAGCCTCTTCCGCTTCGTTCGCTTCAAGGTCTTCCCGTGCATGGCGGGCGAGATCAATATATTCTTCAAGAATTTGGGGCACAGGCGTGGGGGACTGCGCGTCTTCGCGATCAGCCAGCCCAAGGGTCGGGTCTGAGGGCGAAGAAAGTTGCTGCTCTGGTTCGCCATCTGGTGTGTCCATTTGCGCCACCTCTTCGGAATGAACTTCTGGGACAGCACTTGATTCTGGGATGTCTTCTTCCTCTACATCCGTCTCCATAGTATCATCAAGATCATTTAAAATGAGATTGTGTTCCACATTTTGCACCTCGGGGAGATTTTGGAACGGCTTCTGGAGTTCTTCCATAGTATTGAAGCAGATTGTCCCAAAGTCCTCTGGCTCACGGCGGATCTCTTCTTGTAGCTCTTGAAGCTTTTCATCGATATCAATATCCTCGGCACAACTCTCGACGGTTTCAGGCTCATCAAAGGTATCATCGGCCGGTTCGAGCTCAAGGGGTTCTTCAGCTGCAGAGCATTCCTGCGGTGAGAATGATACAGACGAGCTTCTGCCGTAACATTGTAGTTCAATACCAAAGATATCCCGAGCCACCTCCTCGACCATCTCAATGTCTTGATCCACGGTGAGGTCTTCGTGCCCAAAGCCCTCAGTGGGTAGCAAGTTCTGCTTTGATTCGGAGACGGGGAGGTCGATTGTAGGGTCATCATCCAAAGTAGGGACTGCGTTGACCGAGCTCTTTGATGGGAAGAGAGAGCCCTTAAAAGGAGAGGGAATTCTCTTTGGCGGGCTTTGGATAAGAGATGTCTTGGCAGAGAACGGAGTGGACGCCTTGCTTGGAGACAGAGAGAACGACGCACCCAGGTTGGCTTTCTTTGGCGACATCTTCAGCGGCGACGCTGGACCTTGGCCGAGATCCGGCTCAGCAACAGATTTGGCGTCTTCCCGGAAGAGCAGGCCACGATTCGGTGTATCCCGAAGAGAGAAGTGGAATGGGGAAGCTTCCGGTCGTCTGGCAGGGCTGGACATAAACACCGATTCGCTGAAATCAACTGACTTGCCAGGAGGCAAAGCCAGATGGCCATTATCAGCCACGGCATTGACGCTGCGATTAGGTGTGAAGTTGATTTTCCTGACAGGCGAGCTCAACCCGGTGGTCGATGACCCGTTCTTTGGCGTGGCAGGTTTAAGTTCACCATTCTCATCGACTAGACTGGATGCCTTCTTGGGGGTTAAATTGATCCTGCGCACAGGCGAGCTCAATCCTGTGGCTTCTGTGCCCTCTTTGACTGGCGGATGAATAACCAACTTGACTGGACTCGTGATGTCATATTTCGCTGAACTCAATTCATCCTCTTCGCCATCAGAGCTAGCGTATGCGGAGAGCGACTTGGCGACCTGCTTGTCCTTCTTAGGAGACAGAGGTTTGGCTGCGCCCTTCTTCACTGCGGCGGACTTTCGTCCACGCACAGCTGCTCCCGTGGTCTTGCGCATTGGTGTCGCCCCCAGACCAGCTTTGTTAGTAGCCGCTGCCTCGACCTTCTTGTTTCCAGCTGCAGCTGCAGCTGCAGCTGAAGGACCTTTCAACTCATCGGATTCCGAGTCAGATGGCTCTTGGAAGGTGACGGTTTTCTTTTTGGCGCGGCCACGTAGAATATTCGATCGCATAGTCGTCGAGTTTGTCGCAATGCGAATGTGCCTAGTGAGGGCATTTTCGGCTACGGCCTCCGACTCGGGTACAGTTCGAGTATTCTTGCGAGTAGTTGAAGTGGTCTTGGTCGTTGTTGATCCCTTTGGTCGCCCCCGGGGCTTTGGTGTTGTCTCGGTTTTGGCCGCGGTGGTTGTCTCTGGCACAGCGTTCTTCCTCGGTCTACCCGCCCGTTTCTTTACTGGCTCTTTTTTTGAAGCCTCGTTATCATCTCCATCGCTTTCGGCGGGGGATTCAGGCAGAACTGCCACCGGCGTGACGTTCCTGCCCCGAGTAGTGGTTGTTGATGCTGAGGATGCCGCCGCTGTTGAGGCCTTGGTTGCCGAGCGAGCTGATGGTCGCCCTCGGGGTCGTGCTGGCTTTTGATCTTGTTCCTTCATCATCATACCAAGCTCATCCTCGGTATCATCTGAATCAATGTCGACATTCGCTAGCGTGTTTTTCCTGGCCGTTGTCGTCTTAGTCACACCTTTCCTCTTCGGTTCGGTCACAACTTTGGCCTGAGAGCTGGCAGTGGTCTTGGTTAAAGTTGATCGAGGTGCCGTGCGCGTCCCTCGCTTAGCAGGGGATGGAGGGAGGACGGCCGCTCGTGCCATTGCGGCGAGGGGAAGGCTTGTGTTGTTGTCGTAGTTGTTGTTGCGCGTTGTGTTATTGATGTTGCCGGTAAGTCTTATCGTCGCTGGCAGGACAATGCACTCATGGCGGATATGAGCGCGTCAGATGAGGGTCTCGGTTGCGGCAGTCGTTCAATGTCGTGGGGATTGCATTAGATTGCAGGTCAAAATGGTCATGCGGGTGGAGCGTTATGTTTGGGCGAACTTGAGCGGGCCCGCGCGGTTTCCATGGTAACGGTCACGTGATGTGTTTGATCATCACCGGGTTCAGGCCATAACAACGGGGATCAAGCGGAACCCAAAAGCCAAATCGCAGGTTCATACAGTGGGGTTTCATGAGTTTAAAACTATGGCCAAACTTCAGAATCATCTTATCAGTCACAAGTCGAATGATTGACTCAACAATGATGCCTAAGATATTGAGAATGACGATTGAAATGACCTTTAGAAAGACCTCTCAAAAACCAACAAGTGGAAGCATATCTATTAGGGGGTCTCTCTGGTCTCTAGACTCAGACTTTTGACCTACCACTGTAACCTTGACAGTTAGAATATAGGTAATCATCGGTTTCTTGAATATTAGTTATTGATTTTTAATGTTGTTACTTCCACTCAGTGTGGAGTTTTACTCAATGAACTCCTCAAATTTATCGTGTCTGTCATGAAGTAGCTATATATCGAGGACAACCTTTGGCGGGACCTCCCTTTGATACCCAGTCACCTCCATACCACCTACGACCTTCGAGCATGAGAGAGATTGGTAACACTAGATGAGCCCTTGTGATTTAAATTGGCGTGAGAACGAGTTTTGATGATATTTTCCGGAGGATGCTAATCCTAGGACTTCTGCAAAATTTGTGAGGCAAACTTACTAACCGCTCACGAGTCTTAGTACACGAAGGAGGGCCGCGTTGGCCTTCCTGCAGTTACATCTAACTGTGCACCCCTCAACTAAATGAAACAAGGCAGATTAGGTAGCTCCTATGGATGGAGATAATAATTTAGCGGCTTCACCGCTCTAAAATATTGGATTGCATGGCACAGGCCACACCGGCGATAGTGGCGTGTTCAGATCAGGTTATCCGGGAAATGTGGTGGTGCATCGAAGAGCAGAAAAGCAGGAAAGAAACACGGTGCCTTGTTGAAGACTAGGGGGCACACGCAGAGTGCAACACACAGGGAGATTTGGTCGAGAACTAGAGGTAATCGAGTTACACAAAGTACAGTTTTATTAATCCTCATACCACATACAGCGCTCTCAAGATCCCAGTTTAAGCACACGCATGGGCCTGGGTAATCGGCAGTTTTTCGAAACGATCGACACTCGGTAAGTGTCACGCAGACCATCCAGAGTTCATTCTGCCATGCCAGGCCTCAGCAGAGACCGCCTATTTAGTACCCAACCGATCTTGAGGGTATGGCTAAGTGCCTAATAAGCATAGAGTGGAGCGGGTTAGGCACAGTCTGGACGAGACTTAGCAGGATAGGGACATAGCAACTCGAAAAGAGGGGACTAGGCAATGCATAGGGACTTAGAGGTCTCTAACTCATACGACACGTTATAACGTAATTCACGGTCACCCTGGCCACCCTAAAAAAATCATACATAGATATCGGATATGCATTCCTCTATATCTCAACCACCAGGAATTCAATTCGGTCAAACTTCTAGCATATACATGTATAGAGGTAAAGGAAGAATATAGTCGGATTTGAGGTTTTTCAGACTGGTATTTTCATGCTTTACCATAGAATACACCGTAATTTTTGTGTTTCAAAATCAAATATATATATCTTTCTCATTACTCGCAATTACCTTTTCTAAGTATACAAATAGGCTCTTTATACTCTCTAGTTTATGAACCCTTCATAATTAAACTGAAATATGCATGGATGTTGAGATATGAAGTTGTAATTTAACTATCGCATTTACTATGGTGTTTTGGGGTGGCCAGGGTGACCGGGAATTACGTTACCCCTTTTAGACAACCTCAAGAAAGAAACATCGACAAATTCTAAAACTTTCATAACTCATGCCCCAGCCTTAAATTATGCCGATTACTATATATAAAAAGGTTTCAATGTTTATCTTCCTGTTATTGACTGTCCCTCTACGGTTATCAAGGTTACTTTTGGTGGGATTAAAGTGTCAACATTTGATACAACAGGAATGATGTGAATAAAAAGCCCCAACATTCAGAAAGGACACTGAAACTCCTTACCTAGGAATCTGGGCACCCTCAATAATTATGCCAATGAGTGTGGTAGCCATCACAGGCTATATAACTGCTAAACTACAAGTCTGAAGTCAAGGTCATAGAAATGGATTGATAAAACTGTACTAACTGTGGGGTATGTAGGGGAATTAGGGCATTAATATGAGTAAAGGATAATAGCATCCTAATAGAAAAGAAAAATCACCAGCATCACTGTCTGTAATGTCCTCACTCTTCCTCATCCTGCCGGCAGAGACGTCTGCCATATGGCTTCACTCCCAAAAGGGAGATGCGGGTATGCAGTGATCAAGAAGTGATGTAGAAATCGCAGGTCGTCCGTGGAGAAGACACCCGAAGAATTGCATGAAGGATTATTCCATCCTGTCAGCGGCGATGCAGTGGAGGCGCTGGTGATGAATTCATCACCCTGTTTCTGTCGTTCGTGGGGTCTTTCCCTGGAAATGGTTCGACGACGGCGTAAGAGCTGGCCTTTAGATAGATAGACACATTCCATACTCCGTCCCATGCAATTGGAGCGCGGATGAGGCTGTGTTTCCTGACACTTTCACGTACCCCTTATAACTATTATAAATTCATCAATATTATATTACAGCAAGGGGTATTGCTTAAATACAATATACCGCAACGCCCCTACAACCTCGCCTAATCGAATCTGACTCGCTAGATTATACCTATAGAACGTCGAAACTTAAACAACAGGAATATCTAGCGGAATCTCCTCGGGAAATATAACTTTTATAAGGACCTAAACACTATAATCAACGCCGCGCTCGACGCGCTTTACTTTAATTCCGGCTTTAACGAGATATAGCTAGACTTTTACTACGAGTTCTAGGGTATCGTAGTACAGCTAGTTATATTCGTAGACTGATAGGCGGGTATCGTAGAAGTCGTTAACGAAGTCGTGCTTTGATTATTCGTTAGATAATAGTTTTATAGGAAAGTGGAGGGATAGCGTTAAAGGTTGCTTACTTAGATGTATATATTGCGTTTAATGTTTACTATTTTTCCTAGTCAGTGTCTGTCCTCGAGTACCCTGTATAAGTGTGCTCTCTCAGCAGAATAGATATATAGACAAGCCCTGCTCACCTTCAATAACCCCCGGCCTATAAATTTCACCCGCTTCGAAATAGCCGCTGAAGACAATAATCGCCTTAGGTCGTAGAGAAAGGGATAGAAACTCCTTCCTAATGTATCTTAAGTTATTCGGCACAGTGCCGTAATTAGAAGACTCATTGAACAGTAATCCCACCCCGGTATAGCCGATAAAACAGGCCGGGTATACCTGAGAAATATTGACTATAGAAGGCATCGCCCCTTAGCTTTGAGGATGTGTCTGTCTATATAGAATCCGGCTACAAAACTAGAGCTTCTATCTTACAACAGCCGTTAGTTATATTTGCAACTCCAGAACTCGTCGGTAAATTGTGCCGGGTTTAGGGATACTGGTGGCGAACTCAGAGGGTCGCGAATATTTGGTCAAGTATAGCGTCAACGGAGTGGAAAACGACCTGAGAGGGCACTTCAAAATAGATGCACCAGATTATAAATATGCAATCTATCCAAGTATTTTGGAAACAAGTCATACTAGGGTGTATCTCGATTGAGTACGCTATGGTTTTCCTCAACATTGGGTTAGGGCTTGCGGCGCCTCGCCGGATTTTCGCAAGAAAGTTAGCCGACAACCTGGAGCTGGAGAGGGAGATTGTCCATACGGATACGCGGGGACAGGGGTACAGATTCTACTGGTGATCCTATACGAAACGCGGACTTGCTTATGCTACGTGGTGGGATATATGTGAAGTATGCAGATGGGCTCTACCTATCTAACAATATAAGGTTAATTAACACTAGGAATATTAGTGCTTGATTGCGAACTGGAGTTGGCATAGGACATGCACAGCGCCCCAGGATATACCAGAGGTAAAATGTATGCCAAACACATAACGAGCATATCAGCTCCACATTTATTCACCCTCCTCTTCCTCATTATGTTAGATTAGCCCAAAGTTAACCCTTCCCTGGAAGACCACCATCAGTCTACGCATTGCTGCCTGGCTCCCTTCATAGGACACTATACGTACCATATTTCCTCGGCTTTCCTTTCTTAGCTGCCAGCCGCTTTTATGAGGGCGCTCAGAGTCAAGCGCACTCAGTAAATTTCAGTCCAGGCTCAGACTCACTGAGATGCTTAGTACTATCACGCAATAGATCAGTGAGTTCCAATGAACGCTAGTGAGCGCTCAGTGATTGTGATTGGGTCGAGGTTGGTCTTCCTGGCCTGAATTAGGAGGGTGCAGTTTCGATGGTCAAGAAATATGCAAATTTTGATATGGAACCCAAAACAGTATACAATAAAGACCAATACAGCAGAAATAGAATTATTAGTAGAGAGGGTAGCGGAAAAGGCCAGGAAGTAGAGAAAGAAAATTGATAGGGTATAGGTAAGCGGGGGTGTAATGAGTCAGGCCGCCAGGGGGCGCAGAATCCAAGGGAGTCGTTCTTACAATATTCTTATCTTATACATGAAAAAGCCAAGGGTTGAGTTACTGTAAATTCTCTCAAAATAAAGAATGAAGTCTGATATTCCATTAGAAATGGCATTTTCTCTCCTAAAACTGACCAACTTCTTAATACAGTAAAATAACGCTCTCCGGACAGGGAGAGCCACCGTGATAACCGAGTGAAGGCGACGAAATTCAGCGCTTAGGGCACTTTTTTTTTTTTTTTTTTTTTTTTTTCAATGGCACCGTAACATAGTAATCGCCTTTCTTCTACTACAATAAGTCTCAACTGTCCTCCCAAATCGTAGAACTAAATTCAATTCGGAGAATCGTCTTCCACCATGAAGTAAACGGAGTTCAACGGCGGACCAAATTTCCCCTAAGTCGCTATTCATCTCCCCAATGAAGAAAATATAGCTAGCGAGCAGAAGTCTCAGGCGAGAGCACCTAGTTTGACATGGTGGATATCCGCTTCTACCACCTCATACGACTTGAAGTCCCGAGCCTTGAGTTCCTTCTTCGAGAAAAGAATGTCCAACTCCTCAAAAGTCCGGTTCTTAGTCTCAGGGAGACGGAACCAAGCCCAAATCCAGAAGAAAATGATGATGCCACCGGTCAGGAAACCCGTTTTCCCCTTCCAGTTACCCTTAGTGGGGTTGAGAATGTAAGGTCCCACAAAGTAATTTACCAACAGGGACAGATTATACGCGTTCCTGGCAAGAGCGACCGTTTTGGCACGCAGGCGCGTCGATGAGACCTCGCTGACGAGGACATAGGCAGATGGACCGACGGTGAGCTGGTAACCACAGTTCCAGACGAGGAAGAGCGCGGAGGATGCGTAGCCAACGGCAGGAGTTTCGGGGGCCAAGGCGACGAAGCCCAGCATGAACATAATGAGACTCATGAAAGCGAGACCGCAAAGGTATAGACGGCGACGGCCGAAATTGGCAACAAAGGCAATGGAGATGAGATTGAAGAGCAGATGGAGACCACCTTGACCCACACTCATCTTGTACGCATCCTGGGACGCAAGACCGGCCAGCTCGAAGAAGTAGGTTGAATAGGAGGCAATCACGAACCCGCTCCATAGCTGGGCAGCCCAGGCTGCACAGGCTATCTCAGTGCGCCACAGGTTGGTGCCGCGGAAACAGTCGAGATAGCCAACACCTTCGTGCATGTTCGCCTCGAGTCTGTTGGTCTCAACCATCAGCGCGACACTGCGGCGAATCTGCTCGTCAGTGACGCCTCCGCTAGCGAGTCGCTTGAGTACCTTCTCAGCATCCTCACGTCGACTGTGTCGTACGAGCCACCAGGGCGATTCGGGCGCAAAGAAGATCAGTGGAACAATAATGGCAGGCCAAACCCATTGGACCGCAAAGGGGATCCGCCATCCCCACTCGTCTTTCCTGTGGTTGAGGGTGAGCAGTACCGAGTATGAGAGGAGCTGACCGATCCCCCAGCACATGACGACCCAAATTTCGATTAGGCCTCGCAGCACCACTGGGCAGAGCTCTGCGGCATACGGAGGAGCAAGGCAGGCGAAAACACCCCAGGATATTCCGCAGAGCACCTCTCCTGCAAAGATGACCGAGATGTGTGTTGCAAAGAAAGAGATGAAGATGCAGCCGGTCAACCAGGTCAACCAGATAAGAGCCGATCGCTTGTATCCCAAGCGGTCGACGGTATAGGCGCCGAGGTAGATGCCGACGATGTTACCGAGGGGACTGGAGCAGCCCAACGCGAGCTGCCAGTGAGCATCGAGCTGGTAGCCAGATTTCGCGTTGACATAAGTGCCGAATTGGCTGCGAAAGGAAGGAAAGGCAGAGAGTGAGCCCAGCAGAGCGCCGTCGTAGCCGTCCATGACGACAGTCAGCGAGACGGCCATACTCCAAAGGCATGCTTTATAGTGCTTTTGGAGAGCCTCCAGGATCGTCAAGCGATGCTCTTCCTCGGTGGCCAGTCGAGCATCTTCCGCCGTGTTAGCAACGACTTCGACATGGTCGATGCCGACAGTGGCGGGTTTTTCTGTCGCCATGGATGGTGAAAGAACCTCGATCAAGCAGACACAGAGAAGGAGAGGGACGGAGGCCAACCAGGGATAGGATGCCACCTTATGATACGGTTTGTTCAATGGATGGCAGGACGGTTATATAGCATCGTCCAACTGGAGAGAAGCTCCCCGTGGGCAAGGTTCTCCGTAAAATTCGAGTCGAACATCCCAAACAAAGCACATGTGCAACTCCGGGTCAATCGATCGAATCGATTGATCACTGTTAGACATCAGATAGCATCTGCCGTCCCCGCACTTTCTGCCTTTTGGCTAAATTGCCAAACCCTAGAAAGTCAAAGAAACGAGTCTAACCTTAAATCAGTTCGTGTTCTAACTCTAGTAGAACTTCCAGTTGCCGATGCTCCGCATTGGGGAAAGCCATCAATGCCAAGGACATTTCTCCTCCAATTGAATATGGGAGAGGCGCGAGAACACGAGCTTGACGAGCTTGACCTGACTCCGCTACCTCCGCTACCTCCGCTTCTTCCCATCTTTCCGATGTCTGTCTCCTATAGTGTTCGGTTAACCGGAGCAAATGATTATCGGGCCCCGCAGACTAGCCATAGACTCGTTCAGCCAATTTTCAGCTTCAGGTCTATTCAAATTTCAACATCCAGGTTTCAATGGGCCAATACTCGTATATAAGTCACGCCAGTCGGTGGATCGCGAGCTCGGCACGGTCAAATGAAACCTTTTCTATATCTTTATTCGTCGTTACCTCGTGCTTCCCAGATATCATTGCGTCTTGCTCCAGTCTCAGCGCTCGCTTACCGCAGCGGAGGTCAAATGCCTAAACAAATGTCTCACGGCTAGGTACACGGCTGATGTGATGTAGAGATGGTAAACCCCCGACACGGCGTCAATGGAGATAACCGACCGGCAATTGACAGTGGCTCGCTCTGCTGGCATTTGCTAGGCGGAGTTTGATCAGAAAAAGCGGACTGGGTCATTGCTGAAGTTCAGCCTGCTGCAGTTCAGAATAAGTTCGATTCAATCCAATGAGATCTGGCTGATGTAACCCTTTATCCATGACCAGTATGCTCGATCCATGATGTAAGCGCGACAAAATCTGGGACGGGGGTGTATTGAACGGAAGTGAGGTGCGAATACATTCGAAGAGAGGCACTTATGGTCATCTATGTGCAATACGAATTTTGCGTTCAAGACGAAGCCCTTTGGCTGTTGATACAATTACCTCATAAGCATGGCATTTACAAGGACACGGATATAAAATTGAGCAGACTGGTCTATTTGAAACGAAACTGAAATAAGGAAACCCAAATAATCTAGTCTATGATACCCACGGGAAGGAACGAAACATAATTCACCGGCGCAAGTTCGTCTCCATCCGGTGTTCCCACAATCGTAAGCACATCGCCCTCATGCACCTCTACACCTTTGAAGTAGATGCGAGTCGCCGAATGACCATCGCGAAGGTCTGAAAAGTCATGCAGCAGGTGCTTCCCCAGATCACCAGCCCAGTTTCCGATAAGCCGTTTCTCGCTGCTCCCCTCACTGCCGAGGAACAACTGGTATCGAGACGTGCCTCCGAGATGATCATAATAATTCACCGCAATATTGTAAACCCCGACCGGGTAAGTGACAGCCCAAGTGGCAGTCCCCGGGGCGTTGTTTGACTCGGTGATGATTGCGTGACCTCCAAATGCTGCTTCAAAGGGGGTAATAGAGACAACCTTGTACCCACTCAGTTGCATATCCTGGGCTTTGACGCGCCATTTGTAGCTGCCGACTCTGTGGTGCTCGTCGGGGATGCCGCATTTGGCGAGGTAGAAGTTGCAGATAGAGTCGCGCCACACGAGCGCGTGGCCTGCCTGATAGGTCAAGCGGAATAGAGTGTGCTTGAACCGTTGGTCATCAATCAATCCACGCAATGCTTCCCAGCGCACAGGGAAGGTCTGCGCGTCCTGGGCACCATCATAGTGGGCATCGTAGAAATGTTGAATCACCGTCTTCCCGGACTTCAGCCGGCGGGTGTATGGCACGTGGTGGAACCAGAGAAGAAGCTCATCTGGAGTGGTCTCCGGGTTCTCGAATATCTTTGCTACTTCAGAGGGATACTGACCGGAATAGCCAGTACCAGTAGCTGTGGTGCGGTCCATGCCGATGGCATAGGCATCTGCACGTGTCCACTGACCCCATCCGTTGCCGTCCATGGCAGCAGGGCTCGGCCCATAGTGGCAGGTCTTTACGATATCACACAATGTCTGGATACCTAGGTTGCCGGAATAGTTTTCGTATGTGGGCCATGATTCCATCGAGAGTTGGGTAACGGTATCGATGACAGTTGGGTGATGGCTTAGGGTGAGTCGGGTCCAATCTTGAATCACATCCCTTTCATCGCTAGTTGGATCCCAGCAGTAACAACCATAAGCGTATAGATTTGACATAGCCAAGTGGCTACCTAGCCAGGTAGAGTCATTGCCGACATTGACAACAGCTGCGTAGCCACTGCGCTTCCAATTGAATCGCTCCCCCGAGACGACATCCCGGACCAAGGTTTGCTGTCCATCAATGCGGAGATCAAAATCGAGAATTGTCCTCCACAGTGGAGGCAGGTAAACAAGATGGCTCTGCTGGCCCAAATATTCTTGAGCGACTTGAAACTCGATGATCACCTGAGTTCGTCGCAGGTGAGCAAGCAGAGGAGATGGAGGTTCCCGGATCTGGAAATCAATCGGACCGTACTTGATCTGGACCAACACGTTGTCCTCAAACACATCGTCCAATCCATCAAAGAACTCAACAGCGGCGTTGGCACGATCGTTCTTCCAGTTCGATTCGTCGAGGTGATGGTTATAGACGAAAGCACGGTACATCACAATTCCGTCTCCATGAGGCTTAAGGGCCCTGGCAAACAGATTGGCTCCGTCAGCCAGCGTGCGACCGTACGTCAGCGGACCAGGCTGGCCCTCTGAATTTGCCTTGATCAGATATCCAAGCATGTCCGGAACATCTTCGTACAGCTGGGTAGTGATATCATTCCAGAAGGCCACCACATTCGCGTCTAGCGGATCCGATGTCGAAAGGCCACCAAGTTCGATCGGGGTATCAAAGTACAGTGCAACTCCGATTCTCACACCCCAGGGCCGCATAGCATCTGCTATCCGGCCAAGACCCTTGAGGTTTGTCGGACTCAGAAGGTTGCAGTGCGAATTAACGTTGTTCACAATAATGCCATTCAGCCGAACGGAGGCCATCAGACGCGCGTACTGTGCTACCCTGGTGAGGTCATCCAGAACGGCGCCATCTTTGAAGAAAACCGATGGCCCCGCATAGCCTCGCTCAATCGTCCCATCCAGGTTATCCCATTGATTCACCCAGCGGATCGGAGCGCTAGGGCTGCTGGTGTATGTCTCGGGACAGGGTTCATCCTTCGCCAGCAGCATCAGGAACTCGAAGGCACCGTAGAGTGCACCTCGTTCATTCTGGCCGATAATCAACACATGCGCTGGACCATTGTTGCCATCCTTCCGTGCACCCAACCAGAACCCATCTTCCTTCAATGATGAAACCCCTTCTTTGATTTTCTCGATGGCGGGGGCAGCAGATGGGAAAGTATCGACGGTTCCGACCACTATCGCCGATGCAGGGATCTGAGCAGCCTCCGGGAGTGTATTTGTTACGTCCACCTTCTGGCGGAGAATCTTGCTCAAGCCACTTTGGATTTCCTTCCCAGCCGTGTAGACGGGACTTGAATTGGCCTCACTCAAAGCGACAATCTGCGAAAAGCGGGGGTGATGTTTGACATGTTCAGCAGGTAGAGGCGCGTATCGCAGCCAAGCCTCGAGGCCGTCCTCTTTTGCAGGCATATCGTTAAAGCTTCAAAATGAGCGACGAGGAGAGCAAGACGGGATGGTCTCTCTCATGAAGCAGAGGATTGGGCATTACACTGTCGCCCAGTCTCTCTGCTTTAAGGCTGATCCAATTCTTGAGAATTGACTCGTCCGGCTAAATTGGACTTGAGCTCTCGTCAAGAGCATAACGGCTCCCTTTTGCCGTTGGAATAATGTGGACTGCGGAGAAGAGGTACCGTTGATCCAAGGCAATCTAGGCTAAGTCTGAATCTATTCATGATGCGTGAAGAAGCTCTAAATCATTTCAAGCTTGAAACTGGAGTAATTGCAAGAGATCTTGGCGGGAAATGGATGGCTGCTTGGCATGCTTCTTCTGGGGTTCCTTTCGATTTAGCCAGGAAACTCTGAGCTTTGAGTGGTGGAAATTTGCTGATTAGTGTTCTCCGTCATACGCCGTTAACGGCAAATGAAGCGTAGAGTCTATTGGCTCGTGACAAGAATCGTATCTTTGTTAGTGCCTTTCTTAGTGCGGGGGTAGCCTTGAAGTCGCAAAGATCTGCTATTGCCAAGGTGGTACGAGTTATCCTTGTGAAAGAGATGAGGCAGGCAATGGTAAATGGTAAAGAAATCATGAATCAGGATTTTGTTATGGCGGAAGTTCAATTAAGTCAAGGCCAAATCTTCGCTGAATTGATGCACCAGAGCTTCCATATCAACTTCTCTTCATCCAAACATAGCCTGGAATGTGCCCTGGATGCGGGGTAGCGAAGATAACATAGATCTGTCAGAATGATAGCCGAGGCTTTGCCAAGAATGCTGAACAGAGACCTTCAAATAACTATGCAAAGTCTATTCTCATCTGTCACACAAATTTGACCTCCCGCGCGCCGTAATTAGCCTAAAGCCTCAGTGTAATATTAGTACTGCATTAAAATCCCCGCTCGCCAAATTCGGAAGCCGAAGTAAGCATAGCATGCCGTTCCTCAAAACTAATGCCATCGTCTACGGGTGTTATGATGAAACCGGAGAATCAACGGCACGAATCACTATTACCGTTGCGGCTGTTCGTAAAAAAGGACGAGCTCGATTTTAATTTAAGCGGACTTGCGAAGTTAGGTAGAGGACGCCTTTCTGCAAGGGGAATTCAAGCCAACCAAAATAATTATAAATGGGCCTCGTCCGCTGAGATTAGTCGAACGAGTGCCGAGTCTGTAAAGCAAAGACTTCTCGCAATATGAAGTTCACTTTCTACTTCCATGCTTTAGGGCTTCTGGGCCTAAGTGAGGTAGCTTTCGCCGTCGTTGCAGCAGCCTCCTCCTCGGTCAAAATCAACACTGGTGCGAAGTTGCAACATGTAGATGGCTTCGGATTCTCCCAGGCCTTCACGCGTGCAGGTCAATTCCAAGCTGCTGATCCCGCGATCCAGAAGCAGGCTCTTGACCTTCTCTTTAGCAAGGAAAGTGGCGCAGGATTCAGCATCATCCGCAATTGGATACCATCTTCCTTCAACTACACCATCGAGCCCAACAGCCCTGGCTCGGCCTCCGCTCCTCCCCAGTACCGGTGGGACGGTTGGGACGAGGGACAGCTTTGGTTTACCAAGCAAGCTGTCAGCTATGGAGTCAAAACAATCTACGCCGATGCATGGAGTGCACCGGGGTTCATGAAAACCAGTGGGAATGAGGCAACTGCTGGGTAATAACTGCCATATCTTTGATGCCGAGTACTAGAGGTCCGCCGAGGTCACTTGATTGCTAACACAAATATTACCTCTAGTTATCTGTGCGGAACTCCAGGTCATTACTGTGCGACAGGAGACTGGAGACAAGCCTATGCCGACTACCTCGTTCAATATGTCAAGTTTTATGGGAATGAGGGACTTCATATCACCCATCTCGGCTTCTTGAACGAGCCTGACTACCAGTGAGTGAGAACCTGGCGCAAGGAGCTATTCCAAAAAATTTACTCATGCTGATCGATGCAAAACCTTTCGATCTCACCTCTAGGCCAAGCTACTCGCAAATGCAAATCAGTCCCAACGCGTCAGAAGCCATTTCCTTTATTCCAGTTCTCCGCAAAACCGTTGATACCGCGAAGTTGGATGTGAGCATCACCTGCTGCGATGCCACCGGCTGGGACAAACAATCTAGCTACACCAATGCCCTGGTAGCAGCCGGTATGGAACGCGACCTCGGTGTTATTACTGCCCATATGTACTCGAGCGATGCGACCTACCCTCTCAACACCTCTCTTCCGACATGGCTTTCCGAGGCTGGTGTCGAAACCAATGTCGGTGGCTTTGTCCCTACATGGTACAATACCGGCGCGCTCAACGAAGGCCTATCCTGGGCCAGCAAGATCGCCAAAGGATTTGTCGATGCCGGCCTGAATGCTTATCTTTACTGGGAAGGCTTCGAGATTGCCCAGCAGCAGTCCGCAAGCCATCTTCTCGACACTACCGGCACCAATAATACAGTCGTACTGCAATCGGGGATCTTTCATGCTTTCAGCATGTGGTCTCGCTTTGTTCGACCGGGAGCGCACCGTGTCGAGACATCAGGGGGTTCCAATCTGGCCAATGTGATTACGGCTGCCTTTCAGAACCAAGATAAGTCCGTGGTGGTGATTTTCACAAACACTGGCTCTGCGGACCAGCCAACTGATCTTGTGGTTCCTGACCACAAGGCTGGAGGCAGTGCAAAGGCTTGGCTGACCGACAACACGCACAAGGTGGAACGAACTAGTGTCGGTCGCGTTCGTGGTGGTTCCATTCAAGTGACCATCCCCGCCCACAGTGTGGTCACTGTCAAGTTCCCTTAATTGTTCTCAGCCTATAAAACGTAATTTGGGCGGTAGGGCTTTCATGGCCCTTGTCGTGCCCGCAATGGTTGAATATAACCAATCTCGTTCGCTGAAATCTTGCACGCGTATATACCGTTTCGGATCAGGTATTGTCTAGGTATATTTTTGCTTCATTTCAGGTTGACTTTGACCTTGCAAAATAGTAGCGCTGGCGGGCGCTGCTCACGTCAACATCCTTCATCAGAGAAAGCGCCATATGGCTCGGCAGAGTGAAGAACAGACGTGTTGCTAGGAATTATCCGCTCCTCCTTCTCGTGGGCTTTAGGCCAAATGAAGGCAAAATAAGCAGAATAACAAGGCATTGCCGTATCTTCTGTATACCATTACACCCTACATCCTGAGCCACCATATACAATCATAGTGAAGGGGGCCGACAGCTGAGGACTAGCCCAGTCCACCACAGAAAGTCGCGATTTCTGGAACTCCAGGCTGTCCCTGCCACATGTTTTTTTTTAAAAAAAAAAAAAAAAAAAAAAAGAGTCAGTGCAGTCATCAAGATGCTCCACCTCGTTCCTTCGATCTATTCATTATTCATTCACCAACGACTCGTGTAGCCTTCTGCGACTCCATCCGCATCAATTCAAGCCGGGCCTGTCGCTGGCTCTGCAGGAGAGAGCCGAGTGTCCCTCTTCAGATTTCGATAGAACATGATCATGAGAATCATGGAGGCAGGTCATTAAACTTAATCAATCCACTCGGATACGCCTGATCGCCTGTACTAAGCGCGACGTGCGTGAAACCCACCAGATCGCTTCCTGATGTGGCCTGGCCTAGTCTACTTAGAAAAGCGGCAAGGAAGATGAGATTGGCCGTACTGTGGATCATGGATAGATCCAAGACGCTGATTTTTTATTTTTTATTTTTTTTTGCAATTTTTGGCAAATGAGATCTGTGCAGGCAGTGAGACAAGTTCGAACATTCAATTGGCTATTGACGGTCAGTGAAGGGATTCTCATCTAGTCACTGAAGAAGCAATGTATATACTTATGTAGAAAACGATATGGCCGGACTTTCGTCTAGTTTCTTTTTTTACTCAAACAAGGACAGTCAGTATAGGTAGCTACTCACTCGACGCGATCCGCTACTCTGAGAATACCCCGGTACTTCATCTACGACCATGCAAGCCACGAACGGACTTATTCTCCCATACTAAAGGACCAAAGGCAAGCACGAACTACATAGGTATATAACGGACAGTACAGTGCCACCACTAGGAACTCCCAACCTGAATAGGTATCGACCACCCAGCATAAAGCACCTCTCTACGAAAGACAACATGTCCTTCCATTAATATCAACGACAACCCCATAACCAAATTACAGGTTCTGTCCCAAACAGCCACAAGATCTACAGGCGCAACGCCATCCAACCTCGAACACCTGGTCCAACCCGCTGACGCGGCCCTTACCGAGGACCGTCATCGGACAAGGCATCGACCGCGGACAGTGTAAGCTTAGCTTTAGCCTTACCCTTATCCTGGGATGAAGAGCCAATCCCACCGCCCGATCCACCAGTAGGTGTGACAGGGGTAACTTTAGAGCTGAAGAGGGCCGAGGACGGTCTTGGGGTAGGTCTGTCCCTACCTGTCGCCTGAATCACCCTGTTCCCCGAGCCTGGAGTGCGAGGTTTTTTTCACCTCTGGGGTAGACTTTGTCTGATCAGCCTTGCGCTTTTGGCCGGAAGAGGATTGTTCAGTTGAAGGGGGAGACCCTGCAGACGATGGGCCAGCGAGGGGAGGGTCAGCAATAGGAGGGTTAGGGTTGCCGGGCTTAGAGGCCCACACGGGAATAGCCCGACGCTTGGAAATACCCTTTGAGTCCAGACCTAGGTCTTTTTTGTCCTCAAAAGTTTGATAGGACGGGAACAAGATATTCAGCCCCATCATCGCATTCAACTTGGTCTCACAGACCTTGTTGATATTGAAAGCCTTGAAAGTCTCCAGGCCATCCCCTTCAAGGTGCTCGTCTGCGCCCTCCAGTCCTTATCGACAAGACCTTGTAGCTCATCCCTGTATTGTGCGGCAATATGCGGCAGCATCTTTTTAAAATTGTTATGATGAAGATACCGGCGGACTGTGTGATCTTGGAAGAGGTGATACGCCCGCTGGGCAAAGCGTTGACCAACGCGGTGCACACGTCCGATCGCCTGGGTCTCGAGATTATGATTCGGGGCCTGCTCCATCAGAATAACAATATGACAGTTGTTATGTAGATTAAGCCCCGTTGCACCACAGTTGTACGTAGGGATCAAACCCTGACACCCAAAGCGCGGACTGGTGAACTCCGCGATGGCCGCAGCGCGCTCCTCGGGTTTCTTCGCGGCAGTAATGGTCACTATCCGCAAACCAAGACGGGGGCAAGCATCTCCACCATCCATGCGATGATTGGGCCAGTGGCAGATGATCAGGAACCGTGGACGGGACTTTCCAGGCTCAGGGATCGCGAAGGCTCCCTCGAAATCCAGGATTCTCAAGAGCATTGACAGACGTGGCGATTGCTTACAAAGGTAGTAAGCCTGATCCTCTGCGCTCTTTAGGCGGGGGATGGAAGGGTGATCGCAGGTAGCAAGGTAGAATGCCTCAAATCCATGATGGCGTCCATTGACCAAGCTCGCAATGTAACTGCTCGTGGCCCTTTCCAGATTCGCATTCCTAAGGTAGTCTTTTGAACAGTCTTTTGAACAGTCTTTTGAACAGTCTTTTGAACAGTCTTTTGAACAGTCTTTTGAACAGTCTTTTGAACAGTCTTTTGAACAGTCTTTTGAACAGTCTTTTGAACAGTCTTTTGAACAGTCTTTTGAACAGTCTTTTGAACAGTCTTTTGAACAGTCTTTTGAACAGTCTTTTGAACAGTCTTTTGAACAGTCTTTTGAACAGTCTTTTGAACAGTCTTTTGAACAGTCTTTTGAACAGTCTTTTGAACAGTCTTTTGAACAGTCTTTTGAACAGTCTTTTGAACAGTCCTTTGAACAGACTTTTGAACAGTCTAACAGCAGGGGGCTAAATACAGCAAGGGCTAATATCCGCAAGATCCGCATGTTCTGACGACCACCTTGAGGGCTGAACTCGTCCGGTATTCTATCATCCTCAGACTTGTGGGGATCCCCGATCGCCCTCCAGTATGCAACATCATGCAACTGCTGATCTTCCTCGAAGTACCTCAGCTCAATGGTCATCACCCGAATGGGTGGAATCTCCGAGCCAATGACCACAAGCTTTCCTGATTGGTCGATGACCCGGTCACCCATCGAGCGCTGTATAACAGCTGCCCGAAAGATGAAGGGGTATGCTTCGTAACCAATCTGTGGAGTGATCTCATCCTTCTTTTCGCAGAGCTTAACCAGCATAGCCGGGTTAATAAGAGCGTATGGAATCTTTGACGTGTCGTCTGGGAGCAACCGAACATTAGACCAAGCCTTGTATAACGACTTGATATCCCGGCGTGCAACCCCTTCGGGACGAGGCAGATTTTCGGCTCCTTCCGACTCGTCGACGGGAAGGTGACCGGCAAGGAGACTGCAGTAACCATAAATATCGAGCATACGATTCCACATCGGGGTGGCTGGCAAACCAAACAACGGCCTCCGCGGTAATTGGGCGATGCTCTGGTGTGCCCTTGTGCGAATCGATTTGACATATTGGCACTCATCCAGGATCACCCGCTCAAAGGTGAAATCACAGCACGAGGTGTACAGTACTATTCTCTATTCGTATATGGTGGATAATAGGTACATTGAGTACCTAGATGTCCTTATCGAACCTACTAAGCCTTTTACTTTGGCTATTCAAAAGACTGTTCAAAAGACTGTTCAAAAGACTGTTCAAAAGACTGTTCAAAAGACTGTTCAAAAAGCCACCCAGAAAGATATTTTATAGAAGGTAAATTCAAAGCATATAAATTTACATTGTAAATCTGTTTCTCCAGTCTAGACATTAAGGATCCAGTGTACCTGCTCTCCACTATGTCTGAAAATGGAAAGAGTCCGTCGTGCGAAAGCACAAGTTGGCGTGCAGACCACCAACCATTCGCTGGCTAGATCCAGATCGGTCGTGGTTCGTCAGCGGCCATTGAATGGTGAACCGTCCAGCGTAGAGGCAAGATAGACCATGGCCTAAATGTTGCCTTCCATATTGGGAATTTTACCCCGAATCCAAATCACATGATGCGCTAACTCCATCATACGTTAGTGTAAACTTTCATTTGTATTGACTTGGCAATAAAATACTCAGTCCAATCAACTTCCGGATGACTGGTGGATTCATTCCATGCAAACTGAGCAAACCAGTCAAATGCTCAATCTGGCAATATCTCCATCTTTTGCTTCATATTAGTGGACGTTACCTTAGGAGCAGTATTTTGGCAGCACTATAAGGTGGCGTGATTATGTTTGAGTATTTATACCCCCCGTAATTGACTGCTCTTGTTTCTACTTCTCTTTTATTTTCGGATTTTCCTGCCCATTCACACAATGGCATCTATTCTATCAGCACATGAAATCGGCGAAGGCCTTCCCGTTTTGATCATTCACGGATGGGAGATGGACGGAAGAGTCGAGGAAATAGACTTTGAGCCCATTTTCAATAAAATATCGGGACTTCGACGGATCTATGTAGATCTTCCAGGCATGGGCAAAACACCTGCCCATGATGTCAAGAATATGGACGACATATACCATCGCCTGGTGCAATTCATCGATTCTCGACTTGGGCAATCGAGATTCCTACTTATCGGCACATCATGCGGTGGCTACCTTGCGCGTGCGATCGCTCAAAAATATACTGCACAAGTCGATGGCCTACTATTACGCGTACCGCTTATTGAGCCAGCGGACAGCAGACGCGATCTCGATACTTTCGAACCTTTAGTTGCAAACGAGCAACTCATGTCGAACATGCCATCCGAAGACAGGTCACTTCTTGGAGATGTTCTCGTTCAAACGCCTGCATACGTCAAAGCTCTCAAGGCAAAATATGAGGAGGCTGTCCTCCCAGCAATGAAAGCAGCAGATAATCAAGTGCTGGATCCGATCCGGGCAGATCCAAATCGATATCAGCTATCCTTCTCATTGGACCATGAAAACGCAAAGTTCTTTGCACCCACACTTATTGTATGCGGTCGGCAAGACGGGACCGTGGGCTATCGAGACAGCCTTCGCTTGCTGGAGCTCTATCCACGATCAACCTATGTTGTTCTCGATCGTGGTATCCATGGCTTTCCTGTCGATGAGACTGGTGTTTTCGAATCTCTTGTTCGTGATTGGGTAACCCGGATTGATGAATGGCGAGGTTGCACGGAAAGATAAGGGCCATCTTTATCGATCATCTATATACCAACTCTTGTACCTAGATTTTAAGCGGGTGGTACAGTAGGAACAATAGTACCCTTATCAAGTCTAGTCCAGTTCAAATATGAAAATATCCTCGAGTGGCTCCCGAGAGGCTGTTAGAGACTGTGATACTTTTTCATGTCCAAGTAGGTCGAATGGGAGTTGGGCGAATGCCCATTTGGAACTATAAATTTGTTCGCGTACACCCGCAACTATACGGCTTAATTAAGCTACACGCTGGATCAAGTAAGATTGGCACCATTATCAATCATCATTAAATAATTTCCGAGTAATCATATCAGATCTATGGTGCCATGTGATTGGGGGCTTAAAAGAGTATCTTAGTTCCTGACGTGGAAGGCGACCTAGAACGGTCGGCACTGTACCGCGGAGTAGTAAGCATGGTAATGCAGGGTACCAAGGGGCCAGATCTCTATGGGCCAGATGGCAAAAAATTCTAGAAGACCAGGATGTTAATGTTTATTGCGAATTAGCTCGTTAGCTTCCCAAGACACTAGACGAGTGCTCACGAGAACAAAAGTGGAACTGGGTTGGCCTCGGATTTGCCCGAACGGGTAAGGAGGTTCTAAGCATTCTGGGCCGGGGACTGCCCGCGAGAGATAGAAGGAATAAATGCAGCAGTTTCTGCTGGTCACATGGACGTTGAATCCAGGGCAATAATGCATCTGTTAGTTAGTTATTTTTGGAGGAACGATTGTTGTCGGTGAGGGGGGTGTTCGAGACTACGAGAACCGGCAAACAAATGCACGGTAGTTGCATATCCTAGCAAGATATGTGGCTAGGCGGACAGCCAGAACTACGTCAATCGCACCACACAGAAGTCAATTGGGACCAGACAATTAATTACTCTTACTTATCTGGTGGCTTCAATGCAGGGAAATAAAGATATTTTCAATTTTTGATATCTATCTCGAGTATTGTAAGCAAAGAAAAAAAATGGCAAGATGATGGGGAGATATCTGGACTGTGCCATTGACTTTCTTTAGGCACAGGTACCAACACCACGGGTGGCAGCGCAGTCAATCATTCGTGAATAACGCTGGCCACATGACCACTATGTAGAAGATTCTAAGATCTGCTAAGGGGCTGGCTTCTAGTGATTGTCAGCTCGTGCCGAGTCATATTGAGAGTAGAAGAAATATGTATCATTGTACTGTAGTCTCATCATGGGAACTCTACGCTTCCCCGGAAGAAAAGCAGGTCACCTGCACGGGAGAGTGGGGAAGTCGATCGGCTTGCCCAAAACGGGCATCCGATCTTCAGTACCTTTGGCCTCCTTGGCATCTCCCCCGCGAACTGCTCCGTGTCAAAAGTCAAGATTAGCCTGTGGCAACAACAAATCCAAGGCAATTGTCATTGCGACCAGGATACTTGCAAGATGGCCAAACCTATCCTATCTGACTCTCAATCAAGGTCATGTTTACATCATTTGTCCTGGGGATGTAGCCAGGAATCAGGGTATACTTGGTATACTCGACTTGGTTTGTTTGGATATTAGCTTGCTTGGCCAAAGCTGGTTGACGTGGGAGAGCCGTAAATAGCACTCCCGTTGTCGCCACGCCCGGTTAAGCTGCGCCAACCCCCATTCTTCCGCTGGAGGGTCCAGACTCCATCGTCCACGATGTCCACGACTGAGAATTCCCCGTTTAGGCCTGCTTGCCAGTTTCTGCGTGTTCACGAGACCATCATGGTCAGGGAAACCGTTCCATCCAGTCGTGCCTCGACTCGATTCGATTCCTTGTCTTTTCCTCCAGTCGTGGTGGGACAATGCCGGAGGCCACGGCATCGTGAGTCCGTTCCAAGGGAGTTTCCCTTTTTTTCTTATATAAAGGAGGCCCTGCGTTGGTCCATGGTTCTTCATTGACCTTCTCAATTGTATTCTTCTCGTGAATTTAATATCTTAATCACCTCACGACTCTTTCTTCGATCTTTGTCTTTATTATTGAACCTACTTTGGTCTTCTCTAATACCCGACTATCTACACTTACATCGATACTTTAATCACCAACATCCATCACCATGTCTGTCGCCATTGAAACCACCGAAGCTCCCACTGCCCCCAACACTGCCCAGCCCGTCATGATGGGCCACAAGTCGCGCATGCCCGAGTTCAGTCTCGCCGGCAAGATTGTATGCGTCTCTGGCGCCGGTCGTGGTCTGGGTTTGACCCAGTCAGAGGCTCTGTTGGAGGCTGGTGCGAAGGTGTACGCCCTCGACCGTCTGGAGGAGCCGGTGCGTTCTACATTCGAAATCTATGATCCCTATCCGCAAGCCACCCGTCGCTAACAAACCATCTTACCCGCACAATAGGCCCCAGAGTTCGCACAGATTCAGCAAAAGGCCAAGGAACTCGGCACGGAGCTGCACTACCGTCGCATCGATGTGCGTGACACGGAATTGCTCAACAGCGTGATCGAGGCGATCGCCAACACCGAGGGCCGTATGGACGGTCTGGTTGCTGCGGCGGGTATTCAGCAGGAGACTCCGGCTTTGGAGTACTCGGCCAAGGACAGCAACACCATGTTCGAGGTCAATGTGACCGGCGTGTTCATGACCGCACAGGCTGTGGCCAAGCAGATGATTCGCTTTGGAAACGGAGGCAGCATTGCCATGATCGCCAGTATGAGCGGCACAATTGCCAATCGGGTACGTTCCCCATCACCCCCTCCTCTACAATTTATCCATTTGGTGGCCTTATTACCGGGCGGCGTGGTGTTGCCATATCGGCACCCCACCTTCATCGTCCCCTACTTTCCCTATCCTAACCCACGTTGGGCATGGTCTCTAAATGCCCCCGCAAAATCGCCCATCTAGCCCCCCCCGCACTTTTACCCGTTCCATCTCAGGCTAACACAACACTTCTTTTTCTCAGGGTCTCATCTGCCCCGCATACAACGCCAGCAAAGCAGCCGTCATCCAGCTGGCCCGCAACCTGGCTGCCGAATGGGGCCAGTACAACATCCGCGTCAACACCATTTCCCCCGGCTACATCGTCACCCAGATGGTCGAGAAGCTGTTCGTCGAGTTCCCCGAGCGCCGCGAACAGTGGCCCAAGGAGAACATGTTGGGCCGTCTGTCCCGCCCGGAGGAGTACCGAGGTGCCGCAGTGTTTTTGCTCAGCGATGCGAGCAGCTTCATGACTGGTAGCGACCTGCGCATGGACGGTGGCCATGCCGCGTGGTAAATGCGGCAAGGGGGAGGAAGTTGACGAAATTATAATCATCTGATCCTAGGACGTGGACCCAGTAAACTGGGATTCCGGTTCTCATTTGCATGGCGTTGATCTGTTGAGCTTTTCATTTTGATTTTGATTTTGATTTTTTTTTTGGACCAGCGATAGCGTGGGGTTTCTTACAAACCATGTCCTTTTCATCTTGTTAGATTGTTATCTTGAAATATCTTATGATCTCGCGTTCGTGCTGTTTTCTCATGATAGTTGATTAGACTTATATCGATCGCTCGAGTTAATGCACCTCTACAGATCTGACCCACTCGCCCACTTTTGACAGATCGGCTCCACAGAGACCGAAAATCTGGGGATAAACAGTTACGATTAGCAAATTATAGCGTAATAGGGGATGCAGGGATGTTTGGAATGGATTTCAATGCCAAGGACATCATCTGATTATGTAGAACCTGCTTGTCGCTGGATCCATGATGATTTGGCCAACCATTACACGCAAACAGTGAAATCATTTCTGCCTTGCAATCCCAATCAATTCCCAATAGTCTCTCTCCCCCTTGTACAACCTGGGTAAACCCATGCTCGCAGTTATTCTCTCACCGCTATCAAGAAATCTCCCTCTCCATAGTTCCATGTACCCTCCAACTCAAGAACAACTCACCTTTAAAGCAAGCCAAGACAAATCGACACTCCCATGACTTGACTCCAACAAATCCATGATGGTCGCTACCTGCGAACCAACATACGCACAACCAGTGACATTCTCACCCACGATAACCCCGCTATTACTCGTCCAGACATCAAATCTTGTGAGCTTTAGTACAGCCCCTCCACTCCTCCCCCTCCCCCGCTCCTCGAAACCCGGATGCGGTCGCCAATCCCGACCGGGCCTATTCGCTCGGTCCTTCTGGGTTTAGATTTGTATCCCACTGGTTAGGTGGGGCAAAATGAAGATGCGCCTGTGCTTGATTCTAATCCCTTTGATCATGATTAAATAATGTTGTGGGGTCGACTCCCAATATTGTATAGGGTGTGGAATAGTCGGATGACTACTTAGGAAGGTCGTCGTGATAGACTTAACTTTAGCCCGGCTACTGGCGGTCCGCGGAGAGTTTGAATTTCAGGAGTCTCTTTCTGTGTGGAAGTTGGCGGTTTGTGGCTGTTGGTGGAAAGTTGATAGTGTTGAGGGGCTGGTGAAGTCATGACTGGATGGGTTGTCTCGGGTGCGGCATGCCTGATCTGGGACACACAAGAGGACATGCCAAGAGTACGGGGTATAACGAGCGCCCGTGGTTGAGAGAGGAGGGAGGAATCTTGTTGAAGACACTTCCTAGCTGGGTTGGTCGTGCTCGGCAAGTGCGACCGAGTACGAAGTGGAATGGCCTTGAATGTGAGTCGGACAAAGTGTAAAATCTAGTCCCTGTTTGGGCTCTCTACAAAGTCTGCAAAGAGAACCTAGCACGATGACATCCTTTACAGTATGACTGTTTGACAGATATCATGGTCTTTGACTCGTGGAACAGCCGGGGAATGTCTCACCGTGGCTGCCATGCGACTTCCTAGACAGGCGACATTGGTTTGTATTCCTCCAACTGCCTGGGCTTCACTTTTCGGGACTCCCTGATTAGGTTGACTCTCACAAAGCCACATTTCTCGTTACTATTCAGTAGGGTAGGCGAGAGATGTGCGACAGTACCGACCACTGGGGCTATTTGCCACCCAAGAGGATGAGCTTCACTATCGGGTTTTGCAACAATTCCCCAGTTAGTTT